TTGTAAAGCTACGTATGCTTTTAAGTTTAACGTTTTGGAGATTTACAAAAAAAAAACCAAAAGTTTATTAACTGAATTTTCCTGGTAGTATATGAAGTAGTGGATGTGAAATTTGCGTGAAATGATTAGTGGTCATTAGTTTTCAATCTTTTATCAGCACTGTATACAATTAGTTCATCCTTATCCACATTTCTGTGACTTAGGTTTGGATCTGGAGAGTTCTGAGGGATCGGAGGTCGAAGATGATGGTGATGATTCCAAGTCTACGACATCTTGGGAAGATATGAGTAAGCTGGACCCCAACATGCTGCTGTATAAAGCAGCCCAGGCTCGTAACCTTGCTGTCATGTTGGAGGCTCTCGCTAACGGTGCTGACCCTAACTGGGTACACGAGGAAGAGGACAGAAAAACCCCACTAATGAAAGTAGTGGAAACTGTAAGTAATTAAAATATCCATATGTAATGTTAGCTAAAATCCTCTGGTTTTTATAGCCATATGGACCGGAAGACCGTAGTTCTTTGATCATTGGTATCTATAAATAGTACTGTCAGATATTTTTGTGGGGCTTTAATTTCATAGTTATTCACATAATTTAAGTTTGGTTGACACTTAATTTTGTGGGTAATTATTTCTCATGAAATCCACCAGTACTAACTAAAGTCAATGAATAACGGATAACCAAAACCAATGAAATCAATGAAAAAATAAATCCCACAAAAATAATTGATTTTACAGTATATAAATTTAAAGTGAGAGATAGTATAGACTGATTGTAGCTAGGAGATCATTTCACTAAGCCTTGTTAGTATGGGTATAAAAATCTATATGATGTTTTTAAGATTACCATTCTCACTACATGTAATGTTGTCTCATAGCTGTGCAAGTGTGAAACAATAGATGACAATGTTTCAGAATCTCCTCATTGGCTTTGATTGTATAACGGAAAGACAAGAATGGGCGGACACCGCTTCACCACGCCACCATGAATGCCAATACAGGGTATATTTTGTCTATTGAGTAGGGGGCATTGGAAATATCTTGTAAACAGCAGATTGTATAAAGAAATCCAAATTCAGTGTATTCCAGAAAAATCAATGCACTTACATTAATTTCTGTGTTATTTTTAAAATTATTGTTGTCTTAGAATAATAAAAATTAATAAAATTAATGATACTATTTGGTTCACATATACGTAATAAGATATTATTAATTTGAAGCATTTCAGTAAAACAATGGAAGACATTTCACAGACTATTACATTAGAGATACAGATCACCACACTCCTAATTTGTTGCCGAGATCCTTGAAATGAATTTTCAGTAAATCTGTAGCATTGTTGGTAATTTCAGAAATAGTGTGTCAGACAGAAGGAGCATTTAAGGATATATTATCGTATTTTGATGTTTAATCGTATCAATAGGAAGTTTGTAATAGCTCATTTCTGAGGCTTAAAATTTTAAAATTCTCCCAAATGGAAATTTGAGTAAGTTAACAAATATGACAGTGGTTGGTCTTTTACAATGGGAGGTTGATAGTCTTATGACAGAAGTTCAAGTCCAATATATGTAGACTGACCACAGCTCTGTTGTTAGTATGAGAGTATAGTGTATTTTTTTCTGATTTACTTATCCTGTGTTTACAGACAGGTATGCCAGTTTCTGAAGCGAGGAGCTGACCTTCATGCCAAGGACAAGGACGGACAGGTAACTAATGCCTAGGTCACAGTTACAGATTCTGAATAATAAATGTATCTTTTCTGCCAGATATCTTCACTGTAATATTAACTGTGGTCACCTGTGTGTACTTATCACCTCCAATGGGTTTCATTATCAAAGTCATTCATAATTCTTCAACACTGTTAATTCAACATTTTTCTTCGTTTTTGTTGCAGGATCCGTTAGACATTGCTGTGAGTAACACGAATGCTGATATAGTGACCTTGTAAGTACACAACATTCAGTTTATATTGTACACCAGGAAATATACTGATGTAGCCACATCCCTATCATGTACCATATGGGTCGGGTGTTTATCATAGAGGACCACTTTAATTGTGTCAGACTCATAGTGAACAAATGTACTTCAGATCTTGCTTGACTTGGACAAAATTACTACAGATCACTTGACAGCTCACTTAATTGTGTCAGACTCGTAGTGTACAAATGTACTTCAGATCTTGCTCGACTTGGACAAAGTTACTACAGATCACTTGACAGCTCACTTAATTGTGTCAGACTCGTAGTGTACAAATGTGCATCAGATTTTGTTTGACTTTGACAAAGTTACTACAGATCACTTGACAGCTCACTTAATTGTGTCAGACTCGTAGTGTACAAATGTGCTTCAGATCTTGTTTGACTTTGACAAAGTTACTACAGATCACTTGACAGCTCACTTTTTGATCATCAGATGATGTGCTATCCTTGTTCCTATACTTCTGTGGTCAGTGTGTCATCCTTCCATTAACAACTATTGTTATGGCTGTTTCATTAGAAGGATGGATCTTTCTCAAATTTCATTTAAAGGTTTCCTTTAGTGTCTGTCTTCAACTGTCTAAGTGGTGACTTCATTAACAACAGACAGAATACAAGTGATATAGTGTAAATTTGTCTAAAAACTTGTTTTTAACAAATACATACACTATATTGAACCATGTGTATCATGCCAGATTTGTGTTGGTTTAAAAGACTTTGATTAGTTCTTGTTTTAGGATTCAATATCAAGGTTACCATTACAAATTACAGAGAATGTGAAAAAAAAGGCAAAATAAAAACTACCATCAAACTTCACTATTGCAAAGTCTAAATATTTGAGTTCATCATACCTCGGTTACTAAGACAAAGAGAGAATGTTTGACAATACCTGGAGAAACACTTCTCATTAAAAAGGGTCTTCTAGGCATTAGAGTTTGAAGTAACTAAGTATGACCACAGATATTTTCAACATTTTGTCGGTCATTAGTATAGAATGAATATATAGAGAGCATTAAGTTGGTTATAGCTCTAAAGGTATACTTGGAAAATTTGTCATTAAACCAAACTATTATACTTTACAGATTGAGATTAGCAAAGTTGAATGAGGAGATGAAGGAGTCAGGAGGCGGTTATAACAATCCAGGTAACAAACATTTATAAGGTTTATTTCTGTAACTACATGTGCTCCAGAACACTATTAGGTTATTAGGTCACCTGAGACGAAATCTTAAGCGACCTATTTTGATTGGCTTTTGTCCGGCAGCGTCAGGCATGCATTATAAACAGTTTACATTTTCGACTTATTCTCAATAACCAAAAGGGCCAGGGTCATGATATAAGGCCAGTAGCATGCTGGGATGAAAGGCTACCAAGTTTGTTCAAATGAATTACTTTAACCTATTTTCAAGGTCACATGGGTCAAATGTCTGAAAAAAAAACTTTAAACAATTTCTTAATAACAAAATGACCCAGGGTCATGATATTTGGCCAGTAGCATGCTGGGATAAAAGACTATCATTTTTGTTCAGATGATCTTGACCTTTATTTGGGGTCACAGGGGTCAAATATGCTTAACTACACAATGGACAGTGTTATCAGTTCAGATTAATTGAAAATTAAACCTTCAAACTTAGAAACAATAAAAACATTGTAAGTATGCCCCAATGCTGGGACTTATGAACAGGATCTAAAACTGTCCAAAGACCTGAAGACCTTAGATGACCGTTAAGTTCCCATGGGCCTCTTGTAAATGGATTATGGTGTCTTTTGATTGTCTCTAATATATGTTGGACTAGACTCTCAGATTTAACTAAGATAGAAATCTATGTGGCACTAGATGTGCTGGACAACCATCAATCAATGATATAGATAACAGCTATATATTTTTTTCAAATAAGCAATCTTAAGTAAAAAGTACTTTGTCAATGCTATCAAACTATAAATTCTGCCATTGAAATAGATATGGGTTTTGTTTATCTGTCTTGTTTTCGTGAGGACAAGTTTCAAGACGCTTCCATGAATTCAATGTTGTTGAAATAAATATCAGTATTGTTTGTCTGTGTTTTAAGGTGATGACATATTTCAAGACATCTTCTATAAATGTTTTGCTATTAAAATGGATATAAATATTGTTTATTTGCGTTGTTTAGGTGATGACACCTTTCAAGACGTCTTCCGAGATTTCAGCAACATGGCATCAAACAATCCAGAGAAATTGAAACGAACAAACACTGCAAGTACCAGCAGTTTCCCGACCTAGCACCTTCCATGTAAAGAGACGGTTTCCCCAGGGGCAAGCCCATTACAGAACAGGTGGAGAGAATAGGATCTAGTTGAGTTATCTTCTCCTGATTAGAATTATCTCCCCTTTATTATCTTTTGTAGCAATATAAAAGAAAACCTAGAGATTATAGAGACTGGTGTGGTCTGTAATTGGAGCCTTGTAAATCTCATCACTGGTTTAGGTTATTGAATTTTCTCAAATGACTAATTCCTTTTTCAGAAATCATTGTATTTCAATCAACTTTGTCTTTAAGAAAATGTACCTAAGTTAACCTTCTAAGAGCTTATTCAGTTATGTGTTGCCAGTCAAAACAAAAGGCCTGAAATCTTACTGAAGAGTTGTCTTCGTGGCATAGATATTTAGTCTTGAAAATATATATTTCTATTTAACAATTCAGAGTTCTGTTTAATCAAGTGACCCAGAGAAGATGTTTTCTTATAATTTGTGTTTGAGGAAGTGAATGATAACAGAAATACAGGTTTACAAGGTTCCATTGTAGAATGGAATGATTTGTTTATTAATGATTAGGTGATTTTATTATCTGTGTAAGTTGTTACCTAGTAACACTGTGGACATGTTCTGTTGATAGTTTCCATGTGAAAAAACCAAATGTATATACCACACTAACTGTAATAGAGTACAAATTATTAAACAGCTGTGTATATAGTGATGTTGTAAGAGCTTATAGTGGACTTTGTAACTGATCTGAGGCACCATCAACCTACACTAAAAGCCGTTTTTTCTGAGAAATTGCCTTGACTCTAGGTATTTTGTTTTTGTCGCAAGTCTTTCAGTTATGCACTGATGATAAAAAAATAGATTTTTTTTTTTACAAAAATTCTAAAATCTAGGTGCTGACCTGACCAAATGTAGCCATGGGTTGGCACTGCCTGACAAGAAACCTTTTAGATCTTGTAATGAATATTTTACTGAAATTACATCAGTTTACTTTATTTTGTAACTAGTAGATTATGCATCTTGATTAAATGTCTGGAATCTTGATGTCCAAAATTTACCCTTGATAAATTCTGTAAATACATTTGTTAAAGTAAGATTGAGTCTTACCTATTTTACATGATTTACAATTTTTAAGATTGAAATAGTATTAAAACTATTTTAATTTCTTTCCTTTTTAATCTGGAATCAATTCTGCCCTTACATTTTGTGAGTTGGTACATGTTCAGGGCTACTTTTGTTTATCAGTTGGAGTTGTAAGTTTATAAGATAAAGACATACCTACTTATTTTATTATCTGATGAGCCTTAACAAAGTATTCCACATAGATGGACAGGATCTGACTGTAGGTGTGTAGTAGTACATAGCAAGTTGGTTACAAAGTCCACTGATTAGTCAGGAGTAAAATCATGTGTATTTATCTTGTAAATAAGGCTGGAAACATGTAGAACTTGTAAATGTGATCATTGGTAATAATACCTACTTTATGTTTTACTGGTTGACCAGTACAACTTATATATAATGTCATAATTAAAAGGCTGCATAAATATTTACATTTGTTAATGAGGATCAAACACCAGAACTTCAGTTCAAACAAAAAATGTGTTAAAACCAATGAGATTATTGCTTTGGGTCATTGTTAAATACTTAAGAAACTTGGGTACCTGTTAGATTAATACCAGTGTATTCCTTGGCCATACAATTTTAGGAAATTATTACTTCAGCAGAAAATGGGAAATTCTGAATTTTGTGTTCTCACATGAAACAGATTTAAAGATTTGGTGGATTTTGAAGAATTCATGTAGAAAAAATATTCTCAACTTGGGAATCAGGCTGAAATATTGACTCAATTATATAGGCAGAAGAAAACGGATTTGAACATTGTGTTAGTTGATCAGGCTTATTATGTCTCAGTTGTCATTAGGATCTTATATCAACTTACACTGCCATGTACCACAGAGAAGCATTATCAGTGATTTACATGATGAATGATGTTTTAACCAATCAATCCTGTCATTACTAAGAGTGTGTTTAAACACAATCACCACTTCTCAAAATTTATCTTGAGAGATGTACACATATTAATCTGGTCAACCTTGAAACAAGTGATTTTGATGTTTTTCTAATAAGTTTGAAAGACTTCAATGTCCTGTACTAACTTTATAGATTCTTTCAATGAAAGGGGTAAAACTTTGATTTCTATTGATTTATTTTGATAGCTTGTCCATTTACACAAGATATAAGAAATGCATTTGTGTCCCTGTTTCATTTTATTTGTAAATTTATTCTAAAAACTGTCTTATTCTTGGCTTAACACAATTTTTTTGTTTGTTCAGAAAAGCTGATTTAGGTTGTCTACAGCAGACTAAATCTCAATCTGTGGGATAACCATGTTTTTTCTATGCAAATTTACAGTTAGCTTTATACCTACAGATAATAATAGGTCAAACTAATGAACTGTAAGTTATAAAAATGTGTAAGTAGCACTTGGAGATGACAATAAAATACAAAATTCTGTCAAATACAGGTCCTTGGTTTAATGTAGAACATCAAATCCTCCGTTTTGTACTCAGATTAATGCCTGTTAGTAGGACACAAGTTTGTGTGTAAGTGTATTATTGCTTGAATTAGAATGATATGCATTTATTGTATGTGAAGAGATATCAGTAATTTGTGAGAGTTCCCATCAGATCAACAGTTTCTATAGGACCCGACACCTGTACTGGGTGTATGATTAATATGTAGGTATTTTATGTTAAGACCCCTATATATCATCAGGATTCAGTGTTTGTATCAAGGACATAGACCACAATAATTCTGAAATATTCTACTTCACTCTAGATCTTCACTACTTATTCAATCCATCTTTGACATTTCCATCATGTCTGTCAAAAATTCTTCTATTGGAGAACATTTTCAGAAGTCTGATTTTCCATCGTATGACATCGATACATACTAAAGTACTAATTTTCTGTATTAATGCCATCCTGTTACCCTATATACTTGTAGAATATCCTGGTGCATGTTTTGTGATATACTATGGTGCCTGTATATTAGGTCAGGTCAATACGAAAATACTCTAATTTATACTAGCCATTATCTGCTGCATTATTTTTACATTCTCTTGTAGAACAATCTTTGTCCATTAACTCCAAGCATAATTAATATGATTAAAAGTTGTAATAGTTTGAATAAGCATGGTATATAAGGACAAATATGCAATCTCAAAGTTTTTATCTCTCATTGTTAAGTCTCTGTTGAACATGCTTTTTTCAATACATGAATATTGAATGACCAGTTCTTGAATAGTTATTTATTTGTACCAATCATGATTGATTTTGTATTCAAGAATATCAAATATTTTACCATTTATGAGTGTCAGATATTTACCATTTATGACTTTTGATTAAATACCTTTCATGATTATTGATTAAATATCCTTCATGAATATTAATTACATACCTTCATGAATAATGATTAATACCCTTCATGAATATTAATTACATACCTTCATGAATATTGATTAAATCCTCTTCATGACTATTGAGTATAAATCTCTTGTAAAATTAACTTGCTTTGAAATAACATGTAGCTAGAAATATCCCTTGGTGATAGAAGCATTCAGTGATATTGTCCACATGTAACCTATATATAGCTACAAAGATAATCCTTCATCAATATCATATCTGTCTCAGAACCACCTGCTTGTGTATCGAGTTGATTCTATATTCTGTTTCGTAACTCTTGTGCCATATTCCTCTACAAATCAATGTTATGGATCATAGGATAATAGCAGTTTGAGTTCAGGTATAAAAAAAAAAAGTTGTCTTTGACTAATGCCTGCTGAATGTGTGACACATAGTAAGTTAACATGCCATGACAGCCCAGATTATTGGGAGGGAGAAGACCAGTAAATGGAAGAATATGAATTACTTTGTTATCCATATACCCTAGTATGTTTTCACAAATGATTTTGCAGTAAACAGATTTGTTTAGAACTATTTGCCAGACTGCAGCTTGCCATTGACTCTGTCCTAAAGAGTTCTGTATATAAAAGGTTTAAAGTGACAGGAGGGTAATATTTATGTTCCATCCTACTGCCATTGTGGGTGTGTGTAAATGTTGTCTGATGTATAGTCTGTTGAACTCCACTGTAAAGACTAGCCATTCTATTCCCTCGTGATATTTCCCTATAACAAGGAGTGCAATTCTTATAACCTAACTTATAGAACTTCCATCATGTATGTATATATTGTTTCTGTCGCTGAAGATAGCATTAGGTGTACATTGTATTGTTTACGTTTTACCTCGTGTCAAGTTTTCCTTGTTGCAATCATTAAAATTTCCATAATGGTATTTATTTTTTGAGTTCACATTTTGAAAAACCAGAAAGATATAAAAAAAATCTCCAAGCTGGCATGACACGCATTTGCATTTACTGTGTATTAAATTCTATTTTGAGGTAACTTGACAATTTTTCATGATTTTTATTTTTTATACAAAATTATTTCCAAATTTCAGTACATACTGTACTTTTTGTGTATGATTATCAGATTAAACAAAAAAAAAAAGGGAAAAAATTATTCTTAGAGACTTAAGCTTTTAATCTTAAGTACTTGCAATTCAACTTGTAGAGACTAATTAATTTAATTTGTAAGGTTTTCTCTTGTACAAATTTTATACCTGAGTGAACCTGGAATAATATATTTGTAATTATTTCAAGGATCTAAAAAATGTGCATTATCACATAGATTTTTTAAAATCACATTTTTAAAAGAGGAAACAAAAATAATTTAATGATAGCCTCTCTTTAACTGCTAAGACATAAATCAAAAACTTGTTTTCTTGTAAAGGCCAAATGAAACCTGCAAGGTCATAGAATTACATATATTTTCCTTGGTTTATTGAACTTTTACTTCCCTTAAAAATTGTGAACTTTATCAAGTCCTTCTAAGCAATGATAGCTGAACTTCTTTCCGACATATCATGTTATTTTAGCTGCAATATTGTCACTAATTTAAAGCAAGTTCCCATATATATTATCTTATTGTTGTCTGCCTGGTTTTAAGTGCTATTGTGCATGATCAGTACCAGAATCCTTGGACCAAACCAAATGTCGCTTTTAGTCCACATGTTTGAAATAAAGTGTTTTAATGCTCATCAAGTTATGGATCGAAAACAATTCAAGGACCAAAAAAATAACACTAACGAATAATAAGTCAAAGTACGACAGAATTTAGGCATTCTGATGTCTATGTTGTTGGCACTGGTATTTTTATATTTTTTTTTGTTAGGAGAGCATTTCTGATCTCTTATGAACACAATCAAGTTACTTAAGTTTAATGTGGTGACCTGTTATTAAATTTATTTTGATAAATCATAATATATTCTTCAATCATAAACATTTTGTGCCCTGACTGGAGTCAGAACCCTAAAATAACTCGGTGTCATGGAAATAATAATTTGCAAATACATTGTAATTCATAAGGAAAGACAGAATATACTAATAGGCTATGTATTAACTGTTCAATTTTTGGAAGATGTTGGTGAAATGAATTATAACTTGTTGGTTTGAATTCAAGCCATGTCTGTAATTAACCCTTGGTGAAGGTTTCATAGGAAAAAAACAAGTAGGGACAATGTTTTAATTAGTATATGCCATCTTTTGTCAAGAGGCCAATACATAGTTAATTTGCCTGTTTATGAGGTTGCTAGCTCTACTGAAGTAAAATGTATTGATGTATTAATTACTTTGGTGCGGTCTGTCTGTGCGTCCGTTTGTCTGCGAGTCACACTTCTAGTCTTCACTTCAGTGACTGTATTAACCGAGAGATTTAATTAAACGTATTTCGGACAAATCAAGAAAAAAAAATATTCTCATAAACAATTATTGGGTTATCTGGCTACATCAAATATCAGGGATACAGATGATATTGGTTTTTTATCACTCAACCTTGCCATTACTGAAAATATAGATTCAGTTATCCAAAGTTAAATCAGGGGCGGGGATATTGTAGAATTGATCTCACTCTCTTCATTTGACATAATCTGCAATGTGTCATCTTCATGTATCCCAACTTCTACACATATACCATGTTCATGAATAACTTCTTGTATTGTTAACTATATATTATGTTGATTAACATTAAATCTAACCATTTTTTTTTAGTAACAAAGTTAAAATCTTAAGCTTATTGTACAATGCCTGCATTATCAATCTCTAGTCATTCTAACTAAAATGGATTTTAGTGTTCTGCTCACACAAAAAAAAAATGTCATTACAATTAAAAAATAAATCTGCTTGGAAGTATTCTTTTGTCTTTTGTCTTTTTTAAAAAAAATCACAACTCTATAAAGTACAGTATTAAATCCTTTCAACAGAAATGACTAAGATTGTGAGTAGAACTTTCACCATCTACATGGAAGTAGAGTACTTGATACCTTGAGGTAAGAGTTATTTCCGTTTATCTCGTACCAACAGCCGAGGAGAGCCTGCATTATAATGGATTCCAATGTAACTCACTGTCATCACTTGTCCACTAGATTCCTATTTTATCAGTAATTGGATCTTCCTAAAATTTGTTCATCTATAATTGATTTTGATTCTGCCGGTATCAATAAACAATTTAGACTATATTTCAGTCCTCTCTGTAACAAACTGAATACTAACCTTTAAGAAAGAAATTTGTCAAACAAATGTCTCTTTAGTACAGCCAACAACAATGGTCTGAGATAAATGTATCCTGAAAACATTAATAAGAAATGATCAAATCTGAGAAAACCTTGTGAATTAAAAACACTCTGAATGCAAAGTAAAACAAGCATTTTAATTTCATCAACATTAATATAACTTATACAATAAATCAAACAACAAAAATGTAACAGGCACAATTCAATAACATCAGAACAATTTTTTCTGCTGTCTTCAAGGACTCTTGTGTGAATTAAAATTGCTATTTTCAATTAAAATTCAAATGCTAAACACATCACAATAGATTATAATCAGGGACTATTAGAACAGAAAAAAGCTTGCTGTTTGTGCTTGAATGGTACTTTGTGATTTTTTAATGAAATTCTGCTGTTTGTGTTCTAACAGACTGGAAAATCATGGACTGTGTTAGAACAAAATGAAATCTTGTGAGCTATGTGTTAGAACAGATTGAAACCTCTAGAGCTGCCTGGGCTGTTGGATCCTCCACCAAAATTAATGGAGAAATTTGTCTCTTTTGTGTTGTTTCCTTGAGTGGAGTTATCTGTCCCTCCTCCAAACAGTGACATAAGGCTATCCCCACTCTTGTCAGTGCAGAAGTTGAGAGAGAAGCTTGTCTCTTGTTCCTTGCCCTCAACATCCGGAGAAGTCTGGTCACCACCTCCAAACAGCATCATGAGACTCTCTCCTCCACATGAAGAGTGGTTTCCTGAGCCTGTTTTAACAGAAATAGCTAAAACATACGTCCGAGTACTGTAGAATTTTTTTTATATTATATTATATATATGGCAAGTTTGAATTTAAAAACAATAGAAATGCAGGACAGAACAACATGAGAGTATCCCATGAAAAAATGAAATATGTAACGGAGATGAATGAATAGGTGAGTATGAATTAAGGATCAGCCAATCAAATCTAATTTGTTGAAAAACCTGGGTATTCACATTTGAATTAACATCTCACATCACTGACGTTCAAAGCTTTGGTTAATGAGAAGTCAGAAGCTTTTAACAAAATTGATATCTGTGATCTTGAATGTAAGTCAAAATCTTTTCCTTACATACTCAAGTACCTTTTAGCCAGATAAAGCTCTAGGCCTTTAGCCTTTAAGTTATTGAAAACTTGTCTAAGGTTTTGACATATTTGACCATTGTAACCTTGAATACAAGTCAAGGCCATTTTTATTAACAATCATTGTCAGTCTTCATTAAATGAAGCTTGAAGTCAAATATCATGTTTCAAGGCCTTTCAGTAATTGCAAAGAAGTTGTCTAAGGTTTTGCAGTATTTTACCCCTGTGACCTTGAAAATAGTCAAGGTCATTTCTCTTTTCAAAGTTTTACAGGCTTCATTGAAGGAAACCACCAGTCAAATATTATGATCTATGCCTTTTGGTTATTAAATAAAAGTTGTTTAAAGGGAAAGGCAATACTGAATAGACAACAGACACCACACCATATCATACTGCTTGACCCTTCTGGCCAGGTAAGGTAACAAGAGTACTGCAAGGTGGAACAATATACACCTGCCCATGCCAAATTAATATTCATGACCTTTTGTATTAAAAACGATACAAATATGGAAAAAATGGAATAGTAAGTTAAAATATCAAGAGGGAAAACAGTGCTATATGTTTAATGATAAAGCATACTAACTTTTTAAGAAATGAGTGGAAAACTGACAGAAATTTCTAGATTAAAATGCTGAAAAGAACAAATGTCAATTCCACTTTTAATCATTGCTGAATCAAAATGTTATTTTCTTGAAAACAAAATTTCATGTTGTGATTTTTCAAGCCTACAAAGTTTCTAAGAAACTGGTTCAAAACTGAGGAAGGAGAGAATTGGACAACAAAAAAATGCTTTTGAAAAAACAAAGCACAATGACCCTTTTCAAAATTGAAAAATCAAAATGCCAGAAAGGAAAACATAAAAATTTGTTATGGTTATAAAGCCTACCAAGCTTCAGAGATATTGGTGTAAAACTGAGGAAGGAAATCTCTATGAAAAAATGCTGAAAAAACACAACGGGCAATGACTCCTTTAAAAATTGTTAAATAGAACTGCTGTGTAAGGAAACACCACTTCGTGTCATAATGAATTCAGCCTATCAAGTTAGAAAGAAATCAATTGAAAACTGAGAGAGATGATCTTCAGACAAATTTAAAATTATGAAAAACAACAAAAGATAGTAATTCTTCCCAATACTGTCAAATCACACTTCCACGCAGGTACACACAACTTCATGTTCCTCCTGGTGATTAAGCCTATAATGTTTGAAGGAAATAAGTTAAAAATGAGAGAGGAGATCTTGGAACAAGATTAACATTATGAAAAAAACAAGAGCAGTAACTCTTTCAATTATTGTCAAATCAAAATGCCGTTCAGGAAAACACAGCTTCATCTCATGGTGATTAAGCCTTTAAAGTTCATAAGAAATAAGTTGAAAACTGAGAGAGGTGATCTCTGGACAAGGTAAATATTATGAAAACAACAAGGGGTTGTAACTCTTTAAAATACAGTCAAATCAAACTGTCAGTCAGGAAAACACAACTTCATGTCATGCATGATGATTAAGCCTACAAAGTTTGAAAAAGATTGGTTGAAAACTATGGTAAGAGATCCCAGACAAATAAAAGTATAAAATGGACAATATGGACAATGCCATACCATATCAATACATCCCATCAAAATGTTCTGATATGAGTATGACAGCAAAGGTCATTAACTCAACAAAAAGATGAAGAACATTTACAATGGCCAAAAAGACAAAACCATACCACAACATATTCCTTCAGTTTCTTATAAGTTTGTAAACAAATGAAGAAAAATTATGGTTAGACATAAAATGTGCTTTACAGTTGTAATATATATTTCTGAATTTTCTTCATTCAATCTCAATTTTATGTATACAAAGATTTAGTTTTTGTAAATGAGTGTATGTTTTCAGGTGTTCCAATGTTAATATGTATGATGCAGTCTGGTGAACTGCCTGCTTATCAGTAATTATGTAATCTCAATGTTTCAGGCATTTTCTTAACTTTTGAAATTATTCATAAAGTATGGAATGAATTTGGAAGTTTCTAGAAGTCAAATGCAATTGATTTCTGTACTGAGGGCAAATAATCAACAAGAATTTAGAATTCTTTTTCTTAACCGAGTCAATCAAGACCACATCATATTTTCATTTCAGAAAATTGGCTATTTTTTGCCATCAGATTATAGCAAATACTGAACTGGTCAATTTTTACTGTGAAAGATATACATTTTCAACTCCTGCTCTTCAATAAAATATGATATGACTGTGATAAGGTATCTTGGTTTTGACAAAAGATACTATAATAAACTTGTTATACGCTATCACTAGAGTTAAGAGACTAGGTACATATCATACAATTAAAGACTTTCTACATTGTGGTAGTGGCGTTGAGTTTATTTTACCTATAGAGTTTTTTCCCCCGTCACCAAAAACACTGCTTGCCTTGTCGTTACCAAACAAACTCATGGGTTGTCCAGTCTCGAAGCTATCTGCAGTTCTTTCCCTAAACAAATTTGAAGCCTGAAAGACAACAAACAATTCTCTGGAGGCAATGATGAATTACATTCATAGTTTGATAAAGGCAAAGGATTCCATCTATATGTAGAGGCAAAGATTTATTACATTTAGGTTAAAGGCAGCAGTCTATTACACTTACAATCAAAGGCAAATATTTGTTACATTTATAGTTGATGTAGATCTATAGTTAAAGGCAAAGGTTTACTATATTTATTGCTATAGGCAAATGTTTAATTTATCCATAGTTAAAGGCAAAGGTTTATAATATTCATAGTTGATGGCAAAGGGTTATTATATTCATAGTTAAAGGCAAAGGTTTTATTTATCCACAGTTAAAGGCAAAGGTTTATCATATTTATTGTTAAAGAAAAAATTTTACTACAAGTATAGTCAAAGTCAAAGGTTAAATCCACAGTTCAGTGAAATATGATGCCTGACACTTACTCATTAAAAAGTTCACCTGTATATGGTTTGCAACAATGCACTGATTTATAATTTTCAAAATATGAATAAAAGAATTCATATTTGTAATACAATATTATAACAATATCATAATTATCATGTTATACATATGCATACAGTAAGATTATTTCAGAGACCAATCTTACGTTTTCAGTTCAATGACCAAATTTTTTGTTAAAAGAATTAACTAATAGATATTTCATTTCCTACCTCTCCCATAAAAGGATTTAGGAAATCCCCAACGCTGTCCTGTGGATCATTCTGAAAAAAAAAGAGAAATATCAACAAGCTATATGATACATATATAGCTAGAAAACTAAACACTGGATAGATCATTTCTGTATTGAGAGGACAGACCTTTGATATTGTTCAGAATGAGATTGATTGTAGCTTTCATAATACAAAGTGATATGATCTAATTATTTATAAGGTTGAAAGGCTACTTATAATATTTGGCATATGAAACTCTCAATTTTTTGTCAATGAAAGAATTGGAAAGATTATAATGTCTATTTAGGTTTTCAGGTTTTCATCTCTTCGTTTAAAAGAATTACTTACATCAGGAATGTTAAAGACTAACAAATAAATGCTACAACCATAGAGATTTTTCTTAGTTCTTTACACAGCTATGGAAGCTTTTAACCTACAGACAATACCTGAGTTTCTTTGAACATTGTCCGTGAAGAGAAAGAAATAGGTCCAGGAGACTTGGAGAGAAGCTTGACTTTTTCCTGATGTTTCTCAAAATCAAATGGACTTAGACCCATTTCATCATGATCTACAAAGTATGATTTCTGGTATGACTGACAGGTATATGAAACATAGTTGTGATATATTAAGATGCATCTGCTCGGATTCAAATTAGGGACCCCTGGCTTACTAGTCTTACAACCAATCAAGCTAAGAAAAGATTTCTAGCCAAATGGTAACCTGGGTTACATTACCCCCTCAAGGAAATTACTCATCCTCGAGTTTCAGGCTATAGAGAGCAATACTTGTGAAAGTAGCCAAATGGTAACCTGGGTTACATTACCCCCTCAAGGAAATTACTCATCCTCGAGTTTCAGGCTATAGAGAGCAATACTTGTGAAAGTAATACAAGATATTATTCCCTAGTCTTGTACATGGGTGCCAAATACAACAGAGGTCATCATTTATTTCAATGCCTCCATAAGGATTTGAACCCAGGACCACTGGCTTACTTGTTTGATGTTCAACTGATCGAGCTAAAAGCAGTACACTGTAACTAGTATTTTATCAGGTTACACTTGTATATATAATGTTTGAAGCATTTTCTGTTTTAGTTGATGAATGCATTTTTAATGAATATTGTTGGTACTAATTTTTGCCATTTTCAATTTCTGTATACCAATGAAATATAATGACTAACCAGGCATTGCTGAAGGTGGTGTTTTTGGACAAAGTTCTGTCTGTAGCGAAGAGTCTGGTCTTTGGACTAGCTGTGGTGGAGAGTCCGGTTGTCTAGGTCTTTGGACTAGTTGTGGTGAAGGGCCTGGCTGTCTAGGTCTTTGGGCGAGTTGTGGCGAAGAGTCTGGCTGTCTAGGTCTTTGGGCGAGTTGTGGTGAAGAGTCTGGCTGCCTTGGTATTTGGGCGAGTTGTGGCGAAGAGTCTGGCTGTCTAGGTCTTTGGACTAGTTGTGGCGAAGAGTCTGGCTGTCTAGGTCTTTGGGCAAGTTGTGGCGAAGAGTCTGGTTGTCTAGGTCTTTGGGCAAGTTGTGGAGAACAGACTACAGCTGCATCTGCAAGCAATATAAACACCAGTTACTAAGTAGTTCTGTGTAGTGGTTCTGTGTAACTTATATCTTACACCTGTGTAAAAAGAGACCTGGAAACAATGCTAGCTCAAGACAAAGTCATAGCTTATTAATACAATCAAGTTGCCTACGCAAAGATTCATTGTAAGGAGAAATATGTCTCTTTAGAATGCACAAATCTACGCAATTTTTGCTGAACAGAAACAGTAAAATGATACATTATTAACACAGTGCCTTCATCTTCATAACTTTCCTGCATTTAGAGGAGTATAGGAATATACATTGAATACATTAACCAGAAACAAATTAACTTGAAATAATTTTTACATGGACAACTTGCAAAAAATTCAAATATTATTTACCTGGTATCTTGAGAAAAAGCTGAAGTTGGATAAAGGTATATAGTAAAAGAAGTATAAAATGAAAAGGTATAATGTACTTTTAACAGAGGAATTGAAATTCTTTATTTCAATATCTCAGCTAGGATTTGAACCAGGGACTAGTCTAATGCTCATTTGTTTGAGCTATTGAGATGTTCTCTTTAGTCCAGCTATATACTGCAGCTAGTATTTAACCAGAGATTCATACTCATCCTCGCGTTTCCAGGGCTTACAGCGATGCTTGCAAAAGTAATGCAAAGTATCATTCCTGAGTCCCTACATGGGCACCAATGCAACAAAGGTCTTTATTATCTTCAGTGCATTCACTAGGAATCGAAGCCAGGATCCCTGGCTCACCAGTCTGACATTCAATTGATAAAGCTGAAGATGCTGAGCGGTATATTGCAGCTAGTATTTTACCACATTTACTTACTCAGAAGAACAATAAATCAAAGTGTAATTTGCACAGAGACAGAGATGAGGAAAGTTTTGTAGTATGAAAGCAGTTGAAAAATGGTTATTGTAGGAAAGGTGAATGGAGAAAGGTATTGTTTATACCTGACCTGATCAAGAGTTGAGGAAGGCATTCTTTTCTAGGATATCAAATTTCTTTACCTGAAGATGAAGAGGATGTAGAAGCATTGTTTGGTTCCTTCTGCATTAAGACTGTTTGGTTTTGAGTAGGTACTCTTTGTGTTGATGGAATTTGTCCATTTTGAGCCTTTGGTGCCAATATTTGGCTGCTACTTGGAGCTCTTGTTGTTGATATATTGTCTGAACCAGTCCTTGGTGAAGACATTGGTCTGATATTGGAGGCGTTTGGTGTAGACATAGAATTCCAATTAGGAGTCTTAGGCATTTGCATCTGAGTGATACCTGAAACTCTTGGTGCAGAAATTTGACTTTTGGTTGAAACATTTGTTATGGAAATTTTATTGAAAGTTGGAGCTTTAGGAGCCGACATATGTTTGATACTTGGAGGTCTTGGTGCAGACACTTGGTTTCGAAACTTGGGGGCTGCAGGCACTTGGTTAATGGTTAGGGCTGCTGGAGCAGTTATTCTATTTAGAGTCCTAGATGTTGGCATCTGACTGATGCTGGGAGCTCTTGGTGCCACAATTTGACTGTAGTTTGGGGTTTGACATGCTGACTTTTGGTCAATATCTGCAGGTCTCAATGCTAACATATTATCATAGTTTAGTGATGCTTGATTTAGATCTGAAGCATTTTGTGGAACCAGCTGGGAAAAAAAATCAAAGAATTTTAAAGCACACAAAATCTCTCATCTGAATCTACTCAGAGTACCTATGAAAACTTCTGACTAATTACACAGTACAATGTTTAAATATCATTTACAAGTCTCTATTAGCAAAGCAAAGAAATTCATAAATTAGTAAATTTTGTTTCTAAAAGAATTTTATGATTTCTATCCAAAATTTGTAATTTGTACAAACCTGCTGGGCTTGCTGTTGGACCTGCTGTTTTTGTTGCTGGACATGTTGGAACTGCTGGTGTTTTTGTGTCTGAAGCATCTTTTGCTGTGCTAATTGAGTTTGTCGTGCCTGTTGTTCAAGTTGAGATTGACAATGAATCTGCTGTTGTTTCTGTTGCAGCTGTTTTTGTAAAGGTTGAGGCTGCAATTGCACCTGTTGAAGGGGTTGTTGCATATGTTGAGACTGTCGTTTGCCAGGTGGAAGCAGTATACACTTGAAAATGAATTTTTAAATTACCAGTGCAATTTATTTACAAACATATTTGTATGTTGTAACAACAATCTATTCTTATTTTACTGGTCTATATCAAATTACTTTTTCAAATTTATCTTTAAAGAAACATAGGGGTAGAAAGTAAATTTGTAGATACTTTTGGAGACCATGTCTGTTATGCAATATGAAATTCTTGTTTGACAGAGTTTAACATCCTTTCTAATGGATCATACAGCAATATGAAGTACATGTAATATCAAACTATCAAACTTTTCTATTGAAGTAATAAATAATTCTACAGAAAAAGTGTATGAATATGAAAATTTAAAAAAAAAAAAGAAAAAGGTGACCAGGTGAGCTAAAAAGCCCCTGAGACTGGGTTATGAAGAAGCTACCTGTTGTGGTGGTTGTTGCTTTTGATGTGGGTGTCTTTGTTGGCCTTGCTGGAACGGCTGAGGACAAGACTGTGAGGATGACAGATTTTGTGGGAGGACCATCAGAGGGTGACATGCAGTAGGCCGTAGAGATGAGTTTACGTTTGTCTCCATATCCTTCTCAGTATCAACATCATCTTGTTTCTTACTAAACATACTTAAAAAACAAGGTAACCCAAAGCATTAGTGATCTCCCTTTCTCAAGGCCAAGCCTTAATATATATACCTTGGAAAGATATGATTGGCCAATCATGCTCCTAGAGGAGCTATGATTGGATAATGGGTCCCTCAGTTTCAGTTGTAAAATCACAACTTCATCATGCCACCAAAGAGATAGGGAGTAAGGATATCAACATTTAAGACATTCGTCAGTTTATTAAAATGCTATCTTTCAACAATGCTTGAAAAAGTCATTGATATAATCAAGATGTACATGCAAAGAAGCTTTGAAAGGAGAGATATATATCTCTCTTAACAATTCACAAAATCCTGACACTTTTTTCAGTACAGTTAAATGTTACCTTATTAACATAGAGCCTCCATCTTCATCACTTTCCTGTATTTCCATGCAAGGCTGTAAAGACTCTGTGTTAAAGCTAGGTTGTGTCTCTGAACAGGACTGTGATTGCTCAGAGATCAGACAAACCTGAATAGGCTCCGAACTCAAGTGCAGCTGATCCTGCTGAGAAATCCCACGGGGCTTATCATGACCCAAATTTGCATGGGGATCAACACAGTTTTGACTAGCAGGTAGCTGAACTTGATCTTGAGCAAATGACTCTTTCATGCTAGGTTCAGAAGTGTTTGTGTCCTCCCTTACACTCTTTATTATTTGTTCTTCTGTTTTTTGCCTTGATTCCTTTTTCTATGAACAGAAAATTGACTACATCACAATCACAATATAGTGCCATATATTTGTAATATAGTGGTTACTAATCTGTTTCTATCAAATAAACACGATATACAAAATAAATTCTGTTAAAATCTGATAACCCCTATTTCTCAGGATTGTTATTTCATGACTTGCAAAAAATAACTTCCCCCGTCTTAATTAAATAAATTAAATGCAAACAGTTGAAATGATTAGCTATGTAATCAGATTTTGAAACCAAACCCTAGCTCATTAATTCAGAATCTAAAACCTTAATAGGTAAAAAATATATTCCCTACTTTCAATACATATTGTGAAAGCTCAATCAGTTGAAATGACCAGGTATACAATGCTTTTACATTTTTTAGGAAAATGTAAACTACACTGTAATGGTAAAACAATTGATCTTATTATAAAAGGAAAAAGTACCTCTGTGTGTCTTACATATCAATAAATCAATTATATAAGTGGGAAATGATATTGTTCAAAACATTTCATTTCAATCTGAACTGACTTATCTTACACAATATGTTACGGATGATAAATGCTACCTTTCTGATCTTTTCCTGTATCTGCCTCCTAACTTCCACTGTCTGTCTGATTTTACATGACATTGATTCAGTTGATAGCTTTACAGCTGCTCTAAAACAAGTTAAGGACTGAGTCCAAGTTAGAAGAAATCTAGTGTTATCTGGATTTAACACTATTAGAAAAATATCTTTTTAGTAAGTTATTTTATTCCAGCACATCTGCATCACAAGTTTTTCTTGCTGCTTCAACCCTAGCCTTGCCTTTATGCTATAAAACTGCCATCTCATGATTAACATTCCAGCAATGATTCAATTGCTCTTCCTAAAATTGACCAAAGAAGCCAGGAAGTATTTGTAATTACTCATACCTTACAAAACAAACTTCTTCTCTGGGTGGACATGGCTAATCCTTAGAATATGAAATTAAATTTTGATCAAGCACCTAAGACTGATCCATACATTAAGATTTTTCTTGTAGAATTTGATAATGCCACCTGATTTCACAAGGTCAACTTGATACTGGCCGTATCATGACCTGCTTAAACCATGGAAAGAGGTTGGTAATACCAAGTAGGAATAAAGTCACAAAAGTAATAAATAAGTGAGATACAACTTTTAATGAGAATGGAGTTGTGATCTCATCCAGAGCTGAATGTCCAGGAACAAAATTGTATAACATATTGTACTATAAGAAACTGTTTATAGCTGCAACATAGGTCATTCATTAAAATCAAACCTGCATGTACATATTTAAAGTATTTGACTAAATGTATTCAAATGGTCACAATACAAGTATGACTCAAGTCAACACAACATCTTTGTTAAAAAGGATACAAATTAATAACAAACTTGTTCAGGTCTTTGAGTTCATCATCTGTTGATTCTGTAAACAAGTTGGTGTACATCTTTACAAGTGATCAACAACCCCACAACTCCCACTATCTCAATTGCCAAAGAACCAAACCTTAAAGGTTGATTTCACTTGACAATTGGAAAAGTCAAGCTAGTCAAATTCTTAAATTGTGCTATCTGTAAATCAAACCAAATCATTACCTTTGATTTCATGAATTTGGACATGCAGTTGTTTTATTTGGGTTTCCATTTCTTGGAGCTGTTTTTCCAATGAGGAAACACTACTTTTCTTTTCCTCCAGAGATTGTGCCAGTGGAAACATCTTGTATTTGCCTTGGTAATCTTCCCAAACATCATTGTAGTGTTGCAGGATTTCTTTATGTCCATTCCTTCATCAATAGATTATTCCAAATTTCAAAACACCAGAACAATTATATGATCATAGTGCAATACTTTCATCTGTCACACAACAATACAGTGGTTTCCTTGCTTTTCCATTAAACTCAATATATATTTCATGTTGGTAAAATAAAAGCTGCTTACCACCGATTCAGCTAGGCAGAATTTCTCTTTAGATCATGGTAAGCCAAATGTTTCATGTTAGAATTATGTAGATGGTATGAAAATAATGACCCCTGCTAGTGTAGTGATGGGCCAATGATCAGATATAATCAACTGATGCAATGATCCAAATTTTTCTTATGCAGTTCCATTACCTTATGTTATTGCAAAATCAAACATCATAGTATACATTATAAAAGCCAATTGCCAAAATATTTTGTTCTTACGTCGTATGCAAATTTTAGGACAATGAGGCATTTAAGGTTGAAGTTATGTCAGCATCTGATGTAATATAAGGAAATATCTATGTATAGGATTCAGTGCTGTTCATTTCTTTTCTGCTTTTAAAGAAGATTGCTTTCTCATTATTTATTCGTTTTTGTTATTTAATTTGTCTTGTTACAGTCTTTTGGCTTTTCATGAAAGGAGTTATATAGGTGCAACAAATTATCGAGTATTTAACCCCAAATTTCATCCTTTGATCTGGTGTTATATATACAATTTTTATAAAGAAAATCAACTGCATTCTAGTTCAAGAATTTATCAGACAGCACACAACAAATAAAGAAGAGGAAAGAGTATGCTATACTATGTGGGCACCCAGGGGTATATTCAATGCTGGCGAAAGTGCAAGTTTAAGTGTGCAGACTGAAACCATCTCTCGGTGCTATGAGGATATGCCAACTGCTTGCCAGTCTTCACCTCTGAGAGCCAGCCATCAGAGTCCACTGGTTAACCCCACTACACCCTGTGCCTTGTCCGCTAGATCTATTTTTTGCTCTCACCTTTGGAATTGTCTGGTCCACTGTTCCAAAGAAGAAAGAACTTGCAGCATCTAGTCAGCAATAACAATATATATACACCTGAGTGAACCCACATAAGATGTAATCATTTTACACTAACACACATTCATTACATAGGGAAGGTTTTACACTTACCTTTCATGTTGAGCTGATTCTTCTAAAGCTGTTAACTGTCTGTCTAACGCTTCATCATGTTCTTTCAACACAACCAGGGTCTTCTTCAAACTAAAAACAAAGCCAAGGACAAGGACATGCTTTCTTTTAAATATCACATTTTTAGTCATAAGGTTCCAGTCAAAGGTAATAAAAAGTGGCATTCAGAACTTGGCAAGTTCTCAATTTGTAAAATTTTGCTGCAAGTGTGAGTCTGACTTGGTCAAATCTAAAGCTGCAAAGGTTAAGCCAAAATAAGTAAATAAATCTAGAGTGATGCTAAATCAAACACAAACTCACTAAAAATAATATGTACATTAATCAATGAAAAGATTCATCAGATTAAAAATCCAATTTCCATCACAAAAATTCTAAGAGTGTGTCACTCATTCTAGCTTTGCTACCTTTCACAGTTTTCACGATTGTATGTGTACTGCCGTTGACCTTGGCTGGTGTCATCATCCAGCTGGGATATCTTTTCTTGTAGATCTGCTAACACTGTTTTTCCTTCCCCTATTTCTTTTTCTAGTGCTGTATAATTAATTTGGAATGAAAAGTCACTGTTGATTGATATGTAAAAGAAAAACTAATCTATATCTGTTTAAATTTTTTGTCTTTTTGCAAAGATGTGATCAAAAATCATGTTATTTAACTTAATCTTATTATTTTCCAAGGGCCTAGGACTACACCAAATACACATTTACATGGTAAATCTTACTTAAATGTCCTTCCCAGTTAGCTAAAACAAACATTCCAAAGAACAACAATACTTTTGGAATTCCCTAAATGGGCAACAAATGTAACCTAGGTCCCTTTCTTTACACAGATAATGAAAGACGCTTACCTTCTATGTGCTGGCATTCTTTGTGTATCAGTCGAACAAAAGTCTGGTTTTCAAATTCTGGTGAAATAAAACACATCAACATAAGGAAATTATTTTCCAAGACTCAAGTGAGTATTTAAAAAAAATTAATAGGAGGCAATGTGTCTTGCAGTGATCACTGTATGATAACACTAAACAGGCTCCATTTATCTCTGCTTTATTTTTCAACTTTATGATTACTTATTTTTTGTTCCAGACAAAGTCAAAAACCAAATAACAGTCAAAAAGGCTATGTCAGAACTCTGCTGACTACCAGTTTTTATGTTCAAATCAAAGTTAAGCTTCAGTGTACTAGGTCCATCCTCGCAACATCAAAGATTTATTGATATTCTGCTGCTTAGGATGATGATACTTTTAGTGAATTTATGAATTTAATTTAATATGCTTTTGTACAATTCTTAAGTGAAATCATTGAAACTACTGCAGAATGCAAATTTGAGGTATGTATATAAATGCTTTTTATCCCGCGTCCATCCAATTGCTGTTAAATAGGCCTACTAAGCCTATAAAATAATTATGTGACAAAACGCATTTCACTTTTAAAAGATGAACACTACCGTGTGTTTATGATCATGACATTGTGCAGACAAGGAAATACCTACCGACTTTTTTAATAAGTTTGTCTAAATCATCACCATCCGAATATTGCAGATAATGATCCATTCTCTTGATTCTGTTGATTTCCTTTCAGACAGGGGACCGACTGGACTTGTCACGGGTCCACCCTTTAGTTTCAAGCGTCATGTACACATAAATGTGTGGAAATAGCTTCAATTGTACATAAATTATATATCACAAATAATGTAATAAAGCTGAAAACAATATCAGTTTTCCAACAGCAGACCTACCGATCGTATGAGACACATTTTCAAAGATTGCATCTCAAAGTTCGTCTGCTTTTCTGATCTTCATCCCAAAAATGTTTGAATGTTATGACAAAGCGTCTTGGTGAGGTTCAAAAGGATCAAAGTCACCGATGGTATAAATTGTCGAGTTCGATGGTATCGAAGAGTTCGATCTTTAAACACACTACAAATTCAGTTGCCTATCCATTGTCTTTAATTTTTCGTACTTTCGGATACTGGATCTTTTCCCAGACAATGGAAGCATACTCTAGTGATGCCAATTTTCAAGAAGGCGATAAGCAAAATCCCTCCAACTATGGACCAATTGTAATATTTCGTAATATCAGGGACGTCCCTGGTAATATTGGTTAAGTTTTTTTCCGGCCAGGTCATTCTGCTGTTCATAAACTTGCCGAAATATATCATAAAATATGCGACAATTCGGGAGGAAATACCTGTCTAGTTTTCTGTGATAATTCCAAGGCATTCGACAGTGTGGTGTAAGAGACAGGGAGAAAAGCTAGCTAGTTATGGTATACCAGACAAGTTATTGGATTGGTTAGTGGATTATGTGTCTGAGATAAAACAACAGGTAATTTATGAAAATGGTAAATCTATTTTAAAGTCTACAAATGCAGCTGAGCTCCGTACTTGGTCATATTTTGTTTATTATTAAATATATAACTGATAATATCAAAACTATTTACGGACGATACTTCTCTTTTATGTTCCGTTAATCTTGGTCAGACAAAGTGGGTTAAATAATAAAAATAAACTTTAATGATGTTAGTGATGGATTCGTGGACAGCCATAAGCATATAGGAGTGTTTATTGATTCGAATTGCGAATGGAACTGTCATATAGAACATAATAGTAAACAATAGCTAAACAAAAAGGTGTTCTGGGTAAATTCAAATTTATCCTTAAAAGAAGTACACTACTAGTAGATATTTAGGATGGTTGTACTATTGCTGAAGTAGAAAGGTTAGAAATATCACAGGTCTTCCCTTTTATACAAGCAGACAAACTCTTTGTAATGAAACTGGTTCGGGACTATTATCCCAACGGTGATCCCGTCGAAAACTTTGACTTAGAATATATCTTATCTATCTGTGATTTAAATACTAAATGATTTAATGGAAATAGATGAGAAATGTAATTATAACATAAAGCTTTTAATTCTCATATGGTCTTCAATCACTAAAACTTCAGTGCGTCCCTCACGAATAAGAAATTCTTTTCTCTCATCAACTACAAAATATATGGAATGACATAGATATTTGTATTAGCAACTCTCATTTTATTTAAATCAATTACCAGTAAGACAGACATAACACAGAAAAAATTGACAGCTCTCCCTGATTACGACTTCTTTGTAGCCAATTTAGGTAATATAGCCGTATGTTGATAATTTAAGTGATACAGTTGAATATAAATGCGGTAACTCATGTGAAGACTTTTATCACTATCTCTGTGTTTATGTTGGGTATTATATTTTGCAAATTGTGGAATTTAAATTTTGGTTTTCACCTCCGCTTGACTAATTTGCGTGATATCATTGTGTATCACGCGACCGCCAACGTATATTTACTATATAACAGATCCGCTATACCAGAACCGAATAGGTTCAAAGTCTCACCATATTTCAGCATTTTCGTAAAAATATTGCTGCATAATTTGTTCTTTTAAACATGGATACCTCTCGATAAATTAGTTTTATTCGTTGCATTGAATTTTAAGTAAAACAGTACCATGTATGCAAATGACTCTAGACCTACATAGACAAATTTATGGAACCTATATGAGAAATACCCCTCAGAGAGGATGGTGGGCGTTTCTCCCCACCTTCACCCACCCCAAACCGGAGTGAGTAGACAGAAGATCTATGAAATCTATGACATGTTCCATTGGTGCAGAGAGGAAAGTGACTGTAACCCAGGAACTTCAGTCGACCAATCACAAATAAGTACTTGTATCAAAGTTGACTTTCATTGTCTTCCATCGTTAAAAGGCAAAGTACAGCCACGTCTTCATCTTGAAATTCCCACATAGCAATCCACATTCATATGTAATCTATATCAAACCGACTACGGTACTCGTTCTTATCGTCTCTCGTGCCCGTAAGGAAGAAAAGTCGGCGAGATTTCCCGAGCGACGACGATGATAGTATCGCCATTATGTCACTTCACTTTGCGAGTTGACACGAAATACTCAATAAGGGTAGGTCCAGCTCTAAACAAACTTTAGATATAGTTAGATCGTATGATTTAATTATAGGTTTTTTTTCTTTCTAGTTATGTATAGTTTTTTACGATAGAGTAACTCTGTATATAAGGGATGCTCAAGTGAGAGGTTAACTTAAATCTGAACATCGGGGGATGATGAGAAGTTTATTGAAGTTTTATTTACTTACGTCCTTCACCGGACTCGATTTTCCCCTCCAGAGTAGGTCTGTCTTTTCCTGATGTCCCTGTTTCGATTTCTGCTCTATAGTCTTAAGCTATGTTTTTCAGAACGTTTGTTACATATGCATACCCAATTGTAAATAGACACATTATTTTGATTTACAATAAAATGGAGAAATAACGGTCCCAAAATGTGCCAGTAAAATCATCTCCGATTGTCCTTTTTTCATGTCTTATAATCCTGCTTCCCTACTTTCGGTGTCATAAGACTTGTTCTACCGACAGCTGACGGATGGACGATGCAGGTTGGTAAAGACAAGGAAAGGTATAAGGCTATTATGATCCCAATAATGAGACATTACCGGTGTCGTCAATGATGAAATAAAAGACATTTTGCTTTCTGGAACGCGTGGTCTTGTTTTTCGTGTACAATTTCAGCATTGTCCTTTTGAATCTTTCTCGTTACATATCATGAAGATTGAACTTGAGAAAGATTTTGTTAATAGTGGTTTTTTTTCCGCGGTTAATTTTGGAGAGCTTGACATTACTTGGATCAGATAGACTCGCATGGTGGGTGCCATCGGTGGGGCAGTGATGATTACTCTTCCGGAACACGTGGTTTATTATCCTTGGCTCATTTGCCCCTGTTCTGTGTCTTTATGTCCGGCTGTATTTATGTACTTATCATCTTGTTGTATCAAATTACATCGAAGCATCATAAAAAAAAGATAAAAACAAAACTGTTGTTTTTTTTTACTAAAAGGTTTCAAAAAAGAAAGACATATTTTTCCGTCCTCTATGGTAAACTGTAAGCATATATATAGTGATGATCCGGACCTCTAATATATTAAATGGTTGTTTTCAAACAGTAAACTATATCATAATGTTGATGCAACTGATATCAAACGATAAACATTGAATAAAAGAGTCATCATAATTTATATTTCAAGTTAAATAAACAAATCCTTCATTAAATAAATGTCGTCTTTGCACATCACGGTGAAAGTTAAACAGATAATTTTGTTTACGGGACAGATTTATCTCCCTTGTTTTGCTGGTGCTGTTACGAGCTCGTTGATTGGTTGTTTTCAAACATAAAGCGGGCAAATTGAAAATGATCAAGAACCACCAACATGGCTGCCCGTAAACATTACGATTCGATCGCCACTGACACAGGCATAATGGACTCGGATGAAACAGAAGAAGACGAGGATGTATTCTTCAAAGATCCTCGCAGAAATTTATTAACAGATTTCTCTAAAACAAGCAGCAATGAAACAAATTTGAATGTTGGAGAGGAACACATGAAAGTGTATTTACGAGTTAGGCCCTTCTCAGAAGATGAACAAAACAGACAGGAAAACCAGGTAAACATTGCTTTTGAAACCAGAATTTTAATTTAACAAATAATTCCAAACATTAACAATGCTTTTTTTTCTTACTTGACGTTTTATTCGATGTTGGCAAGTATATTGGATCATCCTGCAGTGTAGTTATAGCGGATCTCCCACTCCTCCCCAACTCCATCCCTTCCCTAAGTTACATCGCGTTGGATATGTGCACCAATCCTTGATTGATTGATTCAGAATTTTGTCAGTGCAGAATATCATCTCTTAAAGTAAAGAATGCACATCTCTCGAACTCATTTAATACAATTTCCACCAGACACTCTTGACAACATTTATGATACATGTAAATTTCAAAATTGACGATAGTTTTCAGTACCTTTTTTTAATTTAGGGTCGTGTTTTTGAAGAATAAAACATTAGCTCTGTAGAGCTATGATTATATCTATAAAGATATATTTACACAAAACAAATTAACACTGTAAAAATTAAAACATACCACAGACAACTTTACAAACACTGATGGCTAATAAAACTTGTGTGACAAAAAAGCTCATGCAGCATAAATAAACGATAGTTAAAAGACAGGAAAATCCAATATACATATATGCCAATATGGCAAAGAGTAAAAATTGACTGAATACATGCTAATATAGCATAATCTAAAACAACAAGTAGAAATTAATTATATAGTGTCACACCCAATTTAATCCATATTATTTTTGACGTTCGATCAGCCTGGAATCAACTCGAGATGTATATATAAAATTGCTGATAGAAAAACTGAATGTAGATTGGCCTATCCCACATCTGTACATTAAAAAGATTATGAGAAATAAAGGAATTTTTTTTTGTATTTCTAATTCAGATAAAACTATAGAAAGTATTCTGACCAATCTGAGTAGATTGTTTAAAGTCTGTAAGTGTGAAGTTAAAGGCTTTTAAACTCCCTGGGCAATATCTAATTTGGTACATATTTACCCCATAGTTCAAAGTCTATACCTTCACATTCTGATTTGCATATGAGTCGCTGCATAATATTTATGTCTTGAAGATGATGTGTCATATCAACAAAGACTACACACATCTAGTAATACATATTTGATTTCTTTTGATATCCTATCAGGTTTTTGACTTGCATGTATATTGATTTCATATTAAGTCATTCAAATGTATCATACTGTGATAGTCTGTCATACTGTGATTGGGAAATATTGACACAGATTTTAACATCAACATACAGTACTGGTAAGTCTGATTTTTTTAGCTGCTATAAAGAAATTCCACCACTGCTGCTGTTTTATGTTATAAATATGAACTGTTGTAGAGCTGTGTGGAGATTGAGGATGACAACCATGTATTAACCCATGCCCCTAAGGATTCTCACACCTACAAAAACTGTACCCACGGTCTTGGCAAAACCACACACAAGTTCACATTCTCCAAAATCTTCTCAGAGACAACAAGTCAGAAGGATTTGTTCGATCAGACTATGCTAGGCCTGGTCAAAGACTTTATCAGTGGTCAGAACTGTCTTGTCTTCACATATGGCGTTACAAGCTCTGGGAAAACATACACAATTCAAGGTTAGTATAAATACCAGTAACAAATGATGTGATTTGATGTTAAGCTTAGGAATATCTATTTTTTAGTTTTTCTTGTGTCACTTATCAAAGCTCATCTGAAAATTGCGATATGAATCAACATTGAACTTTACAACAGATGCATATCCATTGATGGTTTGTCAATATATTTGTACTTGATGTCAAGCTTGTAAATAAAACAATATATATACAAACATGTAAGACTGAGTAACACATATTGTATTTTAGGTGAGCCAAGTGATGCGGGTGTCTTGCCGCGAGCCTTGGATGTCTTGTTTAACAGCATCAGTGGTAAACAGGTGGACGGGATGAAACTCAAACCCAACATGTTCACAGATGTGATGAAACTGTCTAGTGTTGAGGAAGAGGCGGAGAAAAAGTTTAAAGAAAAAACTCTGAAAATGAGCAATGATGATGTAAGTTTACATTTTTTGCATGATGGCAATACTTGAATTTAGGGAATCAAGGCACTAGAACAAATGTGTTGTCCATCAGTTTAACTATCGTCAAGAGCTATAGATTGATCGAAGCAATTTTATGAAATTATTATAATGATATAATACTTTGATATTCACTCTTTGTATTTCAGTCATGAAAACATTAAGCCCCAAAAAACATATCGAAAAGAGAAAATAATGTTAACCATATATGTCATTTTTATTGTAGTGAAATAATTTTAAGAAAATGAAATAACTTGAGAAACAGGGTAGCATAAAAAAGGTTAAAGAAAAAGTGATAGGAAATGTTGACTGACCTCCTTGGACTGTTTTCATGAGACCTTCCCTTCAAAAAAAAGTTAATTAAATTGTCAAAGTTATTTAGATTTTTGTTTTGATAAGTGTAACTGTTTGCTTCTGATGTGCTTGTTTCTGACCTAACCCAATCATTGCTGATGTCACAGGAGCCGGATGTGATGAGCTTACTTGGAGAGGATGCTTCAGATTTAACTAATACAACAACATGCTCCGAGAGTTCTAATGTGTCTTATGCTAACTCAGAGAGACAGAAAGGTAGGAATGGTCGGACTGAAGGTGATAACAGTGTGATTATTTTCAGTCTGATACTGCTTCTTTTGTATAGACAGTGTTTGATTTTGTTGGGTTATAAGCTATTTCAAAATTTCCAGATCCATTTTTTATATTGATCCTTGAATTTCCATTGTCAATTATTCAGCAATTGTAATGATTATTTCTGTCTCAGTTGAAAAGAACCAAAATATGATTGAAATGTCATCCATGCTATATCAGTGACTGGAATCTATTGTTTGTGTGATAGCCTCCATCGAGCCTGAGGATCTGCTGAGTGAGATTGAGGACCGTGTGCGAGAAGAGACGGCTGTCAGTGTGGAGGACCAAGGAAGCATCAGGTTCTCCATCTGGGTCTCGTTTGCAGAAATATACAATGAACAGATCTTTGACCTTTTGGTGTCCATCCCAAAGAAGAAGAATGTGCGAAGACCTGTCCTTAGACTAAGTGATGACAAAAAAGGAAGCCCTTATATCAAAGGTGAAGCATGATGATTAAATACTGAAAGTCTGCATCTTATTATATAAAATTAAGGTTCACAATATGCTGTATCTTCAATGTTTTATTTATGTGTATAAATTACTAAAGCACTAATGACATTTGTACAATACAAAAGCTTAAAAGAATTATGAAGTACGTGAGGTTTATAAGAGAGTCAGTTATTGATATTGAGTTTTAGTGTCCCTGTATGTGGCTGTGTGTCACATGTCTAAGGCATCAAAATATTTCTGTGTCCTAATATGTAAACTTTCCACAGGACTAAAGGAAATCCATGTAACGTCTGCAGACGAGGCATACAAATTATTAACCATTGGTAAACAAAATCTGCGTACAGCATGTACCAAACTTAACCATCAGTCATCTCGAAGGTTAGTATCAGTCTCACCATACTAAAACACCAATTTAATTTTGTTTATAAGAAAAGTTTACAGTGGTTAGATCCGAATGAAATTTGTAACGAGATTACTACTCAGTAAAATAGAAAATTTCATATCTTTTGAAGACATATATGGAATTGTTTAAGCTAAAGCTGTATCCTCCACAGCAATAAGAAGTTATATGACACAGTTATAGAATTTCTCTTTATGTTGGATTCATATGTTTTGTGTTACAGCCACTGTATCTTTAACATCAAAATTGTACGTGTGATGGATGTGGATGACCCCCATGTTGCCAGAGTTAGCATGTATGTATCTATCTATCAGTATATAAATATAAAAAAAACAGATGTTTTGCATCTTACTTCAGAAAAACATAAATTATATCAAAATTTGGTAGAGGAAATTAAAAAATCTCCTTCCAATTGTTGCAAATCTCTTAAAGCTTTTTTTGTTTCCTTCCTTTTTTATGCCCTTATTATCATAATTAACTATTGGTGAACTTGTTTGGCACCGTTCAGGGCTCTCGATCTGCCAGATTTGGGGCCAAACATATCGGCCCCAGTCCTGAAATGGGATGTGAGAGCCCTGCTGTTGTATATCCTAGTTTATGATATTTAAGTAAACATGTTACTCTTTTCAGGCTATCTCTGTGTGATCTGGCTGGCTCAGAGCGATATTCAAAAACACAAAGTAATGGGGAGCGTTTGAAGGAAGCTGGAAACATTAACACGTCTCTGATGACCCTGGGTCGGTGTATAGAAATGCTACGTTACAACCAGCATCACAAGTAAGTAAGGATGATGTGATAAATAGGCAGAATAAATTGTTAGGTATTACAATGAGGTACAACATAATACCTGGTTCTGGTAAAGGAACTTAGCTGAGTAGGAGAGTCAAGCCTTCATGAAATTGTTCCTGCTTTGCAAAAAGTATAACATCATGGAATTTTAGTTATTGTGTGACATTTATGTTTTTTGTTGACAGAGAGAAGTCAAAGATCATACCGTTCCGTGACAGCAAGCTGACACGACTGTTTCAGAATTTTTTTTCTGGTAGGGGAAAGGCAGCCATGATCGTGAATGTCAATCAGTGTGCAAGCATGTTTGATGAAACACTACATGTGTTCAAGTTCTCAGCCATAGCTAAACAGGTTTGTTTTTGTTTTCTTGGTGTAGGTATTTGTTTCTAAACTTTGCTCATCATCATAGAATGTTTGATGAAACACTTAATGTGTTCAAGTTCTTGGCCATAGCTTTATGTGATAGTTCTGCTTTTCTTAAATATTTCTGTCTCTCTTATTGTGGCACTGAGTCTGATATTACAGAAAAAAAGGAATATTAACAAATACTTGTATCGTAAAGATTGGAAGGAGGGATGATGAATTAATCAATTATATTCACATTAAGTTTAAATAGAATTGGACAATTATACTTTGCATGATATGATTATGAAAATAAGAACGAAATGTGTGAGAAAATTGATAATGTTTAAGTCTCTGTATTGAAATTAGGAGGGAACCTCTTCGATGTTCATAGTAGTTTGGTGATTGATAAATTGAACATACAGGTCTAGTTTACCCTTTTTATTTTCTTACATGTGTCAAGTTTTTAAATATCAGTTATTAGCATTGAGAAAAGGACCATAATTTGTAATTATCTGGTATAAAGTTTGGCTAAACTGTTTAGGACTTGAACATTTTACAGGTGGTTGTTGCACAGAAGCCAGACCCACCACCACGGCCAAAGTTACTGACGATATCTGTACCTCCGCCTGTTGAGTCAGTCAGAGCACCATCTATTGCCTGGGCAACTCCTGGTATGTGTCAGCACCTTTTACATAATAGATTATATTGTCATTTGGACAGAAAATGTCTACCTCAAGAGCTTGGTGAAGATTATTCTTGTTTTGAGATCTTGATCAGAAAAGGTAACATTCAACTCAGAGATATAAAGTTATCTGTGTAAGATAACATGTTACTAGGAACATCATGTACTCTTTTTAATTCATAAACTGATTTTTATACATCAAATACCAGCTTCGTATTTACTTATTCAGGCAATGCAGTATATCATAGAGAATCTACAATTTGAATAAAAAGCCACTATTCATTTGGTGTTACAAACATTGTACTGTGTGATATTATCAGTTTTTTATATTATGATTGAAGGACAACTCTACACAGCAGAGAAACTGCCCCTCCCAGAGGATGAGGAGGATAACTTGGGGGAGACAGATGAAGTGGCGGTATGTTTACTCTATATGTGCTGGGTATGGTCCCCTGGACATGGCTTCCACTAGTACAGACAGAAGTGAGAATACATAGTCTCTGGGTACATAGTCTCTGTGTAGGGATAATCCTGGTTTGAATGGTTTACATGTTTGTGTATTGTGACTTTCCTCAGTTAAATGGAACACAAATTTTGTGATGTTAAGGGCTAGAAAAACTAATGTACCCACAGTCATAGTGATTTCTACCACCCCACCCCCTAGTTTTACAGCCAACAACATTCTGTTTCCTATATAAACTAAAAAATACATTTTCCCAACATGGTGAGAGAGAAAAAACATTAAAGCTATAAAAAATTTGTCAAATCTTCAACAATATTTGAATATTTGGTTATGTTTTTCCTAATTGATCCAGACCCAGGCTTCTGTTGATTTTATATAGAAACTCGATTTTGTAGATTTTAGAGTAGTGAGGATATAACTTTAGGCAGTGCTGCCTGCTCCTTGAATTGATAGATTTACCTATAGATTACTACCTTATTGTTAACAGGAACTAGTGCAGGTGATTGAGGAGATGGAAAAGGAGATCCGTGGACTCCGGAAAGAAAAACTGCACCAGGAAGGTCGTATTCGTGAGGAAGTCTGCCAGGAAATGATGAAACAGTTTGTTGCTATTGAGAATGAGTGCAGGTGAATATGTAAACTTCCTTCATTTCCATCCTAAAAAGGAGGGCAATTTTAAGAATGTAGCAATACTTTCTTCACAAAACATGAAATATACAGTGTTGTTTTCTGTGGCGAATTTTACATGAGGTAAAGAATTATCAACAAGTGAAAGCTTCCTAGTTTACAGTATCAGAGGACTGTGCTGGTCATATTCTTTCTTGGTTTTCTAATAGTTGTGTAGGAGCTATATTATTTAAACAGACATTTATACAAAATCTTGTCAGATTTTATCATACCATGGTCTTCATGGGACAACATCTTAATGCTATTCCATGTTTAATTTAGTTTTTGTGGTGACTATTTTTGAAAGCTTCATATGAAAAAAAATGTTAAAGATTTAAAAAAAAATTGCCCCACAGTGCTTTGTGTAGGAGTGAAATGACTGAGCAGTGATCCTCACAATTGTGTTATATTTTGTAGGGAGCGAATTCGATGGACAGAAGAGCTAGCCGAGGAGACCATGGAGAGGAGAATTAAAGTCTTAACTGATGCTTATAAAGAAGAAAAGAAGTCGGTCAGAAAGGGTAAACAAAGTCAGCGTATGGAGGACGATGACGATGAGTGGGTATCCAGTATTCTCCTTCATCAAGAGAAGGTCAAAGTTGAGGTACGTCAGCGGCCAGATAAATATTATCCAGCTATTTACTGGTGTTTCTAGAACAGATAAATTGACTTACAAGCGATTAAGTTGGTGTAGGCCATATTTACCAGTGTTTCTAGATAGATAAATTGACTTACAAGCGATTAAGTTGGTGTAGGCCAGTAGTCAGATAAACATTGTTCAGCTATATATCAGTGTTGGTAGAGCAGGGAAGGAGAAATTTTATTTAACTTAAAATTGCAAGTTTATGTTACATCGCACATGGCACTGAAAGGAAATAAATTCTTAATTCTTTTTATAGGAAAAGGAGAAAGAGATATCTGAACTTCAGAAACAGGTCAGAGAGCTGAAACAGCAGGTAAGATGGAGAAAACTCGGAATCTCAGTGTGGTAGACTGAAATTAACTCATATCACATGTAAAGAAATGTTTAGTGACTGAAAAGTATTCTTATCTTTACAAAGGGCTGTGATAGCTCAGTTGGTATGTTGTTGAGTCAAAAATTCAAGGGGGATATGGTTTTATGCTTCGTTGTGTTTCTCAGGGAGTTGAGAAATGGTCCAGTGTGTGCAGTCATGATTGTGTCCTTATTCTAGTTTACATCAGCTTGTTTTTTGAACATTTTGTAATTTTTTGTTTGCTTTTGTTTCGTTTTTTTTTTTTTTTTTTTTTAAAAAAAGTGTATAAAATCACTGGAATAGAGTGGGATGAAGAATTGAATTCCATTTTAAATGTCATTTACTTCAGTGCCTGGAATGTTGATAACATAACACTCTTAATTAACACAAGTTTACTTTTAGGAATTTAAGGAGGACAGTAAAGATGACCAGACGTCACTGGTTGAGGCGATGTCTCATCAACTGAAGGAGCTTCGGGCGACTATCACAGAGAAGGTAGGTATGATTGTAAAGTCAAGGTTTTACAGGTATCAAAATTTCTGTCTTGTGTCCAAGAAATTCCCTTAATAATGAGTGATAGCTTTGAAAGTTGAAATGGAATTGTTATCAATTAAAAAATGTCTTTGGAATCAGTGACAAGTTAGGGCAATTAAAAATTTCTTTAGAATCAATGACAAAGTAGGGCAATTAAACATTTCTTTAGAATCAATGACATAGGGCAATTAAAAAAATTCATTAGAATCAATGACAAAGTAGGACTTAGTTCTACAAAATATATGTATGGTGCTTCTTCTCTCTTAGTGTAATGACTGTGCCCCGAACTTAAAAGATACAAACTGGATAGCTGGTCAAGTTTTCTTTGTTTTGAGCAAATGGAAATAATAGAAATGTATCCTCTATCATGTATATTGGAAATATACCTTCAAACATATGCTGTTATGCATGATCGCATGTCTGGAAGATTTTATGCTGAAAATATTGCATACAACCATGGATATGAATCTGATGCAATTCATGCATAAAATATCTCTAGCTTAGCAGTAAATATATTCACAGGAAAGAATGGTCAGTTTACCTCACTTAGTGTGTTAAGATTTGCAAAGTAACAAGAGTGAAGATTTCTTGTTAAAAATATGGTTATTTGCATCAGAAATATATGTATGATATTCTGCCTTAGAGCATCACCTATGTACTGTTTATAGATGGGTGATATTTTTGGTATGGTATTCTGCCTTAGAACATCCCCTATGTACTGTTTATAGATGGGTGATATTTTTGGTATGGTATTCTGCCTTAGAACATCCCCTATGTACTGTTTATAGATGAGTGATATTATTGTAGGACGAGGAGATCTATAAGCTGAATGAGATGTTGGAGGAAGCAGGAGAGACATTTGCTGAGAAGGAGACGGAACTTTCCCGTTTAAACAACCTCATTTCAGATCACAAGGCCAAAGTAAAAGAACAGGTGATATTTTCATTTAATTGTTGACATCAACCTTTAGAAATAATTGTTGATATCATTTTGCCAGTGAAACATAGAGAACTATCTCATGTATAAAAGTGTTATTTTACACTAGAGAAAAATAACACTTTTGCAGATTTATAGCAATTAAAAGAGAGAACACAAATCATTTGAAAAAATTGTCAAATCATAAAGCCCGGTACAAAAAACACCAAACCAGACAACTGAAGGTGTTGATTATTTATGACATGACCTTCATTTCCATGGTAAATGTTAATTTCCATGAAAGTCAGCTGACAGACTATATTTTGTTGCATACTGCGAAGTGAGTGAGTAGTATCCATGAAAAGCCTAGTCAGCTTCCTTGTTTTATATTTGTTCTAAACATGCCAGTAATTTGGCTATTTTGCTTGTGAAAATGTAATAGATAGAATTGTAAATTGGTGAAAGATACTAAAATATTAGACACGCTTGTGAAGTATCTTTGTTATTACTGAAGACACTATTAGATATCCTCTATCCACATTATTATCCTTTTGTCTTGAATACATATTGATATAGTCAGAACTGTGTTGGATACATCAGAAGATATCCATAAACATAGAAACAAGCTACTTCACTACTGATGCAAATCCATTGACAGCTTAGAACATAGAAACTAAAATAGAAGTAAAACAATGGTGATTTGTTTCTCACTTGGGAAAGTGAGATTGGGTTTACTTTCTGACGGCCATGTCGTCATTCACTTTTCACTTAGTACAAGTGCTATTCCAATCAAACAAGGGTTAATAAAAAATGGTAATATTGACATCTGAACCCACAAAATAGATCACATGGATTTTGTTTTTGATGTGCGTTTCGGACAAAAGCTTCAGATTTTGAAAAAATTGATTACAAAGTCTTTTTGACTTATTCGCTTCAGATTTAGTGTACAGCCATATTGGAACAAGTCCTGTAAAATGTCTGGTTTTCCTCTTTCTCCTTGAGAAGAGTGACATTTCTGGTGTAAAAGTGACATATTCAATTGAATTTTGAGAATTGAAGAATTTACATAATTTTCATCCCGTTTTTATTTTAATGAGTTGATGTTAAAATATCACAGCCACATATCTATGGTTTACATATTATTACAATGATAAAATTTAAGAGAAGGGAGTCATTAATTTTTGTATTTTGCTTAAAATTTCCATACTAACAAAATGGGATGGGCAAGACATTGTGAAATATGTTCTAGGAAGAAACATCACAGTTGATTGTGCAGAGAGATCAGATTGTATTTTGACTGGTTACAGGGTAAAACGATAGCCGAGTTGGAGGAGGCACTGAAGGAGAGTCAACTTGCCCTTCAAACTGCAGACAGACGCCTCACACAACAGGAGGATAATGCTGCCACCCAAAATGAGGAAAAGGTCAAAATACAAGGTACAAAGGGAAAATTTCCTAATTTAAAAGTCAGATCTTATAGTTCCAGAGTAAGCAAAACACCCCCTCTGTTCTCCTGTATGGAGAATGAGGCCAGCACTAGTGATGATAACAACATTATTTTGAAACCCACTGCAGGACTAATATCAAAACTTAAACCCAGCAAGCGAGTCTTACAGCTGATAGTTACACCTCTCCAGAACAAAATCCTAGCCCACCACACTCGCACCAGCCTTCTAAGGCTGCGCAACTCACCTGCCAAAGATCCAACACGAGGCCGTGAGTGTATGAAAAACATCCTAGGACCTGAGAAAGAGAACTCTAGAGGACCTCATCAGAGAAGCAAACGGAAACTTACAGAGGATAAAGACACCAGTCTAAGCAAAAGGCGTAGAGTAAGTTTAAAAAAGCATCGCCTTAGTGGTAGCAGGGAAACTCGGCGACGGACATCAGGGAAAAAGTACAACTTGAGGAGCAAACGATTCTAATGGTCAGAATTCATTGTGTGATACAGAACACTGGGTGGTTGCTAGTTACGAAATTTATTACAATGAGAACCTTGAATTCCTCTACTTGTAATATCACTGAAAACCTAGAAACTGGACCTGTGAACAGAAATCAGAAACACAGATGTCTTTCAAGGGCTGGCACCTTTTCTTTCATTGTAATGTCATTGTGTGACATTCTTACCATCTGCCTTGGTTCAGCTCAAGATTTACATCAAATGGTTCATTGAATTTTATGTCACATAGATTTTTATATAACATATTGATGCTAGTTCTGATACAGACCCACAGGTATTAGATATATCAGCTGGTTGGTTTTAATCTGAATGTTTCTTGCTGGTCCATTTTGAGTTTCTTTTAATTAATTTTTTATGTGATAAAAAGACAATGCCACCTAATCTTTTTATGAATGTTTTACTTTTGAGTACAAACAGTAAATCATCAGTGAATGTGGTAAGAGTATAAATGGCACTGTAGACATGGTAATGATAAGTGATGTATAGATCAATTTCATCAAGGATTGAATTTTTTCAGAAACCACTGATTAGTCATTGTTTGGAAGTAATTCCCAGCAGTAGTAGAGGAAATAAGACACAGTTTTCTATCCAATCCTGCCATTATGTACATTACTATTGTATAAAATCTTGTGAGGGGATCACGATAGCTCAGTCGGTAGTGTGTTGACCTACACAACCTCAGGCAAAGATCAAAGGTGTGTGATAGACATTCCCTCCCATGGTGGTTTCTCAGGAAACTGAGAAACTAACCAGTCTGTGTTGTCATTAAGCAAACAAGTTAAGTCTTGACTACTAGAAATAGTAGGAGCAAATACTGAACCTGCTTCTAAGTTCTGGCGATAGTTATTTCATGGATAGACAGTTTATGAAAGGAATTGATACACTAACATTTACTTGCTGGACGTATAGTCTATTCCAGTGAAGAAATATCTGCCTGGTTATAGGACTGCAATATTAATTCGTAAGTTGGGTTTCTTTCTTCACTGTAAATTACTAATTGTATGTGTAAACTAGCACCATTCAATAAAACCTTTAATGAGTTCGAACGTGAAGTAGATGTTCTTTTGGAACTGCACTAAATGATGATGTAGAATTCATGTGTGTGATATAATCAATTTAATGCTAAACAGTTGTATGAAGTGTGTTATAAAAATGATCCAGACTACACAGAAATTAGTTCAATAACATCAGGTAACCCATTAAAGTCAAACATTTTTGTGTATTTAAAATCATGGTTTCTTGGACTTTGAAATTTCCTAGATTTTGATATGTTTTTCTGATTGTGAGTTACCAGTCAAGAAATTTAAATGTTAAGTTGACTTTACATATCTTTTTTATCAATACCAGAGACAAATAAGAGTGCTTGGTATAAATACCATGAAACTTCATGGAACTGTAGATAGAATGGGCGAGGCTGTGATGTTAGACAGTGATTAGGTATGATATGTGATATAGTTTCAACAAATATGTATAGATCGATGATGTTTGTGACACTGTTATAAGATTATGTATGTTAGCTTTCTATGGAGTCAGGTGATTGTGGTACAGACAGTCTTAGCCTTGCAAGTCACACTAACGGTATTAGGTGACTCGAATGCTGGATTGTGTTTGAAAAGATAAATAGAAATTGACCCTCCCAAAATACTAACTTGACATTAACACGGCTTAACCAGGCCATTGTTTTTATTTATGCTCCAATCAATATAATGGTATTTTTGTCATTTATTTGCTTTATTTCATAAATTTGTTCTTCAAAAATGTCTCTCATGATCCTTCTGTGAAGGCCCAATATCCTGTATGTGTTTATGTATTTGTGATTTGAATTGTACACAACAAGTGTAATCATGGTCAAATCTGCTCTTTTAAAATCACATAAAACAACCTCTGAACATTTTGAAGTAAATATGTTTTCTAATAAAAACTTGTTATCTATGATTAATGGTTTGTGTTGTGTGGAAGTTAATGCAGGTGATTCTGTGTAATTCTGGCAGAACAATCAACCCCTATCTGTCCCTCATACTCACCTGTAAACAGATACATATTGACAAATACCACCTTCAACTGTTTGTCAGTATTTGTAATTTTTCAGTTGTATCTTTGTTTTTGTAAGTCAATGTTGCAGGTAACTTTGAACTATAACCATTCAATTATCATCTTTTGCCATGTAATGTTAAAAATAATGATAATTCAATTTTTATTTTATAAAAATTCTAGATGTATTTCTTCCAAAAGTTCTTTTGCATCAAAAACTGCTGTGCTTTTGTGATTTGCTGTAGGTGTGTTTGTGTCTCGTTACAGGTGAGTGCTGTATGAGTTCCCAGTCCTGGGGAGGGGTCTGCCAGTCCTCACAGAATCACTGATAATGCCCAGACTTTTACCATTCGAATTTTCACACTTTATTTTGCTATAATTTGAGTACAAAACCTTGAGATTATTAAAGCCACACAATTTTTTCATACCCAAGGCATTATCCCCAAAGTCTGGGCATTATTTCTGTTCGCCGATTTGGTGAGTAATGTGACTAAATACAGAACTGCACTCAAGGACAAACGAAAATCAGATGTTCAGTATCTGTCATTTTGCACGCAAACAGTTTATGATTTTTTTTATAACGTTATCTGTTTCAATAAGAGACAGTATTCAGAACATAGTAAGTTTCCTTTCTATTTGAGATCTTTGAGGTGAATGTACTAGTGTCTAAAATCTCTCATTTTACTTTAGAATTTTACAGGGAAAGCATGCAAATGACAGAAAAATAAATGAAAGATTGGACTTTCCTTAGATTGCAGAACAAAATATTGAAAGACTTGATGTCATGAAACCATTAAATATAATGTTGAAAGGAAATGATTAAAAATGTGTTTTGGACAAGTATTTGATAGGATTCAAGACAAAAGGATAATTTTCTGTTGTCAGGAATGACATAAAACTTGAAATGAGATTCTCTGTCTGAAGCATATCTCTTGTTGGATGGTGAATGATTACCCCTATAGGGATGATATATCACTGTTGTAGTTCCTGGAGAGGGTACTTGACTTATGCAAATAGAGTTGACCTGTGTAGGTATACAAGATCAAAAATAATTATTCACGTCCTTATTGGCAAGGTAGGGGATCTCAACACTCTGGGTATGATTATTATGTTGCAAACACTCATCAAGCCTTGTGTTTGTAACTTTATCATCCTCCCTATGGTTTGAGATCCACCTATCTCATCCCCAAAGGAGTTAAAGAGTCTATTAATCGACACATTAAGAGATGTGATATTTCTTCGTCTTATCCTCACATAACAATTGATGTCATGGCAACAATTCAATGACATCACACCTACAATTTACTAATGTCACTTCAATAATGTCAAGCATTACATACACAACAAAGGTTAGTAAAGTGGACGGGTCATTCACACCTAGAATTTACTGAGGTCACTTCAATAATGTCAAGCTTTACATACACAAGGAAGGTTAGCAGGGTGGACGGATCATTCACACCTTTTCGTGTGACATGAGAGCACATCAACTGTCGGCGAAAGATACTGCTTACATTTGTCAAACTTTGTGTTTGTCAGCTCAGAAATATTGTTTCTCAAGCTAAAATTCATTGACATCACACCTACAATTTACTAACGTCACTTCAATAATGTCAAGCTTTACATACACAAGGAAGGTTAGCAGCGTGGACGGATCATTCACACCTTTTCGTGTGACATTAGAGCACATCAACTGTCGGCGAAAGATACTGCTTACATTTGTCAAACTTTGTGTTTGTCAGCTCAGAAATATTGTTTCTCAAGCTAAAATTCATTGACATCACACCTACAATTTACTAACGTCACTTCAATAATGTCAAGCTTTACATACACAAGGAAGGTTAGCAGGGTGACACCTTTTCGTGTGACATTAGAGCACATCAACTGTCGGCGAAAGATACTGCTTACATTTGTCAAACTTTGTGTTTGTCAGCTCAGAAATATTGTTTCTCAAGCTAAAATTCATTGTCACACCTACAATTTACTAACGTCACTTCAATAATGTCAAGCTTTACATACACAAGGAAGGTTAGCAGGGTGGACGGATCATTCACACCTTTTCGTGTGACATTAGAGCACATCAACTGTCGGCGAAAGATACTGCTTACATTTGTCAAACTTTGTGTTTGTCAGCTCAGAAATATTGTTTCTCAAGCTAAAATTCTTCTGTATCATCTTTAAGTTGGTAAAATATTGTAGTTATCATCAGAAAGGCATCAGTATCAACATGAAAAGAGCAATGTAGGAAAAGAAGAAACATTGTGAAGAAAAGTCAATGTTGGGACATTGACAGAACCAAAGTGATATTCAGTCAATATTAATCATCAATACCAGCTTTTTATGTGACTTGTTAGAAAATAACGAATGTACAGTCAAAAGAAATATGAACCCCATAAAGATTCCCAGAAATATGATACAGGACTAGTGCAGTGCCAAGGAATGAATGAAACCGTATAATAGATGATAAATTTGTTTTGATGCCTAAAATTTTTTATGTTTAACTACAAACTAATGATTATAAATCTGCTTTCCAAGAATGACATATACTTTAAGAAATTGCTGTTGTATTTGTAAATAGTACCAAATTATTGGATATAACTTGATTTCTAGAAATTGTTAGTGGATAGATATGTACACCATGATATTACAGAGGAGCTGACCACAGTCCAGGGATGTGTCGGGTTCCTGGAGCAGACAGTCAAACAGAAGGAAGAAGAGGTGCGTGTGTGGAAGTCACGATGTCAACGAGCAGAGGAGGACAGCATAAAGCAGGAACAGGCATTGATCAACGGCTACAAAGCTGAGATCTCTACACTCAAACAACAGGTAAATATAGTCTGTAGTGTATGCAGGAGTGGGGCCTTGATCAACAGCTACAAAGCTGAGATCTCTACACTCAGACAACAGGTAAATATAGTCTGTAGTGTATGCAGGAGTGGGGCCTTGATCAATGGCTACAAAGCTGAGATCTCTACACTCAATCAACAAGTAAATATAGTCTGTAGTGTATACAGGAGTGGGGCCTTGATCAACAGCTACAAAGCTGAGATCTCTACACTCAGACAACAGGTAAATATAGTTTGTAGTGTATACAGAAGTGGGGCCCTGATCAACAGCTGCAAAGCTGAGATCTCTACACTCAAACAACAGGTAAATATAGTTTGTAGTGTATACAGAAGTGTGGCCCTGATCAACAGCTGCAAAGCTGAGATCTCTACACTCAAACAACAGGTAAATATAGTTTGTAGTGTATACAGAAGTGTGGCCCTGATCAACAGCTGCAAAGCTGAGATCTCTACACTCAGACAACAGGTAAATATAGTTTGTAGTGTATACAGAAGTGGGGCCCTGATCAACAGCTACAAAGCTGAGATCTCTACACTCAAACAACAGGTAAATATAGTCTGTAGTGTATGCAGGAGTGATGCCTTGATCAACAGCTACAAAGCTGAGATCTCTACACTCAGACAACAGGTAAATATAGTCTGTAGTGTATGCAGGAGTGGGGCCTTGATCAACGGCTACAAAGCTGAGATCTCTACACTCAATCAACAAGTAAATATAGTCTGTAGTGTATGCAGGAGTGGGGCCTTGATCAATGGCTACAAAGCTGAGATCTCTACACTCAATCAACAAGTAAATATAGTCTGTAGTGTATGCAGGAGTGGGGCCTTGATCAATGGCTACAAAGCTGAGATCTCTACACTCAATCAACAAGTAAATATAGTCTGTAGTGTATGCAGGAGTGGGGCCTTGATCAATGGCTACAAAGCTGAGATCTCTACACTCAAGCAACAGGTAAATATAGTTTGTAGTGTATACAGAAGTGGGGCCCTGATCAACAGCTGCGAAGCTGAGATCTCTACACTCAAACAACAGGTAAATATAGTTTGTAGTGTATACAGAAGTGTGGCCCTGATCAACAGCTACAAACCTGAGATCTCTACACTCAAACAACAGGTAAATATAGTTTGTAGTGTATACAGAAGTGTGGCCCTGATCAACAGCTACAAACCTGAGATCTCTACACTCAAACAACAGGTGAACATAGTCCGTGTTATGCAGGTTGCGGCCCACATCAAATGGTTTATACCAAGTGATTGCAAATTCTACTCTGTTTGAACAAATTCTATCTGATCTGAGGTTTTTGTGCATATTTTGCAGATTTCAGAGCTGAAATCCAATTCGAGTGTGATGAAGGCTGCGTGTGATTCATCTCCAAGGAAGAAAGGAGCAGAAGAAGACGCATTTCACCATAAGTTGTCTGTCCAGTTGAAGGAATTACAAGCTGAACTAGACAAAAACTCAGCTGTCACACTGGAGCTTCAGCAGGCACTAGAGACGGCCAGGTAAGTGGACAAAATTAAAATCTTAGTCATGATTTGCCTTGAAGATCAGTTTTCTTTTGTCCTTGTCATACCTACTGCTATGTAAATTAATTAAAATACTTTTTTTTATCCTATTGGTTGTTACTGTAGTAGTGGAATTGTTACTGTGTGTTGTGATCCAGTGCAGATCCATTCCTTGTGTACTGTCCTGTTCACTGAGTTATAAATTATTGCCTGTTGATGCAGGGCTGTGAGTGAGGACTTGGACCAACAACTTGGCCAGGAAAAAGATGCCCATGCTGATACTAGAGCCGAGCTATCTCGACTCACAGAAGAGAATGAGGAACTTAAGCAACTCAAGGTCAAGGTTGCACAGCTAGAAAACAGTTTTGAGGACCGGGAGCAAAACCTGGCTTCTAAGGTAAAATATATATCAGAGATACAACAGTAATACACGTATATCATATTACTATATCCTTCAATAAGCTGAGGGATCCTATTATTTTACCTTTTACTTTTTACACAAAGTCTGGGTGTGGGCTTTTTACAGGACCCCAGCGAGCCAAAATGTTACCTCTTACACAAAGTCTGAGTGGGCTTATTACAGGACACCAGGGAGCCAAAATGTTACCTCTTACACAAAGTCTGGGTGTGGGCTTTTTACAGGACTTCATGGAGCAAAAATGTTACCTTTTACACAAAGTCTGGGTGTGGGCTTTTTACAGGACCCCAGCGAGCCAAAATGTTACCTCTTACACAAAGTCTGGGTGTGGGCTTATTACAGGACCCCAGCGAGCCAAAATGTTACCTCTTACACAAAGTCTGGGTGTGGGCTTTTTACAGGACTTCATGGAGCAAAAATGTTACCTTTTACACAAAGTCTGGGTGGGCTTATTACAGGACACCAGGGAACCAAAATGTTACCTCTTACACAAAGTCTGAGTGTGGGCTTTTTACAGGACTTCATGGAGCAAAAATGTTACCTTTTACACAAAGTCTGGGTGTGGGCTTTTTACAGGACCCCAGCGAGCCAAAATGTTACCTCTTACACAAAGTCTGGGTGTGGGCTTTTTACACAAAAAATGTTACCTCTTACACAAAGTCTGGGTGTGGGCTGTTACCTCTTACACAAAGTCTGGGTGGGCTTACCCCCAGCGAACCAAAATGTTACCTCTTACACAAAGTCTGAGTGGGCTTATTACAGGACACCAGGGAGCCAAAATGTTACCTCTTACACAAAGTCTGGGTGTGGGCTTTTTACAGGACCCCAGCGAGCCAAAATGTTACCTCTTACACAAAGTCTGGGTGTGGGCTTTTTACAGGACCCCAGCGAGCCAAAATGTTACCTTTGACACAAAGTCTGGGTGTGGGCTTTTTACAGGACCCCAGCGAGCCAAAATGTTACCTCTTACACAAAGTCTGGGTGTGGGCTTATTACAGGACCCCAGCGAGCCAAAATGTTACCTCTTACACAAAGTCTGGGTGTGGGCTTTTTACAGGACTTCATGGAGCAAAAATGTTACCTTTTACACAAAGTCTGGGTGGGCTTATTACAGGACACCAGGGAACCAAAATGTTACCTCTTACACAAAGTCAGGGTGTGGGCGTATTACAGGACCCCGGGGAGCTAACCTGTTACCTCTTACACAAAGTCTGGTTATGGGCTTATTACAGGACATTGAAATAATATTGGTTGGTTAACACTACTGAAGGGGCATTGATAGCTCAGTTGATAGAGTTTTAGTGTATGCAACCTCTAAAGCTTGTTGAGTACAATTACAATGACTCACATTGACAAAATGGTGGCATCGGACAAATTTAAGGATTTAGGATTAACTGTAGGAAGTAGTAGTTTTCCTTAGGATGATGAGACTAGAGCTACTTACTATACCGAAATAACTTCTATATACTTTACTGAGGGGACTTCATTCAAGGTTAATTTAATGTACAATGTTTAGGCTACATTTTGATATCCTGATGTGAAAGAACTGTTTATTGTTTGTTTTTATAAGTAAATTAATTTGCTGTACATGTATTTGGCTATTGTTTACTGCTGGGCTGATGACCATAAACAATACTCAATCTTAAGTTCAAGCATGATTTTTATTATTTCTGATTTAATCAATGAAAACACTTTAAAAGGTTGAAGAAAATCTCAGAGCTGAGGGTTTGATAGTGGAGCTTGAGGAGCAACTGAAGACATTGAAATCTGCAGACTACCCGGCTCAAATAGCGAGGCTGGAGGAGGAGATGGCCACACTCCAGACATCACTGGTCAACAAGGAGGAAGAGTTGGAAACTCTTACAGAAAAAGTTGAGGAGTTAGAAACAGTCAACACTGGTTTACGAGACATGGTCAACCAGACAACAGCTGACCTCCAGGCAAAGGACCATATACTTGCAGAGTTGTCCAGCAAGGTCAAGGTAAACCATGGGTCAAGGTCATAAAGTAAATCTATGGATCTCAGTTGTGACTGGTCTACAGTCTACCTTTAAAATATTTGGTTTAAGTAAAAGTATCTGGATTGTGTGTGAACTGGTTTACTACAATTATTTTGTCCAAGAGATAGTTAACATTGGATGAATTCAGACAAAAATATGACACTTAGCTTTACCGTAAGAGACCTTATCTGTTATATAGGTAAATAGGTGAAAGGTCATAGGGAAAATTGACCTTGAGTCTGACAGCAATTAAGATAGAACCTACTTCAGACATAATTGTATATCTATACGACAGCAAAATCCTTACCACATTAAGACTGAGCTGGCATGATATTTTGTAGGTAAATGAGGATATGAAGCAGAGCGCCCTGTCTCCAAGCAGCCCTATGTCCAGTCTACAGCGACGGATGAGGGAGATCAGACATGAGTCTGAGGCCACAAAAAATGAACTGACTTCAACTCTCAAGGAACACAAGAAACTACAAGGAGAGTTCACGGTAGCCAAAGAGACGATCAAGGTGAGTCGAGAGAATCGGGAGTCTTAATCAAGGTTATCTTATGACATCGCAGTAAGGGTTAAGAGGCAATGGTTTATTCAACATAACATATGTGATATTTTACACAGCTAAGTACACATGTTTCTGAGTTTTTGATGACAGCTAGACTTGTTTTTTTGTTTCCATTTTTAAACTACTTGACACGCCTCCTGTTTTAATTTGTGCAGAAAGAACAGGAGAAGACCCAACAACTGACTTCGCACATTAAGGACCTAGAATTCCAGCTTGACGAGAGCCAGATCGATCGGTCACACATCATAGAGGATCAGAAAACTGCAGAAGAAAAGGCTAATCAGTTACAAGTTAAAGTTGAGGAACTACAGAAATGTGTCGAAGATCGAAATACACAGCTGGCAGAGCTCAACACGGAGATCAACCAATTAATATCAAAAGGTGGCATGCTTTCTTGGATAAAAAAAAGAAAAGAGCAATGTTTGACATCTATTTAAAAAAGAAAATAAAGATAAATGTATTGTACTCTTAAATATTGTTTATAAACAAGCATGCTTGGATTATTGGTTTAAAAAATGGCCAATTATGCCTCACCAATTTATTGGGGTGGTGGAGGGGAGGGGAAGGGGAACAAAATGTATTATCTTCGTCCATACATCCCTTCTGTCCTGTTCTGAGAACATTTCAACAGCTTTGGTTCATATTTGCCTCAATATCATAAGATCTACATCTGATCAGATTCTTTATGGTATGGGAGCATTCATATCTTACAAACATTTTCTGGTTTTCCTCTGTTTCTACTCTTGCCTAATCCCAATAAAATATATCGTGTTTTTTCATTGATAAAGCTAATTCAGGTGGATTGTACATATACCCCAAAGTCAGATGTTTTACATGAAAATCTGCAATGTTAAACACTGACTAATGTTAATGATGTGGTACTTTACAGGTGAGAAACAAGAACAGTCAGAGAAACAGGATAGTGATGGACTGACGGAGGAACTGGAACGATCCAGACAGGAATTAGAGAATGTATCAAGTGAACTACGAAAGGTCAAGGCTGACATGAAACAGATGTCAAAGAAAGGCAGCAAAGCTAGTAAGACAATGATAGAGAGGCTTGAACATCAGTGTGACCAGCTAGAACTGACTGTGAAGGTCAAGGACACTGAAATAGAGAGACTCAACACAGAATTGTCTAACACCAGGTCGTCTGCGGACACAGGTGTCATCGTCAAATCCAACCAGATTGACAGTCTCCAAGCAGAACTTACCAGTGTACGGGCAGAGATGACAGAAATGAGAGAAACGATGGAGAAAAAGATCGCAGACAGGGACCATGCCATTAAAGATCTCAATCAGCTTTATGAACAGAACCAGAAGGAGATGGATGAGAATGAATTCACATTGAAAACCCTGAGGAAAGAAATAGAGAAGTCTTCAGGGAAAAGTGATAAGATGCTTACTCAGAAGTTGACACAGATTCAGGATGAACTGGAAGTCAAATCAAAGAGAATTTTGGAATTGGAAATGGCAGAGGAGAAAGCAGAACAATTTCAGAGTGAATTGAGTAGCCTTAGATTGACAATTAGTGAACTAGAAAATGTAAATCAGGAGAAAAAGCAACTTGAAAATGAATTAACCAGTTTAAGGCAGAGGCTTACTGAATTAGAAAATGTGAACCAAGAAAACGGACAACTTGAAAAGGAGCTAGAGAAAAAATCACAAAAACTTTCAGAATTAGAAACATTGAGAAATGAAAAGGAACAGCTTGAGAATGAGTTAGAAAGAAAAACACTGAGACTTTCAGAATTGGAAATTGGAAATGAGAAAACAGAACAGCTCGAGACTGAGTTGTCCAGCTTAAGACAGAGACTGACTGAGCTAGAAAATGTGAAAAATGAAAATGAACAAATGGAAAATGAATTAACTAAACTAAGACAGAGACTTACTGAACTAGAACATGTGAATCAGGAAAAAGGACAACTTGAAAAGGAAGTAGAGGATAAAGTCCAAAAACTTTGTGAACTAGAAACTGTAGAGAAAAAGAACCTTCATCTTGGTGAGGAATTGGATGATAAAGAGAAGAAAATAAGTGATCTTAAAACAGAGAGAGAAAAAGATGAAAAGAAATTGGAAAGTCAAACAGAAGAAATCAGTAAACTTTCAGGACAAGTGGAGGTAATGGACTCCAGGATAAAGACTTTGATGACTGAGAAGTGTGATCAGGAACAGAAAGTAGAAAGTCTACAGGAAACTTTACACGGAAAAGAAAAAGAGTTAGAGGAAGTGAAAAATCTAATAGCAGATATCCAAAATGAGACTAAAAGATCTTGTAATGATGCAACAGCAGAATTGTCCCACGTGAAAATGGAGCTAGCCGAGGCCAAGTCATCCTTACACATGATACAGACACTACACCAGAGAGCCAAGAAGGAACTCGCAGAAAAATCAAAATATATCCAGGAACAAGAGGAGGAGTCCAAGATGAAATATGAACAGGAAGTCACAAAGAGGACAGATATAGAAGGGGAAATGACTACAGTTAAAGGAAAGCTTGCAGAAATGGAGTCCTTAAAACAAGATTTAGAATCACGTAACCAGACTGTACAACACCTTGAAAAAGAACTTGAGACTGCCATGGCAAAAGTAGCTGACCTCACATCACAGAATAGTGAAAGAGGAACACAAGTGAGAGAGCTGGAGGCCAAAATTACGGAGCAGAGTGAACAAGGTAAGGTTCGTCTTCAGCAGGAGGAGGAGAAACTAACAGCCCTGGTGAAGGCATGTGAGGAAAAGTCGGGCCTCATTGACTCACAGGCAGCTAAAATCAAGGAACTAGCTCAGGGGAAAGATTGTTCTGACACACTAGCGATTGAAGTCAGTCAAAAAACAAAACAAATTGAGGAATTGACAAACACTGTAAATCAGCTGGAGACCAGATTACACAAAAGTGAATCAGATAAGTTAGCATATAGTCCTCAGAAAGATAAGGACTCTACAAGGCAGCTGGAGGATCTGCACAACTCTCTGGAAAGGGAGAAGCTGAAAAGTGAGGAGTACCACAAGCTGTTGGAGGAGATGCGTGTGAAGGCATGTCTTAGTCCAGGCAGTGAGAGCAATAGTGTTCGAAGGCTACGTAAGGATAAGATTGATACAGACAATGCTTTGCTGGAGGCAAAATGTAAAATTTCATCCTTGGAACGGCAGCTTGCTGATGCTAACATACAACGCAGTCCAAGAAAATACAAGGAAGATGAATGTCAGAAGTTGAAGGTAGAATTGCGTGAGTGTCATCAGAAAATAGAGGCTCTAGAGGGACAAGTGAGGCAACAGGAGCGGATTTTCTCATCACCACGACAACGAGAATGCCTCCAGCGGGGCTCTGTCACCAGCCCGACGGTACATAGGGAACTAAATCGGGTATGTATATTTTTGTGTCCAACATTTTGCTTACACTCAAAACGTCTTGATTGTTTCATTATAGACTTTCCATTTTAGATTAGCACCTAGTGAAACCAAACTTTTTACATAAGGGCCTAAATAATTATCAAATATTATCCAAGCCTTCTGGAATTTTTACTGCTTTACTTCCTGCCTTACCTACTCTGAAGAGAACCAGTAACCTGCTACAGCAGGCATGTTGGGCCTTTTCTGAAGAGTATAAATCATTAAAGGAGTTTAAACCTTAATACTGGTAGGTAAATTTGTCATGTGCTTGATCATCAAGATAGGCACATATTGATTCTCTATCAGTGTTAGTGAATAGAGATCAACATTTTCATATAGTAGAACACCTACTTATTTATGTTGTAGAGTCAGGAACGGGAGCAGACTTTGAGACGACAGTTACAGCAGGCTAGCAACAGTCTCCAGGAACTAGGTCAAAAAGTCAGCGACCTTGAAGATCAACTTTCACATAAGGTGAAGGCCATTCAGGATGCTGAGGACACCATTCAAGCCTTAAAGGTGAAGATCATTGTTGACAGTATGGAATGCTCTTATATTATAATGTTGTTAAGAATGATTTAATAATAACTTTTGTTTGGCATGTATTGACATCTTTAACAAGGTCCAATAATGTATTTGAGTTGTCAGACATATACAAATCTAGGCAACATTGTCGACTACTGATTCAGGCAATTTAAAAATGTTGTGTTTTATCAGAATCCTGGAACCCGCAGTGGTCGTCCCAGCACGGTAGCTGAAGTGAGTCGTCTTGAGGCAGAGCTCAAACAAAGGTGGGGTCAGATACAGGAACTCCAGTCAGACCTTATCCGTCGTGATGAGAAGCTGGCGGCCAAGTCACAGGCCCTCAAGGATTTCAAGATTTCCATGGAGAGAGAACGAAATGATTTTGAAGCTGCTCTCAGAGGTGAGCCATCCGAGATTACTCTGTAATAGAATTCAAGTTTACTGAAAATCTTGTTTTCCTGTTTTTGATAAGCACTAGCATCATACTTTTATTGTGCCTGGATTTATGAGAAAAGCTTTTAGTCCAGTCAATTATTTTAATAAAATATTATATTCTGACAGATGCCAAGGCAAATGAATCTCTAATAGAGATGTTGAAGAATGCCATCACAGAGCAGGAAGAAACGATGGAGAAACAGGATTCTTACCTCCACAGAAAAGAAGAGGAGATCAGAAACCTCTCACAGGGTATGTCAGATTCTGGTGTGTCCCAGATTAGATCACCAGGCCACTAGGTACAGTGTCCCTGAGTAGGTCACCAGGCCACTAGGTACACTGTCCTGGTACAGGTCACTAGGCACATTGTCCCAGAGTAGGTCACCAGACAACTATGTACAGTGTCCTGGGACAAGTCACTAGGTATAGCATCCCAAGATAGGTCCATATATATATTAAATACACTGTCCCAGGATAGGTCACTAGTTACAGTGTTTCATTATAGGTCACTCGGTACAGTGTCCTAGGACAGGCCACTAGGTATAGTGTCCTGGGATAGGCCACTAGGTATAGTGTCCTGGGATAGGCCACTAGGTGTAGTGTCCCAGGATAGGTCACTATGTACAGTGTCATAGGACAGGCTACTAGGTACAGTGTCCTAGGACAGGTCACTAGATACAGTGTCCCAGAAGATACTAAGGTTTTCACTACGGTAAAGTACAACCAATGGGAACTTGTTAGATCAAAATCATACAGTAATGTTTTCATGTTGTGTCTGAACGTTTACAGGTAGCATTATTAAACAGCTGTTAAAACATCTTTTGTAGAACTGGAAAAGTACACAGACAAGTATCGCCAGGTCCTGGAATCCAGTGGGGATTCAGGACGAAGGATGATGGAACTGACACGCGAGAATGCACGACAAGTCACTGAACATTCACAGCAACTTAAAGAACAGGAGGGGAAAGTGTGCAAATTGAACGAGACTCTTCAGGAGCAGAAAGTCACCATAGGCAAACTGACAGAAGAAAAAGAAAAGTTAGGACTTGTTCTGAAGGAAAACAATGCAGAGTTGAAGGATCTGGAAAAACTGCTGTCACAGAGTCGCACAGAAACAGAGTGTCTGAGAGAAAGGCTGAATTGTAGTAGTGAGAACAAGTCTGAAGCCACAGAAAAGGCAGAACAGGAGGCAGCCATGCTACAGGTCAAGGTCAGGGTAGGTATTGAAGTAAAACTTGAATAATGTCTTGTTTAAGATAAACATAAAGGTCAGGATCAGGGTAGACACTAAGGAAAGTTTTTAATAATGTCCAGGGTTAGAATACTGGTATCTAGAGATGTCAAGGAAGGGTTAGAATACTGGTATCTAGAGATGTCCAGGGTTAGAAGACTGGTATCTAGAGATGTCAAGGAAGGGTTAGAATACTGGTATCTAGAGATGTCAAGGAAGGGTTAGAAGACTGGTATCTAGAGATGTCAAGGAAGGGTTATATTACTGGTATCTAGAGATGTCAAGGAAGGGTTAGAATATTGGTATCTAGAGATGTCCAGGGTTAGAATACTGGTATCTAGAGATGTCAAGGAAGGGTTAGAATACTGGTATCTAGAGATGTCAAGGAAGGGTTAGAATACTGGTATCTAGAGATGTCAAGGAAGGGTTAGAATACTGGTATCTAGAGATGTCAAGGAAGGGTTAGAATACTGGTATCTAGAGATGTCAAGGAAGGGTTATAATACTGGTATCTAGAGATGTCAAGGAAGGGTTAGAATACTGGTATCTAGAGATGTCAAGGAAGGGTTATAATACTGGTATCTAGAGATGTCAAGGGTTAGAATACTGGTATCTAGAGATGTCAAGGAAGGGTTATAATACTGGTATCTAGAGATGTCCAGGGTTAGAATACTGGTATCTAGAGATGTCAAGGGTTAGAATACTGGTATCTAGAGATGTCAAGGAAGGGTTAGAATACTGGTATCTAGAGATGTCCAGGGTTAGAATACTGGTATCTAGAGATGTCAAGGAAGGGTTAGAATACTGGTATCTAGAGATGTCAAGGAAGGGTTAGAATACTGGTATCTAGAGATGTCAAGGAAGGGTTAGAATACTGGTATCTAGAGATGTCAAGGAAGGGTTAGAATACTGGTATCTAGAGATGTCAAGGAAGGGTTAGAATACTGGTATCTAGAGATGTCAAGGAAGGGTTAGAATACTGGTGTGTTTTGATGTCTATGTGGTTGTAGTAGTCAAAATAACTGGTTTGTACAGCTGTCTAGATCATTGTGGGTACTTGAGGCATTGTTGAAGTAGCTGTAAATGTTTGTTCTTCAAAAGTGCATGCATAAGAAATATTTTTACCATTCTCTCTGTATGAAACATTCTACTCAAAATGTGTATTCAGAATTTCGAGTACACCTTTATAACATTTGGAATAAGTATACATGTACATATCCCATTATTTCTAACTGAAATAAGAATACATGTACCTACCCCATCATTTATAACTGAAATAAGGATACATGTACCTATCCCATCATTTCTAATTGAAATAAGGATACATGTACCTATCCCATCATTTCTAACTGAAATAAGGATACATGTACCTATCCCATCATTTCTAACTGAAATAAGGATACATGTACCTATCCCATCATTTCTAACTGAAATAAGGATACATGTACCTATCCCATCATTTCTCACTGGAATAAGGATACATGTACCTATCCCATCATTTCTAACTGAAATAAGGATACGTGTACCTATCCCATGTACCTATCCCATCATTTCTAACTGAAATAAGGATACATGTACCTATCCCATCATTTCTAACTGAAATAAGGATACATGTACCTATCCCATCATTTCTAACTGAAATAAGGATACATGTACCTATCCCATCATTTCTAACTGAAATAAGGATACGTGTACCTATCCCATCATTTCTAACTGAAATAAGGATACATGTACCTATCCCATCATTTCTAACTGAAATAAGGATACATGTACCTATCCCATCATTTCTAACTGAAATAAGGATACATGTACCTATCCCGTCATTTCTAACTGAAATAAGGCTATGTGTACCTATCCCATCATTTCTAACTGAAATAAGGATACATGTACCTATCCCATCATTTCTAACTGAAATAAGGATACGTGTACCTATCCCATCATTTCAAACTGGAATAAGAATATGTGTACCTATCCCATCATTTCTAACTGAAATAAGGATACATGTACCTATCCCATCATTTCTAACTGAAATAAGGATACATGTACCTATCCCATCATTTCTCACTGAAATAAGGCTATGTGTACCTATCCCATCATTTCTAACTGAAATAAGGATACATGTACCTATCCCATCATTTCTAACTGAAATAAGGATATGTGTACCTATCCCATCATTTCTAACTGAAATAAGGATACGTGTACCTATCCCATCATTTCTAACTGAAATAAGGATACGTGTACCTATCCCATCATTTCTAATTGAAATAAGCTAGAGTTTATATGACTTGAATATGAGTCGCTACTTTGGTTTGATGAAAAGCTCTAAGGATTTATATTTATGAAAATATTAGATAAATCAAGGATCTGTTGAGTGTAAAGTGGTAGATTTTTGAAGTGATATGATGACTCAGATTTATGTAAAGTATTCCTAAGATAAATTTGTACAACAGAGGTCATTACTGATCTTGGAAGGATTAAACCTCGAACTTCTGGCTTATTCGTCTTATATGTTCAACCGATTGAACTGAAGACAAGATGTCTGATGGTACATTCATTCTTCATTATTTATATACATTATTAGGAAAAAGAACATGCACTGAAGGATTCTCAGCGATCACTGCGACAACTGGAGGAAAAACTCAACAATGCAAAACAACAGACCAATCATAGCGAGGCAGAACTGATTCAGGTCAGAAAGGCATTGGAGGAGAAAGACAGTCAGCTCAAGGTGTGTGTCTTTGTATCTATAGAAACTGTGATTCTTGTGACCTTATTAAAGCCTTGAGGTTAGCTCAAGGTGTGTGTCTTTGTATCTATAGAAACTGATTCTTGTAACCTGATTAAGGCTTACCTCTGTAGGAGGTTTTCTGTTAAACATTTGTTATATTGCAGATATTTCATTAACAAATATTTCTAAAGACAGAGGCATATAATTTTATTGACATTTTCAATATAGTTTACTGTAACATGTTGCTACAGAAGACAAAGTTAGAGATTGTGTTAACTGTGCTGGTTGTTTGTTCAGACCTGGAGGACTGAGAGAGACAATCTTGTGGCTGGCCTGGAGGGTATTATGAAGAAACAACAGAAAGAAATACATGATCTTAAGAATCAGGTCAAGGCAGGTCAGAGAGGTCATCACCTTGACGAAAGCGTACTATCACCATTACAGTCAAGTCACACAAGTCATCATCAAGATGACACTGCATCCACACCAGCCAGGTCAAGTTTCAGGAGCCATCACCAAAAAGACATTTCACCAGTTAAGACAAATCACAAGAGTAGGTGTCAAAGTGAAAGTACATCAAGCAGGTCAAGTCATAGTAACCACCAACATGGTGACAGAACTTTATCACCTGTCAAGTCAACTCACAGGGCGCATCGCCAAGGCAGTGTTGCTCTATCACCAATCAGTGTGAAGGAAGAAGTTCCGTCAGGTGACAGCAGCAGCAGTGACGACAGATTGAAGTCACCCCACCCAGGCACAGTGACAACCGAGTGTCACAGGTCACGTAGACATAGCAAGGTAAGATGGTTACCTACACACCGTAAGGTAACTTCAACGCCAGGGCTTCAGACATCAATCATGATATTGTACAGGTTGTAATAATTGCTAGTGGCATCAAATTGTGAAAATAAATTTATGGATGAATTATACTCCATTACATACGTCTGAAAAAAAAACACATCCTTTCTGTTTCAAGTTTTAGTAAATCATCCAAAGTTTGAACCTTCGAGGAAACAAAGCAACCTTACAGTTTTGATTTTCTTTATTTGTCTTAACATCAACAACTCTGTCCTGTCATGTACTACACTATATATGTGGAAATATTTAACCATTATTAAATTTCCTCTACAAGCATGACACACATGTATAAATTTTATCTGTCATTTCATTTTTGTCCTTACTTATGATAGGATGAAATGGGCAGAAGTTTCCCATATACAGAAAGCAATGCTAACATTACAGGGTGAAGGTATTATTGATGTGATGTTGTTCTGACAGAGAAATCTGGTTTTTTAACCAGGGTTATTGCCCCTTTACTTTCCAACCTTTTTTTATCCTAGAATGAATGTTCAGATAGATGATAGTAGAAACATTTTAAACTCAGCAACTCTAGAGTTAGAACTATGGGGCAGGGAAAAAATATAAAAACATAACTTTAGGACTCAAGAGGAGAATATTTTGCAATATAAACTCAATGAATTTGATACATAATATAATTAAAATGATTAGACAGCAGTTGATCCCAGTCACATTGATTGTAGATAACACAATTGGTAAACCTATTAGAGTTAAAACAAAACATTAAAACTGTATTGAAGACAGCATGTGGCAGGACTCTTGTATTTTACTCAGTGAAGTAAGTCGTCGGGTAATACAGGGGGACCCAAGGAGATCACACTCTTTGGTTTGGGAGGATGGTGTACTTCTCTTCTAGCTTTTACTGGTTGTGTCACTGTAGCACACAATCTAATGGATATAAAACGCCACTGTGATTCTGTTTTAGATGTCTACAGAGCAGTGTCCATTAACAAAGACTCCTCAATCTGAGGCCAGCAGGAGTCATCGAAGCTCCAGTAGGCGCAGTCGTAAACGGAGATCAGTGAGCGAGTCAGCATTAGAGGTACAGCTTTGTTTCCCTTACTTTTGTGGTTATATCCTTACTTCAGTGTTACTTTTGTAAGGAAATTATAATGTGATTCCAGTAGGAAACTCCTTATTTTCTTGGTTTTTTTTTCAAATATTCTGCTAATTTTTTCTTTTAAACTCTTCTAGTCCTAAACAGTTCATTGAGTTTTGGACTCCCATGTAAAATTCATGTCATCACTTTATCAGCTTAATGAATGCTTTTTAAAGATTTTGACAATATTGATGTAATGGAGAGTGATTGGAATGCTTTTAATTCTTGTCTCTGGGTCCCTAATTTATGGTCATTTTCGCTATTTATAGAGATATTTGTACCAGAGCACAGACATTGAGGTCTTGCATATAATTCTAATTTATAATCATTGTGAATTTCCAAATGAATTCTTTATCTGATTTGCAGTTGCCAGCGAAGAAGAGAGACAACTTTGATGCAACATTTGCTTCAGAAGAAAGTAGTATTTCTGACCATGTTCAGATAGATGCCACGCCCCCTGTGGCTGCACGCAACCTCAGAAAAAGTCGTAAAAAACAAGGCACCACAGAAACAGTGAGTTTATGTACTTTATAAAGACTGATGTAGAAGTAACACCTAAGTTGAAAGGTCATCTTAGGTTCTGCGCATGGAGATTGAGGGATCAAGTCGAACCTGTCCAAAACTAACTTGCTGAAAATCATAAGTTTTCAGAATTTCAGCATAAAGCAGGGTCGGTGTACTCACATATTTCTGGAATATGCTGTTAGGTGTTAGTGAAATGGAACATATTTTATTGTTTTTTCATTGTTTTATGCTTGACAGAAAATTCTGAAGGTTTACATAAATCTGTTTCTACATCACATACATGTGCATACCTGTATCACAGAACAATTCCAGACCACCTGGTATGTTTCCACCAGGTTATGCAAAAGTAGCCGTAGCAAAGATGGGCCAAAATTATTCAACTTCAAATGAGAAAAACTTTATACATGAAAATTCTGAAACTGAATTCGATTACAGTTCAAGTGTAAAATTATCAAGTGTCAAAATCAAATGTCAAAAAAAAAAAAAATAAATAAATAAAACATTCTTGTTTTTGTTTCCATTCGACACACTTCAAAGTGTAATGACATTATTGGATTATGGTAGACTTAAAAAAACATTGAAATGGCATTGTCAACAAACTTCTGTGTATGGTGTCAAGACCACGGCAGCTTTTCAGTGAATCTCATCATGGTCACAAACATGAATTAATGGATATGAAATATATTGCTGATATTTGTTTTAATGAATATACAAGAAATATGTAGAAATATATCATTGTTATCCTGTTTATAGCTACTGATATTTTATCAGATGTAACATGTATATATGGCTTGTATAAAAATTATGTGTTTGTTGTATACAGGAAGGTAAGGAGAACACAGGACCATCTTCACGCCGAACAAGAAGGGGAACTAAAGGTACGGAGGCTCCAGGTCTGGGACGCATTGGCTCCATTGTGTCTGCTATCAAAAACTCATCTCTAACACGCTCAGGTACACACACAGCCTTATCAACACTCTCAGGTACACACACAGTCTTATCAACACTCTCAGGTACACACACAGTCTTATCAACACTCTCAGGTACACACACAGTCTTATCAACACTCTCAGGTACACACAGTCTTATCAACACTCAGGTACACACACAGTCTAATCAACACTCTCAGGTACACACAGTCTTATCAACACTCTCAGGTACACACACAGTCTAATCAACACTCTCAGGTACACACAGCCTTCTCATCACGCTCACGTACACACACAACCTTTTCAACACGCTCAGGTACACACACAAATTTTCCCTTCTACTTCTTTATTAGTTTTGTTCAGCAACACACAGGTCTTTAAATATACTGCTGTTGTTTCAAAAATGATTCCCTTTTTTTTTATTAATTATATGTAATACTCTAATTTCTAATACTGGTTTATAACCATGTTTCTCTCAATGGGTTGTCACTCTCCACAGCCAATGGGAACAAATGATTCTTTTGTGATAGAGGGGCTCCAGAGCAATCAGGTTGTTGTTGGTAACAAGGGTGATTTTTGGTTACTGTAAATATCATAAATTTACTGCATTATCATTTTTTGGCAAATTAGTGCAGTGACAAATTAGTGTTTCCATAATGGTTGCTACATGAATAACAATGAGTGCAGTCATATTTTAAACAATATTTTGAAAATAAGATTACTGCTAAATGTATGTACATTGTAAACTTGATATATCATCCTGAGTTATATGTGTTAATCTGTTACAGCTAAGAAACTATTAGATGACATCTCTGAGTCACCAAGCCAATCAACACAAGATCGTCCAACAGGAACCAGTGGGCCTTCAACACCAGACAGCCAATACGTCGAGGTGGAAGATCAGGGCACTCAGATGTCAGGGGGGAATAAGGAGGAGCAACAGCGCTCCAAACGATCACGTAAACGCCATCAACTATACACAGAAAATGTACACATATCAGAGCCATTCGAGGGAGGAGGACTCTTTGTGGTGAGCTTCATAATACATTGTAAAAGTGGCTACAAACATTTAGAAAAATAAAAAAAATTCTAAAGAAATTATTTAGGCGAGTGAATGTACCAGTCTGCTGGGTAGGTATGGTCAGAAAGATATTGAACTTTAGAAAATCCTTTAATACTGGCACATAGTTAGATTCATAAAAGCAGACAAAGGTTTATATACGTTATACAAATGATCAAGTATCTGCTATCATTAACAACCCTTCTGTTTGTACTCCTCTGTTATCTTTGATCTGGACAAACAACTATGAAATCCACATCTGATGGTAACTAATTATAACTGTCTTATTTTGTAGCCTTCCACTCCGACTAATGATGTTCATGGCATAGTATTAAGGAAACTGAGGACAAGAAAACACTAAATGGTAAAGACACTGCAAACCTGTCTTTAGAAAACTGGTCACACGCCACAATTCAGTGACAAAATTTAAGCTATACAGACTTAGCACAACGGTGATCTCCTCCATACTGGAATAGCTACGGGCAGGAACTTATCATTTTAACATTTATCATAATGTGCTACTGCACAATTATTTACATGATGTGAACACAAACGTTCACTGATTTTTTCCTCTGTTTATAAAGATAGCATGTGATTTATATTGCAATTGTCGTCAACTTGGCAGGAAAGTGGGACATTGTTGTGGTGTTGAATTTTTTTTACATCATACAACTTATGGAATATAAAGTCAGAAGGTATACTGCTGAGGACAAATCTGTACTAGAGTTGGATGTAATAGTGAGGAGGTTTATGTAGTCAACCTGTGGAACATAGAGTCAAAATGTGTTAAAAGTGTCAACTACAGCATGCTGACAACTCTTTGCTAGAGGAATGTTATACTGAAGAAGTCTGTGTGGTCATACATGTTAACCTATGGAGGAATGTATAGTCAAAACGTGGTGTTAAAAGTGAACTATGGAGGACAACTCTGTATGGATGTTATGTTTAGGAAGTTTGTGTTATCCTATGGAATACAAAAATGTTTCTTGTAAGTGTGGACTTTATTTATTGCTGTGAAAAATCCGTTGATATTCTGTTACCCTGACTATTGTGTTAGAAGTCAGTCGGATTTCTGTGAGATATTAATATTTTCAGGTGGCATTTCCCAAGTTACAATGCTTTTGTCAGAGTACATTAAAATAGAATGAGACATATATACAAAGTCAGTTTTAGATGAGGAAGGTTTTTTCAGAGAGGAACTCTGTGAGTTCTATTGTGTCATTTGTTTACTAATTTGTTGTCTGTTTTTGGGCTATTTCTGTCATGATTCTGATCTGTCTGCCCCTTCCTGTCTCTGCTATTTTTTCAGATTGTTTCTAACATTATTGTTCTATCTACCCCTCACCTTCTCTCCTACATTTTCAGACTGTTTCTGACATCATTTTTCTGTCTACTCCTCACCTTCTCTCCTACAATGTATGTTACTCAGTCTTTTCCCTCTAATTCCTTTACCTCCATCCCTGTCTTTCATTCATATACATGTGTGTACATGTTTTGTCAAATTGATATTGTTTTGTATTTTGGAATAAAATATTGATCAGGTTCAGAACTTAGTCTCAGCTCAATGTTCAAGGCTGTCTTTCCAATTTACCTGTGTTATATATTAAGAATCAGATATATTTTATTTCATTGGTATTTGCACTTCTTTTGGCCATTTGTAGTAACTTTAATTTTTAAGACCATATTCATTATTTTTGATGCTTCTGAAAAAACGTGTTTGGAAAATGAAAGCTATTTAAGAAAGCTGAGGATTTAAAAAAATTTCAGGCCTAAAAATGTGATGATGCACTTTATTTTTATATCAGTCAGATTATCTTTGAAAGGATGTATCAAGTGTTTAGATTTCTCGGCTGTCGAGTAGGTGGTCATTACTCAGCTCGTGTGTGATTGTTCATTACTCGCCTGTTGTGTGAGCGGTCGTTTTAGTGTTCATTACTCAGCTCGTGTGCGAGTGTTGATTATTCGGCTGTCCTGTGTGCATTCATTAATCGGCTGTCCTGTGTGCGTTCATGGCTTGGCTGTCTTGTGAGTGTTCATTACTTGGCTGTCATGCGAGTGTTCATTACTCGGCTGTCGTGTGAGTGTTCATTACTCAGCTGTTCTGTGAGTGTTCATTTCTTGGCTGTCATGCGAGTGTTCCATTACTTGGCTGTCGTGTGAGTGTTCATTACTCGGCTGTCATGCGAGTGTTCATTACTCGGCTGTCGTGTTAAGTGTTCATTACTCGGCTGTCATGTGAGCGTTCATTACTCGGATGTCATGCGAGTGTTAACACAGATCAATAATCTTTATTTGCAACAATTCTCATGAACTGAAAATGTTTTTTATTTTCAAAGATTTTCAAATCCATCATTTAATTGATTAGAAAATTGTTAGGTATACTAGGTATATCTGATTTATATACCAGTAAATCACTGCCAACATGATATAACTCTGACGAAAACTGTTTACCTGTTACACGTATTTACTTGTATGCAGTGTAAATCTAAATACTATGTAACTAATAATCAGATTTAAGCCTGTACCAGCAGTTTATCTGTGCTTTGTGTATTAGATCAGATGTAAGTGTGTACTGGTGTTTATGTTCCGTGTAAAATACGTATGATCCGAGTCTTTATCTCACCAGATATAAGGCTATACCAGCGTATAACTGTATAACTCTGGTAATGTGTAACAGGATTATGACGACGACTTTTGAGGTTGTGTAATTTTTATTATGCTATAAAAACAAATACAAATAAATCGTGATATTTGTCACCTTTTTCTCTTGTTATTTTAACTGGTAACATCTTGTTATATTTGATATTGTACTTCATTCTTCTTGATTTAAGCTCCCATTCCCTAATCTACATACTGTTACGTCAAGCAGGGTGTAGTTTACACAATGAGTGTACGGATCACAATATTTCCTGCTACTTTAAGTAGAGTGTAGTTTACTGAACAGCAGCATAGATCAAGATATGTTCAGTTACCTCAAGTAGAAGGTAATTTACAGAACGAGATAGTAGATCAACATATGTTCTGCTACATCAAGCGGAGTAGTTTACAGAACGAGATAGTAGATCAACATATGTTCTGCTACATCAAGTAGAGTAGTTTACAGAACGAGATTGTAGATCAACATATGTTCTGCTACATCAAGTAGAGTAGTTTACAGAACGAGATAGTAGATCAACATATGTTCTGCTACATCAAGCGGAGTAGTTTATAGAACGAGATAGTAGATCAACATATGTTCTACATCAAGTAGATTGTTGTTGAAGGAAAGGGAGTGTAGTTTAAGATAATGGTTTTAATCAGACTGATTGTACACACACCTTACAGGTACAATATGTACTTTTATTTATTTTCTTTATCATTGTTATGGTTATGTTTTATCACCATGACAACCTGGTACAGAGTAAAGAAGAACCCGTCAACAACTGGGTACATGTATCATAAGATTTATTACATGGTGTACATTTTATTAAATAGCACAAATAAATAGCACAGGCAACTAAGGAATTTCTCTAGTCCAAGAAATTACTCACGAACCAAAGACATTCTCACTTTTACAGTCAGACAGAAAAAACAGGTCATGTTAACTGTTACCTGGAATACTAATATAATTCTACAATAAGCCCACTTGTTGTATGCTTCTTCTATAACAACAGCTGGTAATTCTCCAACAACCATTGGCCTGTCCTACCTGTGCTCTCCACGTGAATATAGGTCGCTTGTCGTTAGGACAATGAAAAGTGAACACCACAGGTAACTGGCCTATCTATGTCCTCCATATGAATATGGGCCCTTAGTCAACAGGATATTGAAAGGACAATCTGGTCTGACGACACATGGCTTTGTTATCACTAATTCATCACACAGGTGATGTAACAACTACTTGGTGTGGTATAATCCTGAGATGACAGGTGGGCAGGAGAATGACAGTATCACCAACCATTTCTCTGGATCCACCAGGTGTGAGATATCAGTCATTGTCCCTTAACACATCTATAACTAAAGTCTTTAACAAGTTGTGAGAATCTACTAATGCAATAATGCAGTATAGATCAAAATAAAGTACCTGTAGTAGAAATTGATCCCAAAAGATACTGTTAAAAAACTGGCATGCTTTCTGCAGAAAAATTCTGGTATTTCATAACCATACCACACAGCTTGTGAAGAGCATCTTCACACAGCATTTCTAGTTCAACTACCTGTTGATATTTTGATACGAGGTCAAGAAATGTTTGATCAATATGACAGCCTAGAGACATAAATATCCTGCGACATCTCAATAACAGGAGAAGTGGTGCCAATAGGTCTAATGATGTGTTTACAACCTCAGTGATGGTGGACTATATGTTTTACACAATAATGAACCCTAACACTCTATCCGACATGCTTTGTGGCAGTGTAATTTTATAGTTTTAATTAAAAATTTGTTACGTAGACAAAAAGCAATGTTATGAAGAGAGATCATAGTGCATTTAACTAGAAGATTCTAATCTATTAGACAGAATGTGCTTATACAGTGTTTGTAATTACATTGTATTATACTCATGAAATAAAACCTAAACATGTATAATCTTCCCTGTGAGGATGCTACCCACTCATCCCACACAATCACAGCAGCGTGAGTCACAGACTTAGTGTTAACATCCCACACAATCACAGCAGCGTGAGTCACAGACTTAGTGTTAACATCCCACACAATCACAGCAGCGTGAGTCACAGACTTAGTGTTAACATCCCACACAATCACAGCAGCGTGAGTCACAGACTTAGTGTTAACATCCCACACAATCACAGCAGCGTGAGTCACAGACTGTTAACATTCAGAGAAGACGTCTTATAAATTTTCTTAAATCTTGAAGCTGAGTTTTGTCTTAAGATGCTGATCTTGTTTACTTTTCATGTTCCTCAGCATACCAATAACCTGTCATCTCTTCTTACGTAATAAATGCTTAACATTGACCTTAACTAGTAGTCTGACTACCGCATCCTCGTTGACCCTGCAGCCATTATAAATCAACCAAGTTATATTGCACTGGTCAAGCAAGTGGTGTTCTGTCATCATTGTAAAGGGACCAAACTCTGTTCTCATAATGACATTGTCCTGGTAATGACACAGCTCGCACAACTATGTTGTCTTCATAATGGCACAGTTCATAACACAACACTGTCCCCAATACAACAGTCCTCATAACAACATTGTCCTCGTAACGATACTTCTCAAAACAACACTGACCTTATAAGGCAGTTTATCAACACCGCAAGTAATCATAATATCGCAAAACACCTGTATTTTGGTTGTGTATTCATCAAACTGTAATTTCTAAAACAGAATCCATAAGAGGTATAAAAGACTGAGACTTTTTCAGCATTTTGCAGTATTTTTCAAGGTTGTCCATGATAAAATTACTGATGTACACCATCATAGGAAGGGTTCTATGGTGATTTCGAGGGCAGCACAGGGGTTAGTGAGCTCAAACTTCGTGATAACCTCAGGATGAAGGACACCGATGTGACCTATCTTTTTTCCTCGAAGAACAATCTCAGCACTCCTCCCAGGGAAATATGTAGGATCTGTAATGATTAATTAGGTCAGACTGGAGTCAAACACCAGGCAACGATACATAGTCATCCAAAACAAGGTTAAATCAACATCATCATCAAAGTTAAAAGTAAAGTAACAAGGTCAGTCAGTCAAAGATCACGTTGTAGGTCAACCTGTCAAACATCAGAGTTGTAGGTGAGATGACAAGGTCAGTGTCAAACATCAAGGTTATAGGTCAACCTGTCAAACATCAGAGTTGTAGGTGTGATGACAAGGTCAGTGTCAAACATCAGAGTTGTAGGTGAGATGACAAGGTCAGTCTGTCAAACATCAGAGTTGTAGGTGAGATGACAAGGTCAGTCTGTCAAACATCAGAGTTGTAGGTGAGATGACAAGGTCAGTCTGTCAAACATCAGAGTTGTAGGTGAGATGACAAGGTCAGTCTGTCAAACATCAGAGTTGTAGGTGAGATGACAAGGTCAGTCTGTCAAACATCAGAGTTGTAGGTGAGATGACAAGGTCAGTCTGTCAAACATCAGAGTTGTAGGTGAGATGACAAGGTCAGTCTGTCAAACATCAGAGTTGTAGGTGAGATGACAAGGTCAGTCTGTCAAACATCAGAGTTGTAGGTGAGATGACAAGGTCAGTCTGTCAAACATCAGAGTTGTAGGTGAGATGACAAGGTCAGTCTGTCAAACATCAGGGCTATAGGTCAAATAACAATGTCAGCCATGTCAAACAGTGAACATATCGACATACTATTTGTATTATAGTGAGATCAGTAACTTACTATGTCACAAAAGCAACACAATATACAACCGTTCTGTTCAAACTAAAGGTGGGACAGCTTTACATATGGGACTAAATCTGCTGTTCAGATTAATTGTGACCCTAACTTTGATCAATGCAATTAGGTCAAAACCATTGGGAAATACTGTGTGGTACAAAGTTTGAATAGGATTGATCCAGGATTACTTATTGTGTAGAAAGGATGGCTGGTCTCCACAGCACATTACCATATCTTTAATATTCTACCAAGTACTTACCTGGACTCTCTCGGATGTGGTAGCCATTGTTGTCATTTGTCATGGGAACCTCTAAGAGCTGCATCACACGGTCAAGCATCCCTTTCACAATCTCAAACCCAGAGGACTTGTTGTAGTTGACTAGACACAGTCGTCGGTCATTCCTGGCTCCGACATCTATCAGTACAGAAATAAAATGGCTCAATCAAACAAAATAATTGCATCAACATCTACAGCTGTTAGTCACTAAATCAGACAGTTACAAGGGTAATTTTTCATTCTCTGTAGTAACTAATGGTCAGTAACCAAGTAACATTTTGTTGTCTTTGACTAGAATTGTTAGTAACTAGGGTAACATTTTGTTGTCTTTGACTAGAATTGTTAGTAACTAGGGTAATATTTTGTTGTCTTTGACAAGAATTGTTAGTAACTAGGGTAATATTTTGTTGTCTTTGACAAGAATTGTTAGTAACTAGGGTAACATTTTGTTGTCTTTGACTAGAATTGTTAGTAACTAGGGTAACATTTTGTTGTCTTTGACTAGAATTGTTAGTAACTAGGGTAATATTTTGTTGTCTTTGACACATATTGTTAGTAACTAGGGTAATATTTTGTTGTCTTTGACAAGAATTGTTAGTAACTAGGGTAACATTTTGTTGTCTTTGACTAGAATTGTTAGTAACTAGGGTAACATTTTGTTGTCTTTGACTAGAATTGTTAGTAACTAGGGTAACATTTTGTTGTCTTTGACTAGAATTGTTAGTAACTAGGGTAACATTTTGTTGTCTTTGACTAGAATTGTTAGTAACTAGGGTAATATTTTGTTGTCTTTGACACATATTGTTAGTAACTAGGGTAATATTTTGTTGTCTTTGACAAGAATTGTTAGTAACTAGGGTAACATTTTGTTGTCTTTGACTAGAATTGTTAGTAACTAGGGTAACATTTTGTTGTCTTTGACAAGAATTGTTAGTAACTAGGGTAACATTTTGTTGTCTTTGACTAGAATTGTTAGTAACTAGGGTAACATTTTGTTGTCTTTGACTAGAATTGTTAGTAACTAGGGTAACATTTTGTTGTCTTTGACTAGAATTGTCAGTTACCAGTGTGGTGTGTGACTAGAATTATCAGTAACTAGGATTACCTTTTGTTTTATCTTGGTACACAACATCAGAGATCTCGAACAGGCGGAGGGGTAGGGGCATGGATTTGTTATTACCAATGGTCTTCAGCACGCCGGGCAGCAGACAGGTTCTAGCAATCTGTTGGAAATATAATTATGATCAAATTAATGTATGTATAGGTTAAAAATTATACAACTGGAGATGAATTCTTGAGTCACAAGACAAACACACTCACATTTGATTTTAACCTGAAGATAACCATGATGGTCACGGTATTGTTGTAAATCATCTTTATTCCACATGTGATTTACTTTACATGATTTTCGAAACAATTTCACTAAAGCTAAATTTTTAGCAAGAAAGGTATAATAAACAAGATTACAGTATGGCAGAAATCATTTTGTTATATTGCTGTGAACTTGTTGAAATTAGGAAATCATGAAAGTCAGCAGCCACAAAAATAAATTTATGTACAGTATTGTAATCCTAGCTGGAATACTGCAAAAACATATCTTTTTGTGAGACTCAATTTTCGAGGTTTATCAAAGAAGAAATAAAAATCAATGAAAATAAATTGCCCATGAAAATGAATGACTTCACAGTAACTTGTTACGATATTGTTGTAAAACAAATAAAGTTCTATATTTTAACAGATGAAGTTTGGGTTACATCACAATACCAGAAAATACTGGTATAAAAAGAAACAGAAAAACATCTCCGTCACGTTCAAACAACTCTGGTCCATCTGTTCGGCCACAATATATAGAAACAATTAAGGAAACAAGTTCAAAATGCTACATGACTGATGAACTTGTTTTACCTAGGAAAAGGACTGACATGAAAACTCCTATCACATCATTGGCTTTGTGTAGTCATCCAAAGGGTCATGTTTTAACCCAGTACCTGTAAGTAATAAAATTTAAATGACTGACAAACATTCTAAGATCCTTGATGAAATGCAGCTGATCGGTACTTTACCTGGAACTCAAAAGTCTTTGGGTTTGCGATGTGTACAGCATTGGCCTCTTCTATGGGTTTCCGTAGCTTGTCCGACACATCACTCCTTGAGCACTGTCATTACAATAATGTGTGTACAGTTAATGGCATTGCACAGAAAAGTAGATAGTGTTCCAATTAACAGACACTCCGTATATATACACATGAGTACATGTCAATTGTTAAATGAAAAAAAGGTGATATTAATCTTAAATAAAATAACAGCATTCCGTTTCAATTAACCTTAGTGAGGCTATCTTACTGAGTCCAACATCCTATACTCTTTCACTATCAAATCATTTTTATAAGCCAGATCGTATTTAGGAATGAACACTTGAGTCTACTCACCAAAGCAAATGTAAGGACTTCTGTGAAGCCAGCGGCTGACATTTCTAGTCGTAGCAAATCTGTTAGTTTGTTGATGGGTAACTACAACAAAATCTTTATATTACTGACCATCCCAAGGAAATTCTTAAACTAGCTATAACCACTGTCTGATATACTTATCACATGTCATCTTATCATTAAATAAAAGTTCAGACTTATTGAATAAAAGTCACTTAAGAAATTAAACACATATTCATCAAAGGTTACAAATACCCTGGCCCTATGTAGAGAAATCCTGATGTAATATTGTAGAAATCAAAAGTTATATTTTCTAGCATTAACTGATTGGCTATTACGCTACAGTATAGGAAAACATAATGTTTAACAATGAGTTAACCAGGTAAAAATGTCAGTAAAATTCTGCATCTGTCTATATATAATTAGCTATATACATTTTGTTGATACACAATTGACCAGCTGTAAATTTACTTAGTTTCCCTTTATATTTGAGATGGGTTAAAAATCTGACAAATGTTGACTGACAGAAGCGATGTCACTGCATCATCTTATTGGACTTTTCTGGTATGGTGGGCTAATGATGTAAAAATACTGTTAAAATCTGAAATATTCTTGATTTTTTTTATTTACAATCACGTTACAAAACGAGCGGAATTCATTTTGATTACGGTGTAAACAACTCACCTGATTAGCTACTGTGTTGGTCTTTGGAATAGTCTTTTTGATGTTGTTAAAACCATAGGATATTGCAACATCCTCAACTACATCACAGGCATGAATGACATGTACAAATAGTTAAGGTCCATCCTCCATTAATACATAATACATTGTACCATCAGACTCAGAGTGTTTTAATATTTGTGATGTTATAAATGTTTTGTTACTGTTTCTGCCTTGATAGAGGTACAGATAACTTTGTTACTGTTTCTGCCTTGATAAAGGTACAGATAACTTTGTTACTGTTTCTGCCTTGATAAAGGTATGGGTTAGTTTGACTCTGTTGATATCACCTCTCTAGTTTTATATATGTAACACTATCATTATGTTAAGATCACATTTTACATCAGACAAGGATATCTTGACGAGTGGGAGGGACCTCGACCCTCACTTGTGCTCCGCCATCCGTGACCTCGGCCGCCAGACACATCCGTGTCAGTAAGCGTGCAGTTTCCTCTGGAGTTATTCTGTAACAAACGGTGAAAGAAAAATGATTTTATGTCTCTAACAGAACAAAAATGAAAAATCTGGGATGACATCAATCTGATATTAAAAGGAAATTCACCTATTTAAGACTCTTTAATCAATTATACAGTCAATACATTATATTACAGAAATATCTGAAGCCATCTTATATGATCAGCAGATGGGTGATGTCATTTTATCATCATCTTAAATGTCACATTAGGTGAGTATATCCAATGGATATTTTAACAGAATAACATTGTGATCATGTGACTTCAAGTATAAAGTTATTTACTTATCATTTTCGTATCTTTCTTTGTTGTTGGCAATAAGGAGGTTACACTTACTTAATTCCGACATTACGATTGATAATGTCCACGTTCACATCCTCCATCCTGTATCCAAGCTCCTGTGAACAAAAGATCTTAAGTGAACCTTACTCCAAATTATGCTGAAATTCCCTTTACCCTGATATAGCAATGGATAATTTCAGAATCCAAATATCTTCAAAATACATGGTACTAGTTCTAAATCCTCCATTGTCACATAATTTGTGACCATGTCATACTGAAGGTCACATATCATTGTCATGTTCCAGGTCACACCACATCATCATGCTTAAGGTTTATATATCAATGGGGTATTACAATTATATGAGTATTACACCTCCTGTCTGGGAGAAAGATCTTTGTTTGTGTCACGGTGAATGAATGTATCTCCCTCTAACCTAGAGTAGAGGTAATATCATATTTACAGTATATTTCTTTAACTATGGTCTGATATATGATTTATTAATAATATACTCACAGGGTAGAAAGCAGAGGTTCCATCTGGCATTGTCACCTTGGCCTTCTCTACTCTGTAAAGACAATGACCAAAGCCACTATTGAAAAAATATCAGACAGGAAACAAAGGTTTTTTCGATGCTGTAAAATTTTGCATTTGACCAAAATCTTGATAGAAAAGGTATGCATTTTGCAATTGAGTCATGAAATCAATTTTTTTTGGCAGTCTAGTTCAATCCATCTCCACTAAATAAAGGTGAATTTGTTACAGTATTCACAAAACATGGCAATCATAGTGGACAAGATGTGGAGGACAATACATGTGGGAGGTAATGTATTGACTAGAGTGTCAATGACAGGACTTATGTGAGGGGTCGATCACAATATTTACAAAACATAGTCACCAGAGTAGAATCAATAAGGAGGAAGACATGTGGGAAGTAAATGTAGTGACTAGAGAGTCAGTAACAGAACTTACGTGAAGGGTCGATCACAGTATTCACAAAACATAGCGACCAGAGTGTCAATGACCATCTTGGCCTTTGTCAAGTCCGTGGCGGTACACTCTATGAACACATTCCGAGTGTTACATGTGATCTTACTGTGATCTCCTAAAATAACAATGGATTAATTAGCAGTAGAAAAATCCTGTTTAATTAAGATCGCCAGCTTTACTACTGTCCGTTATCTCAGGACATAAATAGTGTAAAATGGATCCGATTTTTAATAACAATTTTGATATCTAAAACTCAAAAAAGAAAACTGGTAGGACAAACTTAAATTCATGTTGACTACTCTACTAACTGACCATTAATGATTGGTGGCATAGACAGGACAACGCCATTCTGGTCGTAGATGACGGGATAAACCGGTTTGTCCTGAATTATTGGCAGAAACTGCTTCAAATGATTGTCACTCTGAAACAGTAAAAAAATTAATTTAAGCTGAAACAATAAAAAACAAGTTTAAGCTGAAACAGTCAATGCTTAAAGAGTGTAAGTTTCAAGGTTTACAGCACGGGAACAAACAATAGGAGTCATACTCGAGAGGTCAAATCGCCAATAAAGAGCTGTTAGTATGAGAGTTCCCATAGCAACTGTTGGAAGTCTGGTAGATCATTAATGTAGCCTATTTCATCGCAGAAATCACCTCACATCGATATTTAAACAAAGTTGGGTATGAAATTCCACTTTTCCTTAAAACTATTTCATTCTTGGTCATAAAAGTTTGATCAGTCAGAGAGAAATGAATAAACTAATACCTGTATCACATAATTATATTGGCCAATGGATTAAACTAGCCACCAAATAGACCCATATCTGTGCAATTTATTAGATTCAACAAACACTTTATTTCAAGAATTTATCTCTTAAGAAATATTCGTAAATACATGATTTTGTGAATGGTGATCTAGAATTGACTTTTAATTAATGAATGATGAGTTGTCTCTTCAAGACTGATATTGGTTACCAAATCAACATGGATGCTATCCACAAATCATAGCCAGAGATTTGAATTTGCAATTAAATCTCCTCGTGTATAAATGTGAAAATAAATCCCACACAAAAAAGTGATTTACAGTAAGTATTCCAGCAATGAAAACAACAGCAGGACCTTGTAATGAATTTCTAAACTACTTCTTGCCAATATAGATGAGATACATGTGAAGTTCTCACCGAATAATGGTCCATCAGTTCAGGAGCCGTCATCTCTCTTTCCTGATTTAGAGCTTTAAATTTAATGTCTGCTGGAGGCCGGGCATCATACAGAAATGGTCCCTGTAATGTGTCAAGGTCATGAGTTCCTATAGCAACCAGAGTTCTTCTCCTAGAAAATATGAAACAACGAAAGCACAATTATGATAAATAAATTATTGATGTTAAGAAAGAACATGGAGTTTTAATGAGATACAAGTTAGTTTATATATACAGCAACACATGTTACAACGAATTCCATCAGACCATGTGAAATAATTCATTATGGCCCGAATTCATTTTAGGATTTTCAGGTTTTCTAAAAGTGATGTCCACTGTACATATATACCAACTTACCTGATTTTAAACAAGTTTAAATCTCACAAAAACTTTCAAAAATGTCGACTATTTGACCATTTTTTGTCCCCATCCCTCAGGCCCCTGGGGAGTGGGGACCATATAATATACAATTTTGGTTCACAAGTGCTCATGGAATGTTTCTGAAAAATTTCATTGAAATCAGTTCAGTTGTTTTCCAGAAGGAATCCAAAATGTGAAAAGTTTTCGAATGCATGATCGTCAATGCCATACAATAGGGGATTGCAAATGGTCACCAGCAGACTTTGTGTCTCTGAAATATGATACAGAACAAGAAAATCTTACCTGCACAGATTCTGATGTAATTTATCTTGGAGATTAATGAAGCTTTTGTATCTTTTCTACAACAGAGAAAAAATTATAAAAATAATTGAAATAAGTTACACTGTAAACATCTTGACTTATCAACGATTTAAGTCTGCCAGAATTGTATCCATCATGGATGCTTCTAAACAATTTATTTCTTTATTGATGAGGGATCTATTTCAGTCTTGATATACAGAAGTTAATGATAGTTAACATGAAGTAGTAATAGAGTGTTCTTTTGTTACCAAAAAACTTCACTGAGAAGCAACCATTAGCTAAATATGTAAAATAAAGAAATAAAGGAAAATATTGATCACTTGTTCCTGTATCCTCTGACAAAGGCAGACATATAGTGGATCAAGATTGATATTAAAGCTCATCATAGGAGTTCCGGAAGGTTTAATACAACACAATCTTTTCCAGAGTAGCCTTACCAGTAATTGCCAGAGATTAGTGAAATACTTTTACGAGATACTCACTGGAGTGAAGGTGATGTTTCTAAGGACAGCAGCTACAGCAAATGGACGGACCTGGGCTGTCTGGAGAAATTAAACAGTAACATCTCAGTCTGAAATCTGTGTCGCCTTCAGGCACTAACAGTATTATCAAATCTGATACATGTGTGGTGTCAAAAACAGGTCAAATTCCTGGTGGTAAACAGGTAAAAAACATATTACTTTTAAATCAAACTACATGTACAGTCACTATCAGACCAAAAATATCTACTCTAACATAACGACACTAAGATTAGAACAGATGCTATATTTACAGATGGTAGAATGATGGAAGAAGTACCTGTACAGATACATGTAGATACTTACAGACGGTAGTACAATAAGTTCCTGTAACTTGTCAGCACTTGGTTCCAATGCTTCATACCTAGGAGCCTTTATTCTGTACAGGAAACAAAAAAACTTCTAAATATGTAACACTGAACAGAGGTCATTTTATTTTTCATGCCATCAGCTGACATTTATAAACTGATAAATGCCAACAGAAACAATACAAGGAACAACCTATGTCATGTACGTGGTTGCCATTTCATTTAAATCACAATCTCTGAAATCGTAAGAAATTTTGTCTCATCAAAGTTTGAATGTGGTACTACTGTTGCTCAACTTCTCAAGCAGAGTAAACAATTCTGTGTCACCAGAAAACATGTCCTTAATTTCTTTTGTGTTCATGGAAATATTTTGGACTAGTTCATTTCAACAATTTAAAACAGAATGTGACTGATACCTGTATGTAAATGCAATGTGCATGCTAAAATGTATTGCTAACATATATATTCCATACCAGTGCAATTCCAGCTTTCCAAAATTTTGATGAGTTGCTAACATATATATTACTGGCCTCTATTTTTTGTGAAAATCTACCTGTTTTTAACTTTATGGCCTCTATTTTTTGTGAAAATCTACCTGTTTTTAACTTTATGGCCTCTATTTTTTGTGAAAATCTACCTGTTTTTAACTTTAAATTGGAACACATTTCATATTCAATTAAAGATAGTTCCTTGTATAAAACAGATAGAATATTATACCATAAGACTTTATAGACCAGGTTTTGAAGACAACAGTTGTTGCCCATATGCTTTCTCCCACATTTCTTAGTAAGAAACTTGATAGGTATGATGTTCATAAAATATCTTTCTTGGATATTTGAAATACTTACTTTTCAAGGAAAACTTTAAGCGCTCGAGTCAATCCTTCAATACACAGTAAGTCATATCTGTAAACCAGTAATAAGGATGTTAAGGGTGATACATTTTAAACAATCATAAATACAAATTGTATCCTTGTTGTTGAACCTGATAATTTGTGAACTCCTTTGAGACAGTTAAATTGTTGTGATTAAATACTATCACTGTTAAATATCCTTCATGTTTGAAATAAATTTTTCATAGAGACTTTTTTCTTATTCATGATACAAAAGATCGGAATTAACTTCTGTTTTAGAATCATACAAGGTGATAATCTGATGGAACATCTGAGAAATAATGTAAGCCTACTTCACAACCTGTAAAATATTTCAAGGATTACTGTACCTTGTTGTAGGTCACATAAGACATCACATCTACACTGAAGTCGTGTTCTGAGTAAAGTTACATAACTCCATAAATGCTGAAAGGTGTTATTGTGACAACTGACTTTATATATTGATATTTTATCTGCTGTAAATGTTTGCTGCAGTCTACAATGTAAATATATCAGCTGTTTTTACAGCTTGACCAGTGTAATTTACACTGAATATCATTACACCTTGTCACACATCACCTTTGGGACAAGTCGAAATAAACATATTTTTAAGGAATGTCAGCTTGTCACCTACATTTACAACACTATCGTAAAACATCACCTGTTGGCTGGTATGTCCACCTTGAATTCTGATGCCAGCTCTGGATTTTGTTTAAGTTCTTCCTCCTCCTGAAAACACAATAAGATATATACAGTTGAGACTCACTGATCTATTGATGTAGAAAATTAGACAGTAGTAAAGCTTAATAAGATTGTACACAAAAGTGAATAGTACCTTTTAAATAAGTTAGAGACAGTAGAAGGCAAACCATGAATAAAACTACATCATACAGCTGTTCCGCCCTTCTAGGACTTGTCAGTGATGCTACATCATACAGCTGGTTTGTCCTTCTAGGACATTCTAAGTTTTGAATCCAAGGAGGCTACTGAGGAAAATTCAAACTGATCGAAAGAAAAGTTAAAATTTAGACAGGGAGGTGCCCCATAATTAAATGAATTTTGCAATTTTCATATATCAGAAAGATTTTAGAACTACGTCAAGTACGTGTGTATATTCTGAACCATGCCACTATTTGAAAGAATTAAAACATGGCATGCAAGTTACGGCAAACCTTGGGGACCTAAAGCAATGAACTTACCGGCTCTTCAGCCTCCAAACCAAACTCAAAACAGAGCTCATTGAATTCTTCAAATGCTGAAATAAATTAAAACACATTTTGAATTTAAGACAAATTTGAGTTTATGAAGTAGTTTAAGAATAGTGTCACCTATGAATTTCGAGACCTTAAGAAAAACATAACATTGATTTGTGTTACCATGTATGAATATTTACACACCTATACTTTTCCTTTTTCAAGATTTCCTACATGATCTGCGTGAAGACATACAGTACACACTATTTACAACCTATTTCAGGTACATCTTGATGACTAATCAGTGCTTACAAGAGATGGTTTGACAATAAATGCGCCTTGGTGTGGCTTTTACAAAGCATTAAACATAGTCTTTGTCTGATTTGATACCCATTGGGGTGTGCACTAAACATGATTTTCCCTCTGTCTGTTTTTTCATATTGGTTCCAAACTAAATTCTATGGGTTTTGGAGCCTCACGTTGAAATTTGTGAAATCTCAAGAAAAACCGTGATAGTAATGTAAAAGGAATAGGTCAGTTTGGCTTGCAAATAATATCAAAAGAAGTCTCTGTCACTCAGCTTCTTTTGTACATTTGGTTGAGCCATGGATTATTGTACCATAAACCTGGTATTGGTAGAAAGGTTTCCCCTGCTTCTTTCTTAAAAGAACTGACATAAAACAGATAATAGGGGGAAGGAAATTGACACAGGTCAGACCAGGAGATCTATATTGACTACGTAAATACTTTACTACATTTGTAGCTAGTTGTTAACAGAAACTGAAAAATCACAGATTTGTGTTTAATATGCAAAATAATGATTCAGCAACGGGGGTATGGACTTTTTATAAAAAATAGTCAAATTGACTTTAAACTCAGCTTAAGATATTCTGTCCAAGTTGCATTTATTCAGTCATGAAACAACTGCAAAAGTAAAATGCAAAAACAGTCACAGTATTTCCAGCCTATATGGCCTATATTATGATAGTACAGATACTACAGCTGTGACCATTACCTCAGGTTTTAAGAAGCCTGCACTTGCAGAAAACATTGTATCTTTAAAAAATCTACCTCGTCATAAATGAATGTTACTTCTATCAATATGTCGCAAAAGTTCCTGTTTAAATCATTTCGGCAATCTTAACAAATCCATACCCCAACTTGTGTATAATAGACCAGTTTGCCCAAGTAGTGGTTTTCCCCGACCTGTTTAATGAATGCTGGGGAATTCATTTGCTTACATATCCTAATTTATGTATAACAATTCGGTCTCATCAAAGATAAATTACATATTATCTGTTAGATAGTACAACAGGTCACAGGTACCTCTATATAAGCCTCATCTGTCAACACACTCATTCGTCAGAGATTATAGAATGAGTGTATTGCCTGGAAGATTTCAGCTGTTTTTCCTATTGCAATACAATAGAAAAATCATTCATATAATCACAATAGTTCCTGGTGTGTGTGCGTTAGGATCACGCATTGTAACCATACAGATTTAGATACAGCCGAGGCGAATATCTATGAACAGTCAAAACACAACAGCTGTCTGAACTGCCGACGACAAGTTTTCAGTTGAGGGGACTTACTGTACGTCTTTCCAAGTGACGTGAACAACTCTTCCTTATTAACGGCAATGGTAGGCATTTTGGAGTAAGTGATTCCAGCCGACAAAGCACCGGATAGTTTTCTTCCTTACTAAATTGTGAAGTGATTCCCTGATGCCGGTGAGGGATGACGAAAGCATGGGAAATGGAGTTGCGTCTTTTTTATCTCAATATTGAAGAGTTCCAATTTTACATTTGATATTAATAAACTGTAAAACAAATACTTGTGTTAGATTGCTACAAATTATAACCCAACAATAATTCGATGATCACATATTAGTTAGAATTGTGTTTTACTTTATTAATGTTGTTTGTATATCAATATTCAAATTTTTTATTCCACTTTTATTCGGGTTCCTATTTTTGGATAAACAAAGATGTCTGCGCCCACGAAACAAGAAAGTAAGGTGTGGTCTGCTTCTTTCGTGTTTTAATTACTGCACATTTAGCTGGCATATACGCATTTCTGAATGACAGTTGCTTACGTAATATATTTTCGAACCATATGTATAATATGTATTTGAAACAGAGTACAAGACAGAATAGAAGTTCTTATACTCTTAGAAAATGTATTCTAAGGAATAGACTGGCAGATAGAAGAAAAGATCCTATAATCTGTCAGATGTAGCGAATGTTTTAAGTCAATGAAAAGAACATGAAATAGCAATAAAAATAACTAAATCCATCAGCAGCCTTGAGCACTAGCATCGTTCATTACACTACACAGAGTTATGAGATGAGACATCAGAAATAATATAAGAATATAAACAATAGGAATCTTCCATACCAGTCTCACGACATTTTTTTATGCTCACTAGTTACAGATCACTGAATGCTATCTCTTTAGCTCATATATATTTATTCTAAATACAATGAGAGTAACGTGTACTTTATATTACAGTTATATCGTTATTTCTATCATATAAGACTGCATGTTCCATTAGTGAATATCTTTATGCAAATAATTAATAAAAAGGTCTGCTACAAAGTATTGACGCAAGAACTGTTTACAGTCTATGGCATGAAAACTGTTTATTTTTACTTTGGCTAAGCTGCTGGTGCCTCTCATTTGGATTGACCAAGATTTGCTTGACGGGTGATACCAACAAAGCAGAAGATGCTTGCTCTTCTGGAACACCATGTCTTATTCACTTTGTACTTTTACAGGAGTCTGTGTAAATCTTCTTTTTGTTCATACAGAAAATTGTTATATATTAATACTAACAATGAGATAATTGAACATTTTGTATTACATTACCAAATTTAGACATAAGAACAGATTACAAATTAAGAGAACAAATGAAAGACTATCTAAAGTTTGGGTAAGACAACAGGTCATAATGTAGGTTAGAGAATGAGGTATATATAAAGCAGTCAGAAGGAATCTGAATCCTGGTTTTACTTTTTTTATTGTCTTTATTGCAGTTGATATCCTAGACCTCTGTGACACAAGGAAAACAAAAATTGACGATGAAAAATTAGAACTCCCTGTCCTAAACTGATTCTTGCTGTAAAAAAGAATCATTTACTTGAAAATTTTCTTCAAGAAATTTCATTCTACATTTTCCATTCACTTTTTCCTACAGATATGACCATTACAACCTGCATTTGAAATATCCAATCATGAGTAGTACGGTGAAGTCAAGTCTTTTTGAACGTCTCCGTCCCATATGTGTCCAACTTACAAAGGAACATACCAGGGAAAATGTCACTGCTCTCTATCAGGCCATAAATGGCCTGGAGAGAAAATATATGCAGGAGCTGCAAGAATATGTTCTTTTTCCGCTTCGGATCATACTCAAACAGGAGAAAAAATAGTGAGTAAATACAGACTGTGGAATATCATGTCTCAAATCTAAATCACTCTCATTTTAATCATGATGTCATTTGTGCAATAATGTCACATAAAGGTAACAGACAGATTCCAAAAGATTGAAAATTAGCATTGGCAGAAGTCTTGTGGACAAGAAAGTGTAATATAGTCACCAATCAAGGTCGTATTCAAACAGGAAAAGAAAGAAAGTGTATAGACAGATTGTTAAAGCATTACATACACTATAAGATTGATAAATGCAATTATTTGTACTTATGTGAGAATCTCAATACATATTACACCTAAATCAACACCTATCTACAGAATGTGGTATTTGTTTTACAGTGCTGGCGAGATGTATGTGGCTTTATATCAGTGTATGGAGTATGTCCTATCTCACAGTTGTGTTACACGATGGGACATGTTTCAGGATATCTTCAATACTGCTTGTCTAACACTGAGTGATCCCAGCAATCCATCAAAAGGCAAGTTTGAGTCATCTTCTGTAAGAGATATACAGAAGACAGACAAGTAAAGAAGACCTTTAAATACAAATGTAGAGTTCAATACGGTAGAATCAAACTGCATCATACAGTTGTTTTTGTCCTTCTAGGACTCCTCAGTGATGCTAGGGACCTAAATTTTGAAGTGTAGGAGACGACTCATTGAAATCAAAATTGATCAAAAGAAATGTCAAAATCTGGATGGTGAAGTGAAATACTCCATTATCTGATAAATTTTGTAATTTTCATGTATTTTTTCATATATGATTTATTTTTGTGAATTGTTTTAGTGTCCCATATATCAGAGGAATTAAAGCTGGCCATTGTTCAGATGCTGTTGTCACTATTGAAGAGTTCAGATTTTAAGTAAGTGTGTAATATATGTAGGTTGTTATCTAGTAAGTAAAACTCTATCTACCAACTATAGCTAAGTATATACATGATACTCATTATACTTATACAGCATTATAAAATATAAATGTACTGATGTCATTGCTAATTCAAGCATGATTTTCCATACATAATAACAGTGACCTTGATCTTTACCTATAAACCCTGAAAATCAAATTCAGTGAAAGTTTCCTTATACTGTACTTTACCTCTGTAAAAATACAGAAGGTGTAAAATTTATACTAATTATGGATTCTTCTTTGTCTCAGCATCATTGAGAACCTGTTTGCTGTGGGGAGTCTTCCTGTCTTAGGACATGCTGTGTCAATGCTGCTAAATGTTGCAGACCAAGAAAGATCAAGACCGTTAAAAATAGCAGCTCTGGGGTTTCTCATTGAACTCTGTCAGGAAGACAGAAAATGTAAGATTCTCATCTGAAATAGAGATAAAAGTCATGAAACATTCAACATAGAATACCAGCTTCAATGTATAGTAACTACTGTCAGTGTAAGATAAACAGAGAATTGCTACCAACAATTATAATTTACTTATATCAGAGTGTCAGTGTAAGATCTCAAGGACATTAAAACAATAAAATACCTACATTGTTCAACAGAACTGTACAATGTGCTTGATACAGTTAGCATTGTTATGTAGTTGTTTCAGGCAGTATCATTATACGAGGGAGGTTGTTTCTGATGATGCTGTGTGCTGTTTTAGGCTGTACAAGTTTGAGAGTGACGTTGTATTTGGCAATTTTGCGCTGTTTTTTCAGACTGTACAAGCATGCGAGTGAGATTGGGAGACACATTAGCCTCATTTCTCCCTGGAGTCACCATTACATTGAGTCGTCTCATCAGCTGTGATACTCACCAGGGACAGGCAGTAATACAGGTGTGTTGTCAATGACAAACATTATGTAGATGTTCCCTTGTTTAGCCAATTGCTACAGTAAATATTTTAATCTGTCTCAAGTTTCTCACTTAATACCAATTTTTTATGTAGTGATTTCAGACCTCTGTAGAGCTCCTGACTAAATCTGTTTGATTTGTGGTAATTTCAGACCTCTGTAGAGCTCCTGACTAAATCTGTTTGCTCTCGAATGTTTTCAGACTGCACTAGAACTCCTGACTAAGTACATGAGGCTGGTACTTGATGATGTACTAATTGCTGAGAGTCAGGTGAAGAACAAACATCAAAGCCGCAGTTTACCTGGTGAGTATTTACAAGTTTAGGTCACTTTACACATGTTGAGGTTAAGAGGTGAAGTTGAAAGTTGATAGCAATGTAAAAGTGATGACACATCACTCTCAATTACTTTCCAAAATCCAAAGTTAGTTTACATTATAGAATTGTTATAGTGGATATTATGTCAGTGACAAGCAGCTTGTATTTTAACAGGTGACATGTTAATGAACAGAAAGACCAAGCCATGTAAAGAAATTAATTTTTTATCGCTATTTTAAAGGATAATTCAGTGAAGACAAGTTACATGGTACTACAAACAACTAGACCACAAGAAAGTTTTTTTTGCTAGTGTGTAATTTTTGCCATTAGATTGAATGACAAATATCTAATTGTCAAATTTTAAACAAAAAATAGTTAACATTACTGTAAATGTACAAAGTTTAGTTTATTTTAGTGCGTCTCATGCTTCAGATATTACGCTGAAATGTGGTTGTACAGTTTCTATACATTCTCATTGCTTTTATATGTTCAAGAATGTAGCTAAAATTTTACTGTGCCAAAATAAATGCATTTACAGTATACACGGCGATACTTTTAGTTCCTGCTTTTCATCGGTGAAAGAATAGTGTGGCTTTGTAAAATATGTCAGTTTGGGTAACAAATGACAACGTAAACAGTATTCAAAGTATTCCCTACAAGTCAACTATCTATCACTAATTTCTACAATAGCCAGCAACAAAGCATTAATTAGAAAACAAATGTTCACAGTCATGTTCAAAATCTAACAAAAGAATGATCTGGGAAGATTTTCAAGTGAAAAAATTGGTTTCCATATAAATCTATGTAGAAGCGGCCTGAGTTTATGTTTTCTATTTCAGCAGGAAATTCAAAACTTGAAAGCTTGGTTGTACGGAGAAATCCTGATTGGGTGAAAAATACCTGACTAAGTACATTGTGAAGCAGGTGACAAAGGTGATGTAGTCATTGCTGAGAAGGTGAAGACTTTCCCTGGTAACATCAAAGTCGCAGTTTACCTGGTGGTGAGTACAAGTTTAGGTCACTTTACACATGTTGAGGTTAAGAGGTGAAGTTGAAAGTTGATAGCAATGTAAAAGTGATGACACATCACTCTCAATTACTTTCCAAAATCCAAAGTTAGTGTACATTATAGAATTGTTATAGTTGATATTATGTCAGTGGAAAGCAGCTCATATTTTAACAGGTGACATGTTAATGAACAGAAAGACCAAGCCATGTAAAGAAATTAATTTTTTATCGCTATTTTAAAGGATAATTCAGTGAAGACAAGTTACATGGTACTACAAACAACTAGACCACAAGAAAGTTTTTTCTGCTAGTGTGTAATTTTTGCCATTAGATTGAATGACAAATATCTAATTGTCAAATTTTAAACAAAAAATAGTTAACATTACTGTAAATGTACAAAGTTTAGTTTATTTTAGTGCATATCATGCTCCAGATATTACGCTGAAATGTGGTTGTACAGTTTCTATACATTCTCATTGCTTTTATGTGTTCAAGAATGTAGCTAAAATTTTACTATGCCAAAATAAATGCATTTACAGTATACACGGCGATACTTTCCTGCTTTTCATCGGTGAAAGAATGGTATGGCTTTGTAAAATATGTCAGTTTGGGTAACAAATGACAACATATGCAGTATTCAAAGTATTCCCTACAAGTCAACTATCTATCACTAATTTCTACAAAAACCAGCAACAAAGCATTAATTAGAAAACAAATGTTCACAGTTATATTCAAAATCTAACAAAAGAATGATCTGGGAAGATTTTCAAGTGAAAAAATTGGTTTCCATATAAATTATCTATGTAGAAGTGGCCTGAGTTTATGTTTTCTATTTCAGCAGCAAATTCAAAACTTGAAAGCTTGGTTGTACGGAGAAATCCTGATTGGGTGAAAAATACCAGTTCTAAGTTGACAGTAATTGTGAAGCAGGTGACAAAGGTGAGAAGTCATTCCAGCTGGAAGGTGAGACTTTCCCTGGTAGACTGGGTCGGAGCCATGTTACTCCACTGCCGAGGGTGAGTACAAGGTCAGGATTCATTATTTCTTTACTGTAAAACGGTTGTTACACTAAACATAGTACATTGTACATATTTGTCTGATGGATTTAAGACTTGTGATTGTTCTGATTATATAATGTTATACCAACAGCAATTAATGTACTGGATGTGAAGCAGGGGTGGAGGTGGGGGGGTGGGCATTTAATTTACCATTACCTTTGTCTCTCCGCCCAAATCTAGTCCTCCTCTGTTCTGAATCAGTATTATAAGAACCGAGAATCTCTCAACTGATCTCATTCCTATCCACCCAATAGTCCCCATAATATCGAATTCTACACTCTTTGTCATATTAAGATGTCATCAGTCAAGGTCAGAAGGTCAGTAGTGACATTTGACAACTTCTGTAAACTCATCAAACATTGCTACTTACATGTACAGAGGGGGGAACATTTTCTAGGTATTATATTGTTATAACACTACAAACAAAAGAAGCACCTGAAATCATGTTAATGTATACAGATATATTGCTACAAAGTTTCTTTTTTCTTTTTTTCCATTTTGCAGTTGTTGAAAAATGATAAAAAAATTTGTAATAATGTATTGTAACAAAAGATTTATTTCATTTCCATTTTTGAAGGAACCTGGAGGAGAGTGTGTCAGATCTCCTGGCTGTGTTAGTAGGCAGACTGGGTGATGACTATCCAAAGGTAGCCACCCACAGTCGACAAAAGCTGGACAAGTTTGCAGCATCTCTGGATGGGAAACAGTGTCGCCCTCTAGTGGAGATGTTAGAAGAGAACCTTTATAGTTTATCAATATCTCTTCCTCGACAAATGAACACCACAGGTACAGGACTGATTTGTCTTAAAAAATTACTCATTCACTAAAAATGCAAGTGACGAGAGCCCTCAAAATACTTCAAAATAGCTGTAGATGTCAGTTACCTGTTCTTGTGACGAGAGCCCTCAAAATACCTCAAAATAGCTGTAGATGTCAGTTATCTGTCCTTGTGACGAGAGCCCTCAAAATACCTCAAAATAGCTGTAGATGTCAGTTATCTGTCCTTGTGACGAGAGCCCTCAAAATACCTCAAAATAGCTGTAGATGTCAGTTATCTGTCCTTGTGAGGAGAGCATAATTTTGAAGGCAGGACAACGTTATTGTTCCTATCTTATGGTGGATTTTCCTAAAGATTGATGAAGTCAGCTGATAACATTTAAATAACTTTCTTGTGTTATTTCAGACTTTCCCAAAGTGAATGTTTATTGCTTCCGAAAGTAATGATTACCCATGTAAAAATCAAATTTTGTTTCATCAGATAAATACTCTTTTATCAAAGATGGTGTTATATCTATTAAAACTGTGCACCAGAAACTCTCTTGGTTTCAGGATTGATAATCTGTTGTATAAATTGTAAACCTTTTTATTTTAGATGAAGAAGAGAAGTTGTTTGTGGTTCAGCTGTTGGTGGGATACCTAGAACTTCTTGGTACTGTATATTGATTTTTTTATCTCTTCTTCTTATCTCTTCTCCTGGAATATGTTTTGATTTCCTTTCCAAGGACAGAAAGACTAAGGTCACTTTCACATAAGCAGTGGAAATGGTCAGACAGAAACTAACTTGCTAAATATTGTTAAATTACAATATTTCAGCATAAAACAGGGTTTGTGTATGCACATATTTCTGGAAACATTATGATGTTAAGTTTGATTTAAAATGAATTATATATCATCTTTGGTTCATTGTATTATGGTTGACAGGAAATTCTGAAACTTTGCCTTTAAACTTTACACATATCAGTGGCAACATTTGTACCAACATGTTTATCGTGGAATAGTTCCAGGCCGTCTGAACCGTTCCAACTGGGTTACACGAAAGTGGTCTAAGGTTTTGACACCAGTGTCCATAATAAAACTGTGTTTACCTTTGTACGATGTTACAATAAGCCAAGTGGTGTTTTAATTAAATCTTAATAGAACTGTGTTTACCTTTGTACGATTTTACAATAAGCCAAGTGGTGTTTTAATTAAATCATAATAGAACTGTGTTTACCTTTGTACGATTTTACAATAAGCCAAGTGGTGTTTTAATTAAATCTTAATAGAACTGTGTTTACCTTTGTACGATGTTACAATAAGCCAAGTGGTGTTTTAATTAAATCATAATAGAACTGTGTTTACCTTTGTACGATGTTACAATAAGCCAAGTGGTGTTTTAATTAAATCATAATAGAACTGTGTTTACCTTTGTACGATTTTACAATAAGCCAAGTGGTGTTTTAATTAAATCTTAATAGAACTGTGTTTACCTTTGTACAATTTTACAATAAGCCAAGTGGTGTTTTAATTAAATCATAATAGAACTGTGTTTACCTTTGTACGATTTTACAATAAGCCAAGTGGTGTTTTAATTAAATCTTAATAGAACTGTGTTTACCTTTGTACGATTTTACAATAAGCCAAGTGGTGTTTTAATTAAATCTTAATAGAACTGTGTTTACCTTTGTACGATTTTACAATAAGCCAAGTGGTGTTTTAATTAAATCATAATAGAACTGTGTTTACCTTTGTACGATTTTACAATAAGCCAAGTGGTGTTTTAATTAAATTATAATAAAACTTTGTTTACCTTTGTACGATGTTACAATGAGCCAAGTGGTGTTTTACTTAAATCATAATAGAACTGTGTTTACCTTTGTACGATGTTACAATAAGCCAAGTGGTGTTTTAATAAATCATAATAAAACTGTGTTTACCTTTGCTTCATCCTGCAATAAGCCCAGAGCTTAGCATATATAATTTAAATCATGACAAAATTTTCAAAAATTATATACTCTCTCCACGTAGAGGGAGTTTAAAAGAAATGTGGTCCTTTCAGCATTTTTAAAATTCTTATACACTATTAGTGTATTGTATTTTGTAGTGTTATGCTTCATTTTAGCAGCCTATGTATTCCTACATATCATAGGTTGCTTGATTTTGTTGTAGACCTTGTATTAAGGAGATTAACATACATCCTGTATACTGGTAACATAACTGCAAAATTCAAACAAAAGATTTACCATTTTGTCAAAAATGCATGAAACATGATAAATAAACACAGGATGAAACATCTATGTTTGATACAAACAGTACTTATTATCTTCAGGACTCCTTGAAAAATTAGTTTCCCTTACGATCGACTGAATGCTGATTTTGATCTTTTCGTGTTTGTGTTTTTGTGTGTAGGTGATCAGATGGACGGACTGATGCTCTCCCATGGTCGCCGACTTCTCATGTCTCTAGTCCAGGTCCTGGATATGGATTATAGTGATATAGGAATAGTCGAGGAACGTACAACTGTCACTGGAGACGGTACGTAATTACTATATATAGTCGTCTATCATTACCAGAGATGGTACGTAATTACTATATATAGTCGTCCATCATTACCAGAGATGGTACGTAATTACTATATATAGTCGTCCATCGTTACCAGAGATGGTATGTAATTACTATATATAGTCGTCTATTATTACCAGAGAGGGTACGTAATTACTATAAATAGTCGTCCATCATTACCAGAGATGGTACGTAATTACAGTCATCTATCGTTACCAGAGATGGTACGTAATTACTATATATAGTCGTCCATCGTTACCAGAGATGGTATGTAATTACTATATATAGTCATCTATTATTACCAGAGAGGGTACGTAATTACTATATATAGTCGTCTATTATTACCAGAGAGGGTACGTAATTACTATAAATAGTCGTCTATCATTACCAGAGATGGTAAGTAATTACTATAAATAGTCGTCTATCATTACCAGAGATGGTAAGTAATTACTATATATACTTGTCTATCATTACCAGAGATGGTATGTAATTATTATATATACTTGTCTATCATTACCAGAGATGGTAAGTAATTACTATATATAGTTGTCTATCATTACCAGAGATAGTAAGTAATTACTATATATACTTGTCTATCATTACCAGAGATGGTACGTAATTACTATATTTGGACGTCTATCATTACCAGAGATGGTAAGTAATTACTGTCACAGTCGACTATCATCATCAGAGTTGGAACATGGTTTGATTCGATATTTTGACCTCTGACCCCAAACATTGGAACACATTTCTCTATTTTGGTTTGATATTTTGACTTTTGACCCCACTGAAACATTTCCTCTATGTGAACATAATATAAGGTCATCTTGTTGTTTGTTTTAAGCAATAATCAGTGTTCCTTTATTGTAGAGTGTTTAAGATATGGGGTTGATTCCCAGGGAAATGTTGCCATGATGTAAATAAAACCAGTGTGTTGGTTTATAGTTGAATGGTTCCTCTCTGTTCATTGTATTAGTACTTCTATAAACGGATAATTTTGAAAATTTTACAGCTTTTTGTTTGAGGAAAAATTAGCAAGCGATGTAGATTTTTTGGTGAAGAAGAATTTGGGTGATGTTAATCACATTATAGATTATGATCATGTACAGATGAGAATGACCTCAATAGGAATACACTAGAAAACTTCAGATGTGAGATCAGTCATTTTCTGTCTAAAAATAATGTAAAAATTCTCTACATAATGGTTACATAGAATATATCATATTTACATGTTTTAGGAGCCTGTAACTACACATCACAAGTCATCACAATATCAGTGTTTTTTATGTTTTAGGAGCCTGTAACTACACATCACAAGTCATCACAATATCAGTGTTTTTTATGTTTTAGGAGCCTGTAACTACACTTCACAAGTCATCACAATATCTGTGTTTTTTATGTTTTAGGAGCCTGTAACTACACTTCACAAGTCATCACAATATCTGTGTTTTTTATGTTTTAGGAGCCTGTAACTACACTTCACAAGTCATCACAATATCAGTGTTTTTTTTTATGTTTTAGGAGCCTGTAACTACACTTCACAAGTCATCACAATATCAGTGTTTTTTTATGTTTTAGGAGCCTGTAACTACACTTCACAAGTCATCACAATATCAGTGTTTTTTATGTTTTAGGAGCCTGTAACTACACTTCACAAGTCATCACAATGTCAGTGGTTTTTATGTTTTAGGAGGCAGTGCCTTGGATCCAAATAATTCCTCCAGTGTTCTACCACTTAGGAAATACTTCAAACATTTCCATGACAATCGGATCTACAAACAGCTACAGAGAGCGTGCCAATGTCTGGGATTCTATGGTAACATTTTATTTGTGTTTGTTATTGTTTTCCCATATAACTTCTTTCTTTTTAATTAAATATTTGACAAATGTACATAGATTTACCAGTATTGTTACATTCTCTCTCTGACATGATGTAATCAAACTGATACAATTCGTTAAACGTTAAATTGATCAAAGTTTTAACAGGATCTATTTATAGCCTGATGTGTGTTTCATTGTATTTACATTTACCAGCCTCCAAATATTTAGACTCCGAAAATTTTTTTTTTACAATACTCCATTTTATAAGATGAGGTTTTTCTCACAAATTATCAAGTTGACTTATATACCTGCGCACTATACCCGCAAATTTACGGTAGTTTTCAAATAGAGTATTATATATGGGGTAATGGATATAGTAATGTTTTATAGTTGGTATAATAAACTATTAAAATTGATATGATAAAGTATTAGAGTCAATATAGTAATGAATTATAGTCAATATAATAAGATGCTCTTCTGCAATATTCCATGAAACTTTGTATTTACCAGGTCACTTTCAATTATATAGTCTGTAATTACATTCACTTGTTAAATCACATTACTAAAGCACCTGTAACTGTTGACCACAGGTAGTATACAGTTGTTGGTGGATTTGGTGTTAGATATAGCCCACCTGTCTGCTGCTTACAAACCTCAGGCCGTCCTCATGCTGAACGAGATTGTAACTGGTGCTGCTGGTATGTACAACTATTTCAATCAACAGAAGTCTATGATTATCACTCCTTCAAGTTTTATCTCAATTTTCTGAAATCCCTCAGAAATTTATCATCACTATCTGAATTTGTAGACATGTAATGTTCTTTTTTAATCCAGGAAGTTTTAAGTCAATCCTCTAATGATGATGGGTTTCTTCAAGTTTCCCCTTCGTCATTGATCCATGCTCTGTCAGTCGTCAATCTGTCCTATTGTTTGTCCTTAATCAATTTTTTTTATTGCTATGTCTATGGAAGTACCTGTACTGGATTTTCCAGATTTCTTTTAAGATGTAAGTCCCCGTGGTACCTATGTACATACTCAGTTTTGAGGGGGATTATTAAAACCTTTTCGGATGAATTGGGAGAAAAAGAGCCATCTCTCCGGATATTTCTGGAAAATCTTCTGTGATTTTGATTTTCAGGCTGATAAAAAATATTTTAAAAATGTCTGGCTGCCATCTTGGATTTTGAAAATAAAACTTTTCCTCACATGGTTTCCGTTATTTTTTCATTTATGTTTCTCAAAAAATGACTAACAGATGTCATCTTGGATTTTGACAGTACAGCTTTATTGATTCTTGGATGGATTGTGTTAAAATTCTCTGTAGATTTAGATAAGTTGTGCATGGCCAATAATGTGATTAACTTTTGGAAAAATTCCTTTATTTCAGAAAAACAAAGCATAGCCAAAGCTTCACCTACGGAAGACTGTTCTGGGGATCATCTAAAAAGTGTCATCAGGTAGGGTGTAGCAGGCTGTGCTGACAATATGTCACTGTATAGAGGGTGTAGCAGGCTGTGCAGACAATATGTCACTGTATAGAGGGTGTAGCAGGCTGTGCTGACAGTATGTCACTGTATAGGGGGTGTAGCAGGCTGTGCTGACAGTATGTCACTGTATAGGGGGTGTAGAAGGCTGTGCTGACAGTATGTCACTGTATAGGGGGTGTAGCAGGCTGTGCTGACAGTATGTCACTGTATAGGGGGTGTAGCTGGCTGTGCTGACAGTATGTCACTGTATAGAGGGTGTAGCAGGCTGTGTTTACAGTATGTCACTGTATAGAGGGTGTAGCAGGCTGTGTTTACAGTATGTCACTGTATAGAGGGTGTAGCAGGCTGTGCTTACAGTATGTCACTATATAGGGGGTGTAGCTGGCTGTGCTGACAGTATGTCACTGTATAGAGGGTGTAGCAGGCTGTGTTTACAGTATGTCACTGTATAGAGGGTGTAGCAGGCTGTGTTTACAGTATGTCACTGTATAGAGGGTGTAGCAGGCTGTGTTTACAGTATGTCATCATGTCCCTCAATCTTTAAATCATTGCAATCTCGACAAACCTATTGTGGATACGACTGTATACACTAGCCTCACTGGGGTAATCCAGGTAATTTTTTGTCTAGAAGTGTTTATCTCATGACAGTCTATGTTCCTCCATCAAAGCTTAGATTCATCCACTGATATTACCTATGTCATACGTATTTTGATGTCACTAAAGAGTTCTACATAGGTAATAGAATAGAAGTTCTTATAACACAAGATTTGAGTGGTCATTTGTCTGAAGAAGGTGATCATACAGTCATCAAAATGTCACACTTAAATCTTTTACTGTTTGTGTTATAAGAATTTCTATTCTAATGACATTATCAACCTGAAGAAAATGTTCTAAAGTATATAGGTAATGTCACCAATTTAGACTTTGTATCATCCATCTCATAGGAATAAAAAAAATATGTACATTATTGCATATTTGAATTTTCAATAAATTTTGATATCAAGACAATATTGAAAAACTTTATTCAATGATTTCAACCATTAGAACAGAGCTTATTTAAGTAGAACAAATATGATATAAATATTGTCTTCTTCATGTTATAGCATGTTAGTGGAAGATTACTTAACACCTGGAAACTTTTACCTGGCTACCATGGCAACGGAGAAAAATGGACAGCAAGACCAGCATCTTGGAAGTTCTCTGAGGGCCATAACTTTAATTTCTAATGAGGAGAGTGTGAGTGTGTATCACAGGAACACAGTTCTGACTTGTGTACTGCTGGAGGGACTAGGAATCTTTTCAAAGGTAACACTTCAATCAGCACATTGATAGAGGGAAATACACAACATCCATACATCTCATTTCAGTTGGCACCCTGCTTTCTACAGATCTATTTCAATATACTGATTTATTCATAACAATTCCTATACATATCTCCTACTATATCATCAACCAAACTCCCTAACAATCAGAAGATACTGTTACATATTGACTTCTTATCATCTACAGGCACTTGGTCAGAGTTATCTGCCCTTGTTGATGCAGACTCTGTATCCAATGTTGGAAAAACTAGGAGACAATACAGCTGTTATCAGCAATACTGCATATCTGTCACTGTGTACCACCTGTACAGCCTGTAATTACAGGTAAGTCTGTCACTGTGTACCACCTGTACAGCCTGTAATTACAGGTAAGTCTTGTCACTATTTATCACCTGTACAATCTGTAATTACAGGTATGTCTGTCACTGTGTACCACCTGTACAGCCTGTAATTACAGGTAAGTCTGTCACTGTGTACCACCTGTACAGCCTGTAATTACAGGTATGTCTGTCACTGTGTACCATCTGTACAGCCTGTAATTACAGGTTAGTCTGTCACTGTGTACCACCTGTACAGTCTGTAATTACAGGTTAGTCTGTCACTGTGTACCACCTGTACAGCCTGTAATTACAGGTATGTCTGTCACTGTGTACCACTATGTTATCACCTGTACAGGTATCTGTAATTACAGGTAAGTCTGTATGTGTACACTGTGTACCACCTGTACAGTCTGTAATTACAGGTATGTCTGTCACTGTGTACCACCTGTACAGTCTGTAATTACAGGTTAGTCTGTCACTGTGTACCACCTGTACAGTCTGTAATTACAGGTATGTCTGTCACTGTGTACCACCTGTACAGTCTGTAATTACAGGTTAGTCTGTCACTGTGTACCACCTGTACAGTCTGTAATTACAGGTTAGTCTCTCACTGTGTACCACCTGTACAACCTGCAATTACAGGTAAGCTCTTTCTGTACCACTCGTATTCAGCTATAAAATTAAGCACCTGTTGAGCACGAAAGAAAAGGTCTAAATGAGAAAGATTTTATTAATATTTGTTTTTTCTTGTTTGTTTGTTTGTTTGCAATAAAACTTGAGAAGGCTTTTATCAATATTGTGATTTTCTTGTTGGGTTTTTTGTGCAGTAAAACATTTGTGTCAGGGTTTTATTGTCTTTGTTTCTAGCTCCATTGCTGACCTCATTCAGAAAAATGCTGATTACCTAGTGAATTCTATATCACTTAGACTACGCCATTTCTACGACAACCAACGCAGCCCTCTGGTGTTGAAGGTCATGTTACAGTACAGCAATTGTGATCTTCTGCCACTAATAGATGACACCATACAAGAGGTATTATTGTAATAGGAGTTGTCTGCTCCTTATTCACAGTAGCTATTCCATACATACCTGTATTTGCCCTCCTCAGATATTTCTGTGTTAACTTGTATTTGACTCGCCCTGATTAATGGTAGGCATTTCTGTTTGTTACCTGTAGTTGTCTGCCCTTGATTAATGATAGCAATTTCTGTGTATTACTTGTAGTTGTTTGCCCTGGATTAACAATATGTATTTCTGTGTTTACCTGTAGTTGTTGCACTTGATTAACAATTTTTATTTCCATGTTTACCTGTAGTTGTTGCCCTTGATTAACAATTTTTATTTCCGTGTTTACCTGTAGTTGTTGCCCTTGATTAACAATTTTTTTTCTGTGTTTACCTGTAGTTGTTGCCCTTGATTAACAATTTTTATTTCCGTGTTTACCTGTAGTTGTTGCCCTTGATTAACAATTTTTATTTCCGTGTTTACCTGTAGTTGTTGCCCTTGATTAACAATTTTTATTTCCGTGTTTACCTGTACTTGTTGCCCTTGATTAACAATTTTTATTTCCGTGTTTACCTGTACTTGTTGCCATTGATTAACAATTTGTATTTCCATGTTTACCTGTAGTTGTTGCCCTTGATTAACAATATGTATTTCTGTGTTTACCTGTAGTTGTTGCCCTTGATTAACAATTTTTATTTCTGTGTTTACCTGTAATCGTCTGCCATTGATTAACAATATGTATTTCCGTGTTTACCTGTAGTTGTCTGCCCCTGGTAGATGATGCATCTTCAATGATTACTGAATTTTTTATAGGATTTTATGATTGAAGTTATCTCCCTTGTTGTAGATTTTGGATGTACTTGATGACCACCATCTTGACCAAGCTGTGTTATTTATGGGAGTTCTACACGAACTGACCAAGGCCATGGTCAGATGGTTCCCTCCTGTTAAGGTGGGTCAAATTGCACTCATGTCATCTGTGTCTGGATCATGTTTAATTTTTCTACAGATATCTGAATATTGATGTTTATGTAAATATTGTTTGTACTTAGCCATGGCCTGAGGAATTGGATCTGAAAGGGCTTCGTTTTTATCTCAAATTGATGAAACAAATCTTAGATTGATATTTGAGTGTTTTTTGGTAGGAGTATATAAATCTCTATAAAATGTAAGAATTTATTGATATACACAAAATACAAACTATAAAAACAACAGTAATGTGAATACCTCAGTATCAATGGGAATCTGAAATATGATCCTAACAGGAGATATTTGATGATGTTACTATCATTTACACATTTCTTCAGAATATGGTTTTACTGAAGGCGAAACAAGCACTGGTACTTCATGTAGGGTAAACTACAAAGATGTGAGAGTTTGTTACACTGGATATGTCTTAAAACTTCCAGTAGAAACACTATAGGGAAGTGGTAATTATAGAGGACACTAAAGAGAGATATTTTACAAATAAAATTTAAGAAACTGGGAATCTATTCCATTATTTTAATGAAAATTTCATAACTTCAGCTTATCTGCTAAATATTAAACTATCGGGGACTTTCTGACTTGTAGTTACAGGATATTCAAAAAGAGGTGACAGCAAAAAGAAATGTCAAGGAAGGCTGTAATGTTTCTGAGGAAGGACCACTGCTGCTCTCTATATTACACTACTGTGATCAGAAGAGGGTTGCTAGTGGTGATATAACAGAGGAGGATATTAGTGACACTGAGGACATAGGCGAAACAGATACAACAGAGGAAATTCACAAGGGGAATAACTCTGATCCAAACATGATTAAATTTCTTAAGGAGGTAAGTTAATGGAATATCATGTTCATTACAACTAATGGTTGTTGTACCTGTAATACAACTTCTTAATGTGTCATTGTTTAGAATATTTAAACATGGAAGTGATGATGGGAGAATTAAACAAATCAACTTAAGAATATTGGAATTATAATTTGTTTGATATTGTCCACATTCTTTCATTTTGATGATTTTAGTTAAGCTCAAAAATAGATATATGTCTAGTATAATTCTATATAGTGTACTATATTTTATTTTCAAAAGTAATTTTAGTTCTCAAACTTGTTCCTTTATTTTGATATCTAGTAACCTTTGACCTTGTACAGGTGATGATGCGTTGTAAGCACTTCCTGTCTTCCCACAATGCACGCCTGCAACTTCTGGTATTGGACACCATCGGTCAAGCATGTCAAGCTCTGGCAGATCATTCAAGTAGGTCAAGGTCATATAATTATACAACATATTATTCCTAATGTTAAGTTAAAAGTAGATAGTGTTACTTCTATAAAGTAATGTAATTTCATTTGGAGGTTTTGAGATTAATTTGAATGAAATGTTACTTAAACGAAGCATTATAGTCACATTTAGAGGTTTCAAGGTGAATGTAGATAAAGTGTTACTTGAAGGAAGCATTGTAGTCACATTTTAGGGTTTTCTTTGAATTTACATAATATCTTGACTTGTAATATTTTGATTACTGGTGATGGTTTGTTGTTATCACTTCCTGTTTGTAGATGAGTTACTACCACTGTTGCATGGAATCTGGGTCCCATTCAGTGCCAGATTTGTAGATAAAGAAAAGCTGGTCATAAAAAAGGCAAGTATCAATAGAAATAAAATGAGTACCATACAGTTATTAGATATAAAGCTAGGGGCTCATCATACTGTCACAGTCACATTGGAGGTAGAGCTCCTGTTTTTGTTTATCCTCCTCCCTAATTTGAATTTGTGTAAATATTTGTGTGAATATTTTTTTTTTCCATTTTTTATTTTTTTTCAATTTTGGTTTTGTTTTCTTTTTTCTTTTCTTTTGTTTTTTTGGGAATCTGGGGCAGACAATATTTTCTATTCCCAATAATCTTAAACAAATGTATTTTTCAGATCCAAGCATTTAAATTTCCAAAACAGTAGTAGTTTAACAAATTTTCAAAATAACTGGCAGGTGCCGTCCAAAGTACAATTTGTTGAGAGTCACCCTGGGTTAAGATGGTTGTGTTTATACCTCAGCAAAGTGTGGTACAGTAGAGAAATCTCTATAATTTATGATAAAATTTTAACATTTTTTGTGCTTTTTGTTCCATTTCGAGATTTTGTGGCACTTTTTCCCCAAATTTAAAGTCACATGTGTGCCATTCCTAAGTTGTGTAAAACCCTATTAGTTAAAATTAAAAAAGGAAATGTAAAAAAACATCTATAAAAACAGAGAAAACAATGTAACAAGGAGTATTGTATTACTAAGTAATGTATGCATCATTTGACACAAAGGTCTGACATTCTTAACTTCAATCAGGCTCTAGAGGTCCTGTCTGTGATAACAAATATGAGTGGAGACTTCCTCAAACAACGTGTGATGAAGGATGTGCTGCCAGTAGTTACAAAGTTTTTGGACAAACAAGCTCAGATCAGGTAGTACAAGACATTTACATCTTTAAAATGATTAAGATTTCTCCGCTTATTATACAATTTTCTTAAATTATATTAAAGTTGTCACCCTCAAATGCACATTAGGGAAAAAAATTTGTCTAAAAATACAAAAGAACTGGTTATACCTATATAAATTTTGGGTCTTATAAGATACTTCTAAGTGCTATATCATTGTCCTGTAATAAGCCCACTCCCCTACTCTGAATTAAATGTTGTGGTAAGACCAGTGGACTTATTGTCCTGTAATAAGTTCTCTCCCCTACTCCAAGTTAGATATTGTGTTAGTCCTTTGTGGTTATTGTCAGGTAATAATCTCACTCCCTTACACCAAGGTAAAGGTTGTGTGTTAGTCCTGTGGGATTATTGTCAAGTAATAATCTCACTCCCTTACACCAAGGTAAAGGTTGTGTGTTAGTCCTGTGGGATTATTGTCAGGTAATAATCTTACTCCCTTACACCAAGGTAAAGGTTGTGTGTTAGTCCTGTGGGATTATTGTCAGGTAATAATCTTACTCCCTTACACCAAGGTAAAGATCGTGTGTTAGTCCCTGGGACTTATTGTCAGGTAATTAGTCCACTCCCCAACTCCAAATTAGAGATCGTGTGTAAGTCATGTTGCCATATTATCCAGTAATATACCGACACTGTTACTCAGAGTTAAGAGATTGTTGATCTTGTAGCCATATTATCCTGTGATATACCGACTCTGTTACTCAGAGTTAAGAGATTGTTGATCTTCTAGCCATATTGTCCTGTAATAATCCATACTCCAAGTTTTACTGTTTGTGAATTAAACATCCATATGAGCAAATTGAAATAGAACAACTATACAGTACTGCATCGTACAAAAATAAGGAAATAACAGAAATAATGGTATTGGTCTTTGGGGTTTGATATTATGTTAGTAGAATAAAGGATGTTGTGTTTGTTTACAGCTCACATGCGGGTCAGGCTTACCTGTATACAGTTAACTGTAGACTACAAAAACAAGCCCTGCAGGTGCTTGGCAGTCTCACCGTACAGGTATCTAAGTTTCTGCTAACATTTATTTTATTCCCAGTTAGAAGTTTGATTTCAGCAGTTTTATAAAACTTACATCATTTACGTAATGTCTTTCTCAGTTTCATTAAAGTAGCAATTTAAGACAAATGGGACTAAAAGACAAATTATATATTGGCTTATGTAGTGGACATTCAAAATTATAAGAATGGAAGGTTGACCCCCTAGAGGTTGACAGGCACTGCCAACAAGGGTTAAAACAGATCTGGTAACCATGCTGCCTTATTGGTAATGAATCCGCATCATAATCCCACATACTATATAGAACTTCTATGGATGACAAGATTTGTTATCTTAAGTAGCTTCTTGTTTATCAACAAACTTTACCAACACTACAGCAAGATAGTTTGTAATGGTCAATTTTCTATTATAGCTTGACCTGTCTGGAAGCTCCTTAGAAAACATTATTGGTGTGTGTGTTTCCTACCTCAGTGCACGACAGCCCAAACCTCTCCAACAGGTATGTATGTATGGTACATTACACCACAGCCCAAACCTCTCCAACAGGTGTGTATGTGTGATCATTACACCACAGCCCAAACCTCTCCAACAGGTATGTATATGTGTGATCATTACACCACAGCCCAAACCTCTCCAACAGGTATGTATGTATGGTTCATTACACCACAGCCCAAACCTCTCCAACAGGTATGTATGTATTGTACATTACACCACAGCCCAAACCTCTCCAACAGGTATGTATGTATGGTTCATTACACCACAGCCCAAACCTCTCCAACAGGTATGTATGTGTGGTTGGTTACACCACAGCCCAAACCTCTCCAACAGGTATGTATGTATGGTTCATTACACCACAGCCCAAACCTCTCCAACAGGTATGTATGTATGGTTCATTACACCACAGCCCAAACCTCTCCAACAGGTATGTATGTGTGGTTGGTTACACCACAGCCCAAACCTCTCCAACAGGTATGTATGTATGGTTCATTACACCACAGCCCAAACCTCTCCAACAGGTATGTATGTGTGGTTGGTTACACCACAGCCCAAACCTCTCCAACAGGTATGTATATGTGTGATCATTACACCACAGCCCAAACCTCTCCAACAGGTATGTATATGTGTGATCATTACACCACAGCCCAAACCTCTCCAACAGGTGTGTATGTGTGATCATTACACCACAGCCCAAACCTCTCCAACAGGTATGTATGTATGGTTCATTACACCACAGCCCAAACCTCTCCAACAGGTATGTATGTATGGTTCATTACACCACAGCCCAAACCTCTCCAACAGGTATGTATGTATGGTTCATTACACCACAGCCCAAACCTCTCCAACAGGTATGTATGTATGGTTCATTACACCACAGCCCAAACCTCTCCAACAGGTATGTATGTATGGTTCATTACACCACAGCCCAAACCTCTCCAACAGGTGTGTATGTGTGATCATTACACCACAGCCCAAACCTCTCCAACAGGTATGAATGTATGGTTCATAACACCACAGCCCAAACCTCTCCAACAGGTATGTATATGTGGTCATATATATGTATCAGCCAAAATACAGACACTGACTGTTATGGTTTGCATGGAAATAAGCAAAGCTACAAATTTTGTTTCAAGAGAAGAATATCAAATCATTCAAGATAACTACCTGAAACTTTGTCCACTTGTCATCCTACCACTGAAGTGGTGCCATTTGCAGGAGAAAAATCCTTATTTATTGCAGGCAAAATTACAATTTCCATGGTTCCCAGAAATTGTTTTAAGAACTAACCGAGACTTTATATGAGCTAGCACCATCTTGGCTCACATTGCCTCTGGAATAGAGTTATGTCCGTTATTGTAATATTTACATAAATATATGATTTTGTGTCTTTCATTTAAACACTGGGGATAATGTCATACATTTAAACACATTTAAACACTGGGGACAATGTCATACATTTAAACACTGGGGACAATGTCATACTTTTCCTTATCTTGTTGACATTTATTTTGATCAATGTGGATTTGTCAGTCCCCTCCTAGGTTTCAATATCTTAGACCCTTAGCATTACTGATGAGTCCTACAAGGACGAAATGGCTACATGGTACAGTTTATTTATTATTTAGCTTTACTGTATCATATTCAAAACTAATATCAAAAGGTGTTATTTACTTATGTGTCTTTTGTTATATCTTTTCTGATTTTGTCTGTTTAATTGTTTTTATAGGTTTCCATGGAGATTTGTAAACAAATGGCAGCCGTTGGAGGTGATGGACTTTGGCTTCGATTGAGTGACTTATATAGAGAAACAGAACATACCCCACCACATCCAATATTCTTTCCAGTACTGGTAAGTAACTTTCTCTGTCCCCACCACATCCAATATTCTTTCCAGTACTGGTAAGTAACTTTCTCTGTCCCCACCACATCCAATATTCTTTCCAGTACTGGTAAGTAACTTTCTCTGTCCCCACCACATCCAATATTCTTTCCAGTACTGGTAAGTAACTTTCTCTGTCCCCACCACATCCAATATTCTTTCCAGTACTGGTAAGTAACTTTCTCTGTCCCCACCACACCCGATATTGTTCCCAGTACTGGTAAGTAACTTTCTCTGTCCCCACCACACCCGATATTGTTCCCAGTACTGGTAAGTACACTACTTATCTCTACTGTCCCCCACCACACCGATTACTGTTCCCAGTACTGGTAAGTAACTTTCTCTGTCCCCACCACACCCGATATTGTTCCCAGTACTGGTAAGTAACTTTCTCTGTCCCCACCACACCCGATATTGTTCCCAGTACTGATACATTACGTTCTCTGTCCCCACCACACCCATTACTGTTCCCAGTACTGGTAAGTAACTTTCTCTGTCCCCACCACACCCGATATTGTTCCCAGTACTGATACATTACGTTCTCTGTCCCAACCACACCCATTACTGTTCCCAGTACTGGTAAGTAACTTTCTCTGTCCCCACCACACCCAATATTGTTCCCAGTACTGATACATAACGTTCTCTTTCTCCACCTCACCCGATATTGTTCCCAGTACTGATACATTACGTTCTCTGTCCCAACCACACCCATTACTGTTCGCAGTACTGGTAAGTAACGTTCTCTGTCCCCACCACACCCAATATTGTTCCCAGTACTGATACATTACGTTCTCTGTCCCCACCACACCCATTACTGTTCGCAGTACTGGTAAGTAACTTTTCGTTCCCAGTACTAGTAAGTAACTTTCTCTGTCCCCACCACACCCGATATTGTTCCTAGTACTGGTAAGTAACTTTCTCTGTCCCCACCACACCCAATATTGTTCCCAGTACTGATACATAACTCTCTCTGTCCCCTCCACACCCAATATTATTCCCCTCACTAGTATGTAACTTTCTTTACCTACAGTATTAATATCCCCATGACACACCCACCAAACCTGTTTCCTCACACTTATATGTAAAAGTCCTTATCTAAAACTTAGAAAAAAAAACCAATTATGGTACATGTTTCTTCTTAGTAATAAAAAAAATGGGAGAGAAAATGTAAGAAGTTGTTACACCTGGTAGAACCTGTTTTTTTTTATAACTGGCTTTATTAAATAACAAGATCTGATGTTCTATTTCTTGTTTTACAGTTCCATTCCAAGGCTGGAGGTCAAAACGAATTCTCTGATAACATCATGAAATTAAGAAGCTCTTTGAACTTGAATACTGCTTCAGTGTTGTGATGTATGATTGGTAGATTTCCATATAAATTTTGACCAATCAGATGCCTTGTTACTGAATGGATCAATGAGTGGTATCAACAACCTGGCATGATGAAAGGTCAAAAGGCCATAATAACATACCCGGAACTTAAAGATTTTCAATTTATAAGTTTGTACAGCGACATGTGAGATGGAATAAAAACCTGGTGTGATCGTTTTACATGGAAGTCTTTTTGGTGCATGCTATTGATATTTTTTTGGATTAAATTTTAGAAGATTTTTGTTTGAGTTTAATGTATTGCAAACTTCAGAGTTCCATTTCATTGAAAGCATGTGTGGAGGACATACTTATTTTGATGTATGGTTTTATACCAGCATGTCATGTATTGCATTTTATAGTGGAGACTTAAAATAGCCAGCATCATGTTACTGGAATAAGTAAAGGTTTACATATAACTGTGAAAACAACATTTACTACAGAGTATGTGTAGTATGGCCTAATAACCTGGAATGACTGTGGAACTCACGTGTACTGAATGTAAATTAAAATAACAGAAAGAAAAGGTACAAAGTAGAAGATATGTTTTAGACATCTTTAATATATTAGTCCCTTTAAGAGAAGTCAACAAGCTCATACATATCTACAGCAGACTAAAGACACTCTGGTCAGGATCAAATATTAATACCTTATGGGCTAGCCTATTGATGAATACACACAACTTATAGTACGAGTCTGGCCTTGATTTGTTTTCTCCCCATAGGCTCAGTATATGTGTTGGGTTGTCAAGAATGCTTAAGGGTTATGATAACTTGTATTTTCATGTGAGTTTGCTTATTTTGACTGTGAAGAATACTGCTACCCAGAATTCCATATTCTACAGAGCCTTGATTTCGTATTTTCATAGACGTGTTCATTTTAGCTACTTCGAAAATATTGTAGACTTCCATATCAGAAGCCTGCGGGAACAACAAGAAAAATAAGGCTTGTTATCATAATCTTGGGCTATCATAAAAAAGAAATATTGACACAATGGCTCCTGAAAAAGTACAAAGAGAAAACGATCATATGTGAAGTGCAAGAGAGTTCCGCTTTAAGCAAGTAATGTCTCATTCACAAATGAGAACAAGGTCAAAAACAACGGAACCAACAGATATACCAAAGAGAATCAAACACGTCAAGCTCCATATGGTTCTGCTGACAAAACCTAGACATACTAACGAGCGTCGAACACGTCCAGCTTCATATGGTTCTACTGACGGAACCTACAGACATACCAACGAACATCAAACACGTCCAGCTTCATATGGGTGCAATGACAGAACCTACAGACATACTAACGAGCGTCAAACACGTCCAGCTTCATATGGTTGTACTGACAGAACCTACAGACATACTAACGAGCATCAAACACGTCCAGCTCCATATGGTTGTACTGACAGAACCTGACATACTAACGAGCATCAAACACGTCCAGCTTCATATGGTTGTACTGACAAAACCTACAGACATACCAACGAGCATCAAACACGTCCATCTTCATATGGTTCTGCTGACAGAACCTACAGACATACTAACGAGCATCAAACGCGTCAAGCTCCATATGGGTGCACTGACAGATCCTACAGACATACTAACGACCACCAAACACGTCCAGCTTCATATGACTCAGCTGACGGTACATACAGACATACTAACGAGCATCAAACACATCCAGCTTCATATGGTTGTACTGACAGAACCTGTCATACTAACGAGCATCAAACACGTCCAGCTCCTTATGGCTCAGCTGACGGAACCTACAGACATACTAACGAGCATCAAACACGTCCAGCTTCATATGGTTGTACTGACAGAACCTGACATACTAACGAGCATCAAACACGTCCAGCTTCATATGGCTCAGGTGACGGAACCTACAGACATACTAACGAGCATCAAACACACCCAGCTTCATATGGTTCTACTGACGGAACCTACAGACATACTAACGAGCATCAAACACGTCCAGCTCCATATGGTTGAACTGACAGATTTTACAGACATACTAACGAGCATCAAACACGTCCAGCTTTATATGGCTCAGCTGACGGAACCTACAGACATACTAACGAGCATCAAACACGTCCAGCTCCATATGGTTGTACTGACAGATTTTACAGACATACTAACGAGCATCAAACACGTCCAGCTTCATATGGCTCAGCTGACGGAACCTACAGACATACTAACGAGCATCAAACACATCCAGCTTCATATGGTTCTACTGACGGAACCTACAGACATACTAACGAGCATCAAACACGTCCAGCTCCATATGGTTGTACTGACAGATTTTACAGACATACTAACGAGCATCAAACACGTCCAGCTTCATATGGCTCAGCTGACGGAACCTACAGACATACTAACGAGCATCAAACACGTCCAGCTTCATATGGTTGTACTGACAGAACCTGACATACTAACGAGCATCAAACACGTCCAGCTTCATATGGCTCAGCTGACGGAACCTACAGACATACTAACGAGCATCAAACACGTCCAGCTTCATATGGTTGTACTGACAGAACCTGACATACTAACGAACATCAAACACGTCCAGCTTCATATGGCTCAGCTGACGGAACCTACAGACATACTAACGAGCATCAAACACGTCCAGTTTCATATGGTTGTACTGACAAAACCTACAGACATACCAACGAGCATCAAACACGTCCAGCTCCATATGGCTCAGCTGACGGAACCTACAGACATACCAACGAGCATCAAACACGTCCAGCTCCTTATGGTTGTACTGACAGAACCTGACATACTAACGAGCATCAAACACGTCCAGCTCCTTATGGTTGTACTGACAGAACCTGACATACTAACGAGCATCAAACACGTCCAGCTCCATATGGCTCAGCTGACGGAACCTACAGACATACCAACGAGCATCAAACACGTCCAGCTCCATATGGTTGTACTGACAAAACCTACAGACATACCAACGAGCATCAAACACGTCTATCTTCATATGGTTCTGCTGACAGAACCTACCGACATACTTACGAGCATCAAACACGTCCAGCTTCATATGGGTGCACTGACAGATCCTACAGACATACTAACGAGCACCAAACACGTCCAGCTTCATATGACTCAGCTGACAAAACCTACAGACATACCAACGAGCATCAAACACGTCCATCTTCATATAGTTCTGCTGACAAAACCTACAGACATACTTACGAGCATCAAACACGTCCAACTTCATATGGTTGTACTGACAGAACCTACAGACATACTAACGAGCACCAAACACGTCCAGCTTGATATAGATCAGCTAACGGTACATACAGACATACAAACGAGCACCAAACACGTCCAGCTTCATATGGGTCTGCTGACAAATCCTACAGACATACTAACGAGCATCAAACACGTCCAGCTTCATATAGATCAGCTGACAGAACCTACAGACATACCAACGAGCATCAAACACGTCCAACTTCATATGGCTGTACTGACAGAACTTACAGACATTCCAACGAGCATCAAACACGTCCAGCTCCATATGGTTGTACTGACAGAACCTACATGCATGCATTGGGAACACAATATTTCAGGAGAGACTTGTTAAGTATTGGGGATATAGTCCTGAGGCGACACCTCTATATTAACAAGAGAAACATTTGTGCATGCTGAAAATGTCGGGTCGAACTCGTGGGAACTTCGGAACGAACCTTATCGACAGTAAAGTGGCAGTATATGGATATGGGCTGTTAAATACCTAACTTAGATTGTGAATGTGTAGTTAAGTATCGTATGTGTATATCAGTGTAATTTGTCTGGGTTTATCCTTGAGTTTAAAAAAACGAAGCAATGTTTGAAAAGTACAAGAAACGGTACACTGTATATTTAATGACCGGAACGATGGTTGATTCCAGACAAGTCAGATATAGTTATATTAACATAGATACAAGTATTTCTTCTATATAAGATTGTTTGCCACAATCTAAACACAACACATCAAGAAACACAACAGGTAGCAAAACTCCATCAAAGTCTCGGATAGGTACACAAACAAGACAGCTAAACAAATGTATCATTTTACAAAATGTGACACCAACAAGCTGCAATAGATCACAAATACATCCGTATCCTAGTCAACTCCATGACAATACCTGCACACCCACTTATTATTCACATCAACGGCTTTTCACAGTAATACCATGCTATTTACAAATTGCGGGGGTGGGAGGCACATGCCACTTGCGTAGCCACACACGGAAACGTGGTTTCGGGTTTTTGAGTAATGTATATCGTCAGTTAGTAACCAAAACACAATATATCCATTTATATTCACTCTGAAACCTAATAAGTATTTGGTTTGTCGTTTATAATAAAGAGCATCATACCCCAATTTCGCATATATTATTCACAATCTTGAATCCAAGGCCCTGTAGGTAGTCTGTGATAACCGTACATACAGCCATTAGAGGGACATCCCTTTTTAGTTTTGTCTAATAGGCCTTCCATCTCAACAGAACAATGCACCCTCGTCCCTTCACATACCTGTGTAATGATAAACACAAAGAAGAAAAATGATTTTAAATGCATTGGTAAATCTGAATATTTACCTTATGTTGCATAGTCACTAATACTTCCCAACTACAGCCTTTGTAGTATCTATAACGTAATACAAGCATGGTGATTACACTTGCACAGAGACGTACTGTTTATCTTTTTTATACTGAATGTAAATGTTCGATGTTTGCTTAACCTTAATTTTTGTAAACACAGTTTTAATGTGAAAAGACGTGTACAAGACATCTGTATGCGCGAATGTGATGTGTTTGGTGTGCGAATGATATGTGTTTGGTGTTTGGTCTTGAAGCTGTTTTTGTTGTCGGGGCGCGACATGCTGCTTACAGGAAACTGAATAATTGTTTTCGACTAACTATGTGTAGGATTCATTTTTTTTTTTTTTTTGAGAATTTTATGAAAATCTGTAATTTATCAAATATGAATATAAGGGTTATGATTATTTACATTGGGTTTGCTATATAAAGCGCATCAAGCAATATCTATTCACTCCGGAGCTTCAACGCATTCTAAGAAATATGTAGTTTTCCGGACATTAGGCTTTCCCTGCCGGGTTTACCGCCTACTTCCGGTGACGGCGTCCCAGTTGCTGTGCCAGAGTCGCATGCTAATCTCAAGTAAGATATAGCCTAGCACAGCTTTTATTACATTAGCACGATAAAGTAAATATTCTTTCTATTTTCTTAGCTGATCCTTTTCGTTGTCTCTCTCAGCACGCCATTACCAGATAAAATTCCCGTAGAGCCCGATACGCACCAGTGGTGGGGATGCAAATTGTTTTCCTACAACGTACGTAACAGCAAAGCGACGTCATAAAAGCTCTTTTTTTCCCATAGCGATTTCGTAAAAAGCTCAAAAAACGTTGCGTAGCTGATGTTGACTGTTAAATGTTGAAGAACTATTATTACGGTAAAACCTATGAAAATGTCACACAGTTATAAAAGTTCAACAAAATGTCAGCAAAAAATATAGACTTTGATCTAGCTATTATTTTAAAGAAGCTTAAACTAAAACATGTAAGCACGCTTATTATAATATCTTTATGTTGAATGAATATTAAAAAAAGAAAAAATTCCATTTTTTTTTCAAATTATTTTTTTCAAATCATCACAATTTTGAAGAATATTTCGCTGTAACAAAAAATGTTTATCGTTATTGCTGCGTTATAAAATATAAATTAGACAAAGTACATATCAACGTTAATTGAGTATAACAAAATTATAAAATCAAACTGTATTTGTATGAATTTTACTGTACTTTAGGCAGGTGTCTCGCTACCGAGAGAGTGTGTTTGTGTGTCTCATATATACAATTGATGTTTTTGAATGTAACTCAGTCTCTCCTAAACCGGACGAGGAGACCAGTAAGTGTACTGTTACAAGTGTATAAATATGAATAAGAAAGGAGCTCTACTTATGTAGCTATGGAGGACATACAAAGTCGTGCCCCGCGGATTCCTCGCTTCGTGTGAACGATTTTTTACTATAGATGATAAAGCGGCATTTCAGAAAAATATTAACGTATCGTTTTTAAATACAAAAATCCAAAATGTTTGTCTCTAATCATTGGATTTAACATTTCTTCTTCATAAATACATCTTTCATTAGTTGAAAAGAAGTTGTATCATTTTTTAAATTGAAAATAAGTTGTATCATTTTATCAGTGGAAAATTAGTTGTTTTATTTTATAGTAGAAATATACACAGGAATCTTCTTCATAGTCTTACCAAATTTTTAACACTGAAAACGTTTATTTTGACAACTTCGTTGTGAAATAAAAGCATTAGTATGTATAAATGTCTAGTTATGCCTCTCTTACAATCAAGTATAGTAACTTTCCAACACATTGATATAACTGACAGCTTGAATTAAGAATTAGTTGTGTCATTTTTAGGTGAAAATCGATGAGTGATTAAGACGGACTGCTGTTTATATAAACAGATATATTATTTTCCGATCGGAACATATTTCATAACTTCGAAATAAATGATTTCATATGTAATTAACGAAATGAATAATGAAATATAAACGACATTTCCACATAGTGGCAAAGTTATAACCAAAACATAGTTCACCGTATGGGTATATCAGCAACCACTGGTGTTTGTTTTAATGCCTCGCTTATATACACATAATATATATCTATATATATTTTACATCTACAAGCTTATCACTCTATTCATTTCGTTCGTCTATATGCAATGCAATTTCAAAGGCATGTGTACAGTTTACGACTGACATTTGTAACCATTGGTGTGAATATATACTGATCGATTCACTTACAGTAAATAAAACAATAATGGCGAATCATGTGACCATTATTGAAAAAGTGTACAATGTATATACTATGTTGACGTTGATACTTACATGTACAATCATTTTAACGAAAATTCAACTATGCAGACATGATTATACCAGAGACATTCATTCTTGATTTCGTTTTATCTTGGTTCAGAATTCCTTCAGACACTTTCGGGAATTTGAAAGAGGTAGGACGAAACGTCCATATGATACAATAATAAATATAGAAGCTATTCGGTTAGGTTTTCAGAAAAAAAAAACGTGTACGGAAGTGATTCCAGACAAGTCATGACTAATTGCTTTGTTGCCTTTTTGTTTTGTTTGTTTTTCAGTTGTTTCTCAGTTAACATCCATGTTTCTATAACTAAGTTGTACAACCATATATGCTGTCTTTCCACTGACCGGCCAGACCGCAGCCAATTCGTCGGCCAGTGAAAAGGGAATCTCATTTTCGTAACGAAATTAATTCTAATAAATTTTAGACAACGAATCATAAAAAAAAATCGTTGATCAAACGGAAAATTATTGAGAATTTTAGTGCCAGTGATCTCCAAACTACTGTCTTCAATATAGGGTGATATTTCAGTTGTGAATAGCTCAAGTCAGCGGTGTTTTGTGTGTGTGTGTTTTTTTTTTTTTTTTTTGCTTTTTTTTTTAATCTAAAGTAGATAGAAACAGAAGCTGAGATTTCTACTACAATGTTTGTTTTGAAAAGATTAGTTAGGGACTTTGGTGAAAAATGGTACATAAACACAGCTAATTAAGTCTGATACCGTGTTTCAATTCAATATTTTCCATAATACAATCATAAAAATACAGTATATTCGTTATAATTAGCACGTTTCTAGAAAATCATAATAATCAGATATCAAAATAGATAAAAACATGAATTTTCTAGCATTCTAAACAACCAGGAAAAGTAGTAAACAGTTTCAAATCCCTCTGTTATGCGTTTCTGATTTTACCTGACATAGTTGACTTTCAAGACTGTTAAAAAAGATTTAATTACGTTTGCGTGCTAGTATTGCATTTAGTACATTGTACATCATTACATTGGACTTGCAACAAAACCACGGACTTTTTGCTTGAAAATTAATAACATCGATTGATGTTGCAACAGCCTAGCAAATGGATTACATAATAATATTGACTTATTGACTGCTATTTATAAATGTAAATTATAAATCTTAGTGAGAAATAAAATGTACGAGTTCAATGAATTCAAGATTTTCTCTGTATTATGTATTTGTATTGGACAGCAGCATTGCCACAACAGTGGAAGAAAGTCTTTTTGAAAATACAGTGGTTAATCAATTTCTTATCATTGTCATTCTTTTCCTTAGTATAATGGGTTACTTTAACATATAGTTAATGGTAGATGTTGTAGATCCCTTCCGATCAGAATTCTTGATCAAGAGTTTCCAGTTTTTTATCTTCGAATTTCAATTGCCATGGTTATAATCAGTGGTACGGTCCAAATGTATTTTGGAATTCTAGATCTTCTCAGTTTTATTTGTTTTAAACCAAATCCAGGGATGTCATTATCATACGAGACAAAATCAGATGATTATCTCATACATTGACTGTAGTTATGTATGAAATCATAATAGGACATAGAATCAGAAGATGAGAAATTAGCCCAGGAAAGAGTTCACACATGTCTAGGTAAACCACTGGGGTTCTCAGTTGGGGGTTTACTGGCGCGTCCTTCGAAATATCTGACCATATGTAGTCATATACTTAAATATGATGTTTTTAATCCACAGACATTGGTGAACTGAATTGTAGCACTCTGATTTTGATACTGATAATTAAATGTGGTTATTTTTTGTTGTGATTTTGAACAAGGATATCTATACTATGACGGATTCAAATTTATGTACCGTACTATTACGGAAGCTACAACAGATACCTATATATGGATATAACTTTGGCTGTACGGGTCACATGAAATAGTCACTGCCTAAAAGCAACCAGTGTGATCGAAAAGATGCACATTTTGAACCGACGAATCAATGAATTAACTGGAGCGTATTTTTGTTTATTTATTTCAATTTGCTAAATTTTTGAAAGATTTTAACAAGAGACACGGCGCATATCCACATGTAAGAATGTGTGACGTCATCATCGTCTTTTTTTTGTTCTTGGTCTTGTAGACACCTTTTCATTATCATCACCACAGGTTGGTCAGCTGACGCACTGGTAACACTCTATCTTCCACTTCGATTCTCTGAACGGATATTGGTTTCCTTCCATAGGAAGAGCGCTCGCGCGCCCACATCAAGTGTGATCTTCCATAATCATTGTCATTTTCAGTTGTATAAGATTGACAGCCGTTGGCAACCGAGAATGTACCTTGACATAGTGCTTTCTGAAGCAGACAAAGTGACGTATGAGGAAAAAACTCCCACCATCCTCCCTTTGGCGTATTCATTATGTGTGTTTCTTGAAGTTGTCTGCGTTGGTAAAGGCTCATTTGCATATAAGGTGCTTTGTAGTGGAAACCGTGGGGTTATCTCCCTTGGTTTGAACTGCCGTGACACGACAGCGCTATCTGGACTTCTAAACACCGCGGTATGATTTATTAGATAGGAGCTGGGAGCTACCCTATAGGTCCAGTATGTAAACCGCACACCACGATTCTCTACATTTGGTGTCAGAATTCGGCGAACCTTCGCTGAATTTTGACATTTTCCTTTTTTCGTCACCGGTGTGTTGTACTCTTGCACGTGGTTGCCAGTTTGGCAGCTCGGATTGGGCACACGTGTACAACACAACGTGATAATTTAGGGCTTTATGATTTTCTTCTTATTACAAGTAGCCGCAGATAGTTTGGAAGAAGCCAATCGCTGCTCCAGCGTTCTTTTGTTAGGGCGGCATTAGTTTTATATTTTTATTTCGCATCTGATGGTGTGACGGGGCGCTATATCTGCCGGGTGCGCGACTTTGGATCATTAGGGACCTAGATTAGGTATAAATTTTCATTACTATTTACTATCAAACATCGTAATTAAGATGCACATCCTCACATTTCGACGATTTCGCATTTTCATAAGCACCATAATGTGGACATTCAGTGTACTTGTCATGATATAAGAGCAGAGTGTCAAAAACATGTCTGCACGATCGAATAATCGACTGTCTGACCAAACAAAGGAACACTACTCACAAAGCAAACTTTCATACCAGGGCCACTTGACTCGCACTCTCTATCACACGGTACAATGCATTGGATTAGGCAAACGTAAACACTTGGTCAACATTAGGTAAGACCTCTCGACCAGCATACGCTATGACTAGAACAGGTAAGGTGGCTAACTTAGATTGCCCTACCTGGACAACAGTATGGGTACATGCATACAAGTAAACAACACAGGTAAAAGAAATATAGTCATTCACTCATAGATAAACGTACAATATACATTTACAATTAAAGTGTAACTTTGTGACAATGTTTTGATTACATATATTTTAAATTATGTTTTACATCACTCTCTTTGATATGAAATGAGAATTGTTGATACAATGAACATGAGTTGATTTTAAGAGCTACAGTTAGGCAAGGCATGTTATAATGATGAAAGTAAATCGAATATAATCGACATATTACAGACACGTTTTGTACATTACGATGATTGGCAGAGAAAATGCGATTGTGGCCTAATCCTGTGGTCTACTAAAGGAAATAAAAAGAGTGGAAACGTAAAAAGTAGAAAGTAAGATGTTGGGATACTTCATGTCGCTTATGTCTAATTCTTCCTGGAATTGTACAAAGTTTCTTTCAGTTATCTGGATTCTTGTATATCTATCCTTTTAAAAATAACTGTCTCATAGCATATAAAAGATTTTATAGATTATAAGATTGAAAGAGATAATGTATTTATCGCAAAGCTCCTGGATCACTTCCCTATTTCTCGCATTTTTCAAATTGGTCAACTGCCAAAACTAATGGAGAAAATTGAAAGTTTTGAATGGTCTACTACAATTTTATATTACCCTCTTCCCTTGACTTGTCGTTTTAATAAGATCTTTACAAAGTGCCTTGAGATAATGAAATGAACTTGACTAATATTCAAGGTTACAGGAATCGAATTCGTTAAATATCTTAAATGAAGCTTGATAACATGTGCGAAGAGAAATGACCACGATCCTTAATCAACGTCACTGAGATCAAATTTGTTAAGGCATTAAAACAGCTTCTTCTGATAAACCAAAAGGTCCGGAAGGGTGATATTAAGTTTTTAGTATAAATTTTCGAAAAAATTTGAAAAATAATATAAAAAAAAGATTGGATATGTCCACTTTGAATGCACATGTAGTGTACTTGTTATGAATATTGATTACACACTCAACAAAAAAAGAAACGAACAAAGTTCCAACCTCAGTACACCTTAGCTGTGAGGAAATACAGGTATTACATCAAGAATGATCTCCCTTCTTGACAATCTACTCTAAAATTAGCCAAGCCTGACGATGTCATCGTCTGACTTTGTGAGATTCACGCGGCGTGATCAAGCCAAGCCGAACTTTTTCAAACAAATAATTTCAACGGATACTCTAAGTTCAGCAACATTAATTTTCCACGTTGGCATTTTGACCGAGCTGCCACGCTTAACGCAAAATTCAGAGGGTAGAGCAATTGCGATGTTGTTGGATGGTCATAGTCAAACTGCTGTCGCACGGCAGTTTGGTGTTGCCCCGTGTACAGTTAACCGTCTCTATACACGTTTCCATTGTACTGGGTTAGTTTCTGATCATCCCAGGAGCGGTTGGCCGCGTGTAACGACTCAACGGCAAGGCAGGGCGATTCAATTGTCACACTTGCGCAACAGATTCAAGACTGCTGTAGAGACTGCGTCGCATACTTAGGTACTCATGACAGACCCATTGGTGCTCAAATTGCCAGGAACCGCTTGCGTGCCGACCTTATGTCGGACCACCTCTGATAACACGGAGGCGGCAATTGCGTCTTGACTGGATGCGCAGACATGGCCCGAATAGGTTAGAGATGCGTCGGTGGAGGTGTGTGATGTTCACCGACGAGTCTATTCTGTCGCTATCGCTCAGACGGAAGAAACAATGTATATCGCAGACGCGGTGAGCGTTTCGCCGACGCATGCGCGGTTGAACGCGATAAACTCGGTGGTGCTTCTGTAATGGTTTTGGGAGACATCTCCCATCGAGTAAACTCCCCTTAGTTGTCCTGAGTCCAAACCTCAATGCCGTTTGATACAGAGACCAGATCCTCCAACCACATGTCCTTCCACTTCTCAGATGTCAGAACCTAATTTGTTCAAGCAAGACAATGCTCGACCGTCAAAACGTCAAAACCCCAAACTAACCACGCCCAGTTAATCGCAGCATTAACACTAGACTGGGACATTATTCCCCTAAGGCAAATTAATGTTCTCGTGAATTCAATGCATAGGAGAATCCGTGCAGGGATTCGTGCAAGAGGTACCCACACCAGGTACTGAAGTGCCATTTTATTTTTCGCGGGTATCCCAAATTGAGTAACCGCTGACAACACGAGTGACGTCACACAGACTTTTCTTCTACAGAATTGTGTACCTTTTTATTGATATAAAATTTTGTACAAATTTCCCAAAATATCATCGGCTATTGATTGTGTAATTTAATTGTGCGTTTCTTTTTTGATGAGTATATTTTTGATGAACATTGTATACCAGGAGAGCAATGCAGGCCCATTTGGACTGTTTTTTTACTGATCTCTAATTAACTTTCAAATTATTCAGTTAACGAAAAGAGGTTATTCTTTTTGAGTGGCAATTTAAATTAATTAGAAAAGTATTACTTTATTTGTATAGTTGATCATGTCTGATACAGTAATGTTTCTCACTACGTATTCTGCTTGATATAAATGAAAGAATTATGTCAAACACTTTTTTAATATTTATCGATATATCTTTTCAGACTAATTCCGCCATGGATTACCGATGTGTATGTCTATGTATAGCTGCAATGACTACAATGCTTTCGGTTCCGGTGGAGACTGGGGAAATATTGGTTCTGGTATTTCCGGTTTGGAGCCACATCAAACCCAAACTAAACGTTGCCGCGGCACTTGCAAATATTTATGGACACCATTCAACGTTTATTTTGAACGAAGAATACCAGAAAAGAGTCGAGGAAAACAACGCAACTAAAGTTATTTTACCAGCAAAATACAAAACAATTAATGCACACCTGTTGATCAATGCTCAGGTAAAAGATACCTGCAGTCATGCGGGTATGCCATTTTCCGCTATAAGAGAGAACGCCAGATATCTATGTGACTCCTTACTTTCGGACGATGACTTGGTGACCTCTCTTCGTCAGCAGAACTTTGATCTGGCTCTCATTGATAATGTCGTTCTTGCGGACTGTTTTGCAGTCTTAGCGTACAAACTAGGAATTCCATATGTACAGCTCGGTGCCATGAACATACCGACAAGGACCAGAACGCCATTTATGCCGTCTGTGCATTCTTCATTCGCCATGCTTGGTTTCTTCAATGAAATGTCGTTTTTTCAGCGAGTAACCAACACACTAGTTTCAATAGTAATGGCTGTTTTACCAGAAATAATTTTCCCGAGCGATCTGGTTTCGATGTATGCTCCAGAAAAGCCATTTCTGTCGTTAGAGGTTTTGCATAGACGTACATCGTTCCATCTCATTGACCTCGACTTCGTGATGGACTTTCCAAGACCATTGATGCCGAATATGGCGTTTGTTGGGGGACTTGGCACAGAGAAACCCAAACAGCTACCGTCTGACCTTGACTCTTACATGAATTCAGCAACTGACGGAGTCATTATAGTCTCGTTTGGTAGTGTCGCTCAAAATCTACCAAAAGACAGAATAGAAAAACTTATCGGTGTATTCAAGAAGTTTAAAAGCAAAAAATTCGTTCTTCGGTATGGAAACGAGACAAAAATGGAAGACAATATATTGTTGATGCCATGGTTACCACAGAACGATCTACTAGCCCATCCCAACACCAAGGCCTTCGTTACTCATTGTGGAAGTAGTGGTTTATATGAGGGTTTATATAACGCCGTACCAATGATAGGACTACCCTTTATGATAGACGGATTCTATAACTGTCGCAAAATGGCTTTCAAGGGATTCGGTATCTCGCATGATTTCTGTACTTTTACAGACGATGAATTGTCAAGTGCTTTACAGGAAGTTCTTCAAAATCCGAAATATAGCGCAAAAATCAAGAAAAGTTCCGACATTTTCCACAACCAGTGGGGATCGCCCAGTGAACGTTCTGCATACTGGATTGATCACGTGATCCAACATGGAGGTGACTATCTACAAACACCGGCGACTGACATGCCATTTTACAAATATTATCTTTTAGATGTCTTGCTTTTTATTACTTTAGTGGCATTCCTCATTATCTGGAGTTGTATAAGGCTGGTGAAAATATGCTATAGATGTTTTTGCAAGTCAAAGGTTAAAGTTGAGTAAGTGCCACGCGTCTGAAGCCCGACTTGAGATATGTAAGAATTATGTCCCCGCCGTCTCGCCGTATGGTAGGACAGTGGAGTGGATCTCTTCCCTGTAAAAGCTTGCATATATACCTGTCCAGAGTAAGAAAAGACCACATATCATTTAGTACATTTAGAGAGGTTAATTTCCACCTCACTTGTATAAATATGTGAGTGAGACAACGCATGAATGTGTGAAACATAAAATTTGATCCATATCTTTCTTGTGTTTATACGTACGTGAAACAACATATGTATGTGTGTGTGTATGTGTGTGTGACGGGAAATGTGGTCCATCTCTTGTGTGTAGAAGTATGTGTGTGAAATTATCAATGTCCTAATTACTTGTGTTTTGATAATTATTAGTTTGAATTCCATTTATTGAAAGAAAAGTAATTAAATTCAACTGGTCTTCAATAATATTGGGAGTGGGGGTGTCCAATTGAACAGGAGACGAACGTTATCAGGGTATCTTATCATCCGTCATAAGGCTAAATAGAGGTTTTATGTGGGTCGGAATTCCGTTGTTGCATACCTTGGTCTCATTAATTTGAGAACGTGACATGACTTACTTAGATTGATCAAGATTTACGTGACGGTGTCAAAGACGCTTACTTCTCCGGAACACCTGGATTTATTTTCCTTGTACTTTCCGTGTAAATGTTTCTTTTGTTGATAGTTTGCCCCAGTTTTGTTAAACTTGGGTTTGGATTATGATCATGTTGACATGTTGGTATTTTCTTGTTGTACATCAACTTGTCTCAAAGATGCGTTCGCCATTGTGTAACATTGCCCGTTGTGGTCTAAACTTGGGATAACCTTTTTACGAACGTGTTTTAAATAGTGTTGGTCTAATCGTTATACATAGATACATAGATTTATTCTGACAAGGTACAGAAAATATGTACAAGGTTAACAATCCTTTGATAGTCAGCTCTTTATACAATTTATACTGAAATAAAGTTCACATCTTATTTTTTTTTCTTTAAAACAATACTCCTGTGGCTGGTTTTTCCAATGTTCATCTAGGTTATATTCAAACTGTTTAACTGTCGTTGCATTTACAACATTAAATGGAAGACTGTTCCAAACATCTACGCTCCTCTGCGTGAACGAATATTTCCTGAAGTTCAATTTTGAAAATTCTTTATATATTTTTAGTTATGTCCACGTGTGTACGACCCTTCGTTGACAGAAATCAAGTTATGTACTGAAGTAAAGTATATTAAGTATTCATTAGTTCTACCGTTTCAAATTAATTCATTAATAAGTTCCCGATTAAAATTATTTTGTGACTTAAGAGAAAATTATATTTTTATTTTTAGAACTTGTCCCTATATCTGCACTTATGTGTTATCTTTTTCTGACACTGCAATAAAATAGATTTAAATCCCCTTGTATAATTTTACTCTCTACACTATTTAATAGTATACGCGTGTACTGTGGTTATTTCTACTGCAATGTAAATGTTTGGCAAATGATCGTTAAAAAACATTGAAAAGACGTTCTATGTTGGTTATTTTGTAATTTTAAAGATTTTGTTATTTGTAATTACTGATAACAATTTTTGTAATTGTCCCTTGTTATAAGATATATATAGAAAGAAATGACCATTGATTATAATTCTTTCTACATATATAGGACTGTTTTGTATTTATAAAGTATGATTTAACACATAAAACTTATTTTCTTTTTTATTTTTATTTTCTTGGTCAATAAATGACATTTTATTAACATATTATCAAAAAGATAGTGCATGAGCTGAATTCCCCTTTAACTTTGTAATTTGTTGCAGGTTTTTCATACCTTAAAGTTTTACATGGAAACATTCAATATTCTGGATATTTTGATAAAAAAGATACATAAAAAAACTCATATCAACAGAATCATAATGAAAACTCATTAAAACTAGAATGAGAAATACGGAGACCTCTGTACAAGGAGAGTAGAGTGTATCAATGTACGTGAATAGAAAAGCCATATTCAATGTCAGCTGGGAAACCAAATTACGGAGGTAAAATCCCACTTATACATATCTTTGTCTAGCCAGGACTCATGAAGGTAAAATTTTACTGGACGTTATAGAAGAAGAGATCTAACGAGCCCGGAAAACAATATTATCTCTCGTGGGAGTTGTACGGGTTAGATGGAAGAGAATCCAAAGTACTGCTACATATCAGACATATATGTCTGGCAATGTCAGTGTTCTAGGGTCGCTATATCTTTAAGAATTACAATGAACCCGGACCCGTATCACGAAAAAAAAACCCAAACAAACAAAAAGCATACCTTTTACTATCATCAATTACATACGAATCATATACATCATATCAGGACAGTCACCTTGGATCCAAGTCCTCTGCATCCTTAATCTGGTTTACTTTGATGAGTTACAAGCACCTGTCAATTACTAACAGAACTGAATTTTTCAAAATTGGAGATGCTTACTTTAATGGTGAATCTAAGGCCGGTATCGATGTCATGTGGTCGTTATGGACATGGTGTATACACATAGAGGGTATATCTAGTTCTAGTTCTACTTTTGTATGTTTTGTTGACATGAAGAAAGCATTTGATTGTGTAAACAGAGATCTTTTGTGGGCTAAGCTAGAACATTATGGTTAAAATGGATATTTCTTGGATGCTATTAAATCTTTATATTTTAATTATGAATGTAGAATTAGAATAAACCGTGTTCTTACTCAACCTGTAACTATGAAGCAAGGTTTAAAACAAGGCTGTAACGCATCACCGACACTTTTTTCCATGTACATAAATGACTTAGCTAAAGACATTAATGATTTAAAATGTGGAGTAGATATAGAATCATGTGTCATCTCCATTCTTCTCTTTGCTGATGATATTGCTCTCATTGGACCCGACGAAAAGTCAATGAAAAAGATGTTGAATGTATTAAATATGTGGTGTAAAAAGTGGAAAATCGAAATAAATCAAGATAAAACTAATGTAGTACACTTTAGAAATAATTCCATGCCTGTTACTGATCACACGTTTTCATGTGGTGATATAGTTATCGCCTTAAATACTAAGTACAAGTACTTGGGGCTATGGTTTGAGGAGCACATGGATTTGCATTTCACTGTAAAAGAACTCTGTAAATCTGCGAGCAGAGCACTAACATCGTTGTATGTAAAATATTCTCATGCCGGTGAAATGACATATGATGTGTTTAACAAGTTATATCAAACTTTAGTTCAACCGGTTCTTTTTTATGGCTCAGAATATGGGGTATAAATAAATACCGTGAGGTGTCCACTGTACTCCACAAAGCGTGTAGATACTTTTTAGGCGCCTCCCGTCGATCAAGTAACTTAGCCCTCCGAGGTGATATGGGATGGCATTCTTGTAATGTTAATCAGGTTTTAGAAACGGTACGCCTGTTTTTAAGAATAAAGTGTTGTAACGACAGCCGTCCGAAGTTATGAAAAAAGTACACCTATGGTCTGTAAGGTTGAAAAAATCCTGGGATTCTAGAGTTATTACAGTCATAGAAGAGAAAAAATTAAGTGAAATTGTAAACTCGACATTTTCTATTAGAAACAAGATAAGAAATATTAAAGAAAAGTTAATTACTATAGATACAGAGGAATGGTACAACAGCTTGTGGAATGATAGTAATAGTGTAAACGGTAACAAGTTGAGAACATACAGAACCTTTAAATCTGAGTTAGCGCCAGATTCTTATGTCAAACTCGTGACACAAAAAAATAAACGGAGGGTAATTTTTAATTTAAGATGTGGTTATCTACCTCTTGCAGTAGAAACCGGCAGATTTACCAAACCTGAGATTCCATTAGAGAACCGTGTTTGCAAAATATGTACAAATGTAAATAATTCGATAGAGGATGAGATACACTTTTTAATTGAATGTAATGTATATAATGATATTAGATCATCCTTATTTAGAGCAGGAATCGAAATAAGAAATGATTTTTTAAGCCTTAACGATTTAGAAAAAATTGATTTTATAATGTCTTGCAGGGAATTACAAATTCCACTTGCTAATAATTTATACAATATGTTCCGGAGACGTAGCACTTTAAGTGAGTAATCAATGTTTTAACAGTGTCTTGTAAGCCATTTCTGGCTGAATATCACGTATGATTACATTTTTAGAATATATGCTTTAATTGATTCGTTGGGTAAATCAGGAACTTTTTTATATCGATTGATTATCTATTATTAATTATAATTAATTATTGTAGGTAGCGTAAGTTTGGCAAACCTCGATGGTAGGGTTCTCCCCAACCCTTGGAATGCCAAATTTCACTACTGATGAATGTATCATAAATAATTTTTGCCATGTGTATTGTTTTATTATTTCATATATAACATGTAGCTACAGTATGGATGAGACCTATTTTAGTATTACAATATATATTATAATTTATATATTTCGTATATAATCCAGAGAGCTTGTTAGGTAGGGGCTGTCCCAATCACCTGTTCTCTGGATTACGATCTGTGATAAGTAAGTTTTAATTTATGATATTGGATTTACCTGGTTTAGTTTAATATGATTGATCCCAACGGTCTCACTATGGTTTTATATTGTGTACTTTACATATGATGTAATTGTGATATATGACACTTTAATAAACAAATTTTGTATTGTATTGTATCTAGTCAGAGAATTAACATTATTAAATAAAGGAAGAATCGACAGTGCGATGCATGTCCCTGTACAGAGAAGTTAACTGTCAACAGATCTTGAAATACACATTAAAAATTGCACGAAAGACATGAAAGTCGTTAGTACCCCCCAGTACGATTGTATATTGAGATACAATGTATATGTAGCAGTCAGTCCTGGCAGGACTCATCAGTAATGATAAGTGGCTTGATTTTTAAAAAGTTGAGACGACCTGCGTGTTTCGTTTCACAATGTTCCTTATTTTGTTTAGTTCATATTTAACCAAAAAGCTGGTTAACACTAGTCAACCTTCGTAAAACCGGGGTTAAGCACGTTAACAAACATTTCACCCAAGTTCACATTAAAATCTCCATGTCTGTCTGATCATAATTATTCTAACTGTATAACCAAACAGAGTCCTTCCTCATCGTAATTCCACTTTTCACGTAAAAAATGTGATTCAACAAAGGAAAGCATTTCATCATTTATTGATCAGGATTTATTATTAGGAAGATTGATGGACGCAGGCTGACAGCCTCTATATCAGAGACGTATATATCAGATATATACGTCTCTGTCTATATCAACAAGATATATATTTATGCAGTGAATAAATTTACATCCTCCAGTACAATAGCTATGTAGAGTCCAAAAATAAGAATCATACAAACATTAAAATTAAATATTAAAATAAATATTTTTATAACATACTTATATTTATATCACGAGAGAAAAAGAAACACTATCATCTGATTCATCATATCTAAACCCCGTGATGTCGCACAACTGACATCTAAAAGTTTAACTTACTTGTCACATACATATATATATTTAGAAGTGGGGTGGGCGGGATCTCTTTACAGAGAATGTTGCAGGATGTGTTAGTAAGTTTTAATATGTTTGTGTAATAGACCAATATTTCAAAACTAAGTCCCGTAGTATTTCACAAACGTCCGGAAATGTTTTGGCCTAATGTATAAATCGAAGTATTTGCAGCATGAAATTCAATAATATGTAAATTAACAAACATATTCACTCAGTTTACTTCCAGTCAGCATGACGATGTCGAACAACTTCCTTAATCCACCGAAGGAAAAGACCATATCGTGCGTAAAGCTGACTGTTACATAGGAGGTCGGGGGGGGGGGGGGTCTCTTACAATTTTTAAGTTACATAGAAGAGAATTATGTCGGGTTTTCTCCTGACACCTGCTATCAAAATTGATTTGATTTTTTTTAAATGATCAAGTAAATGATGCATATGCGAAAAAAGTGACGAGAGAACATTTTATGGCATACCCGTGTAAAGCTGAAATGTAAATGCCCATTTTACACCTCATTATTAGAAATAGAAAACAAATCCGGATATCATTCATCGGTGGTCGTTTTTATCGTTCGTGTTTGTTTTCCGTTCCAAATTCTGGTAGTCGTAATCTGTTGAAATCGCACTTGACGTTGGTCAGAATTTTCATCGTTAATGGAATGCCTGTCGAATTCTATTCAAAGGAAATGTATAGAATTATTTCATCTTTATGGTAATAATTTGAAAAGTGTGAAGATTATCGTAAGGGCTCTATCGGAAAGCTGTTGATTGGTCATGGCCGAGGATGGTGCAGAAGTAACTGTTCTTGACAGTTGGGAGGAACTTGACGACAGCAGGGTAATTGCCTCTTATTTACTCCTTAATATTTCTATTTTACGTGTACTTTGATGATATTTCAGATGATTTATTTACATTAATATACGGAGAAAGAGCTATTGTGGTTAGGATTGTATTCGTCAAAGGTGAACATTCCATGAGCATCCTTTCTTCATACAAGAAAATCCTCTCATCTCCGATACATTTTTGTGTTGGGTACTTATAACTACAAGGTTCTGTTTAAAGAAGTAAGCATACTATAACAGAGGCAACATTATGGAGTTTGATTATAACATTCGTATTTCATATCATGAAGAAAAGTTGGCAGTTTCAATGAAATAAGTTATTTACAATTTGGTGTCCAAATATGGTCCACAGCATGCATGATCACTACACTTAGAATAGGCTGCAGGGCAATGTTTGTATAAATTTAAACCCTGATAGTATGTAACTTCAAATACGGTATCTAGAAGTTAAAACAATCAAACAAGAGGGGATGTAACTGAAGCTTATGATTTGTTTAACATTTAAGAAATAATGTAAATGGCGAATTTACAGAGCTCTTCCAATGATATGCTATTTTGGTTATTAGTTAGAAGTTTGTTACCCTGGGGATAGGGAAACCACATACTCAGCAGTTGTCATCAGTCATCTATGCAGAAGATGGGAGAGGAATAGACATAATGTATCTTGCTGCATGTCCTAAGAGACGAGTAATTGTGAGGCATTTCATGCTGGTTGAGAGTGTTAACAACATTTTTGCCAGTGCCTTCTGTTCTCAAAAATCATGCCAGCATCCAGACTTACTGTAAAAACCATGTAAAAATATACATATGTCAGATTTGATAGTCATGGATGTAAATAAAATTCAGTTTTCTACTTTAAGAGGATGTCTAAGAAGTTTGCTTGATAGTGAAAGTTTTCAGTTTGATGAACATATCAATGTACAGTGCTATTACTAGTCTAACACAACCTGCTGGTCAAACTACATTATTTTATATACATATAATAAATGTAACAATCTTTGAGAATGTGTGATTGACAAATGGTAATGTAGGATATAATTTAGAAAGTTTCAGTGATTTTGCAGACTCAAAAATTTATAGTCATACGTCAGTCAATTTAATAGTTTTCAGTGTTATGATCAGATGAGGACATTAAATTACAGAATCAAAATATATAAATGTATAATGCTGATTATGTTGTTTTCAGGTGCTCAATAAAAAACTGAACGAAATCAAAATTTCAAACCAAGATGATAAAAAGTAAGTATGAAATGTAATCAGCATATCATCACATAGATATATGTTTGATTTCCCACAATGATTTTTTCTAAAGCTCTGGAAATAAGTGAGAGTAAATAAACCTTTATGTTTCCCTGAAACCAGGACCATGAATGCATTCTGTCCTTTTTGCAAATAGTCATATGCTGAAAATGAAGTAGGGTTACATTGGATTTCATAAGCTTTTCTGACTGTCTGTCCATTGGAACTTGTGGGGACAATTCCTCAACTCTTGCATCACCTTCAATGACCCTTTACTCATATAACTACTTCCTGACATTGCATATACCAGTGTTTTGTTTTTGATTTTTTTCTCCTTCAATTTTTAATTTTCGACTCATTATTAGGGACTTATATCTCCTAATTTGTTGAAAAATAAATCTTGTATCTTTTAAATCTTTGGATATTTTTTATGAATTTTAATACTTATATCCACATGAGGTTACACATTTGGGGTAGTTTTGTCATGTCATTGTTTTCTTTTGAGTTATGTCCCTTCATTGGAAATTAGCATACATATTCATCCAAGCAAGTCCTAGATTAGTGTCCAACCACTTCATGTTGGGAGGAGGTGGGGGTTGAGAGAGTGTCTTAAAATGATGTTGACCATGTCGGTTTATTCCATAACACTGTGTCTGGGGAATATTTTATGCTGAAGACCATCTGTTCCTTTGTGTTGAAGTCTGTCCTGTCATACAGTGTTCCAAATTAACATAGTCATTCTGTCCTGTCATACAGTGTTCCAAATCAACATTGTCTTAAGAATCTTTCAACAGATTTGGTTTATATTTACCCCATATCATCATGATATCAATTTTTACACTTAATCAACAAGTTAAGATGGTCAATGGTCAGTTTAAATGGTCAAAAGTCACACTTGACAACTTGTGAAAATTAGTTACTAAGTGATACTTATGTTTTGGAACAGGTTTGTTTATGCCTGACAGATCTGTGCTACTTTTTATTAGAATTGTTTCTTATAGCGTTTTACCTCTTTTGTTGAAAAGTCTTTTCAAAAGCAACTCCAGCTTGTTGGCTGATCGCACTGAAACTTTACATAAATCATAAATAATCCCTGGTTTTGTACATTTAGGTATTAAATTTGCCTGAAATAATCTTAAGATAGGCCAGTTCATGTGTTTTTGGGTCGGTTTGAGATCCAAATCAACATGAGTTTAAATTTGTGGGAATGATGTGAAACTGAAATGAAGAATAGGTTGCTGTTTTGTTACATTTACTTCTGAGCTTCTGCTTTGTTTTAGTTTGAGTTAAATAATTTTTCTGAACTTCACAATTGTTTTAATATCAAATTATTTTTCTGAACTTCAGAACTGTATTAAATTCAGCATGACAACAAAACACTCTTAGAATACATAAGATGAATTTGTTAAGAACAGAATGTGATCTAAAAATGAATTATGTCTAATAATGAATTTCAGACTGACTGGTGCTCTAGTGTTGGAGAATCAGGACCGGACACAATACCAGCCACAAGTACGAATACTAAAACGCAGATCGGACCCGGGTGCAACCGCCAATTCACAGCAGGATGCAAGGTTGATTAATACTGAATTATACAAAATATACATTTGTTATGAAGCAGTGTTCATCAGAAATTTTATATATGACTTATGAAGTTTATTAAAGGGTATATAGCAATTATTATAGGCTTCACCATATAGAGTTCATTATAGTGTACATATAGAGTTCATTATACTGTACATATAGAGTTCATTATAGTGTACATATAGAGTTCATCATATGTACATATAGAGTTCATCATAATGTACATATAGAGTTCATTATAGTGTACATATAGAGTTCATTATAGAGTACATATAGAGTTCATTATAGAGTACATATAGATTTCAATATAGTTCATCATAGTGTACATATAGAGTTCATCATAATGTACATATAGAGTTCATTATAGTGTACATATATAGTACATATAGAGTTCATTATAGTGTACATATAGAGTTCATTGTAGAGTACAAATAGAGTTCATTATAGTGTACATATAGAGTTCATTATAGTGTACAAATAGAGTTCATTATATTGTACATGTAGAGTTCATTATATTGTACATGTAGAGTTCATTATAGTGTACATATAGAGTTCATTATAGAGTACAAATAGAGTTCTTTATAGAGAACATATAGAGTTCATTATAGTGTACATATAGAGTTCATTATAGTGTACAAATAGAGTTCATTATAGAGTACAAATAGAGTTCATTATAGAGTACATGTAGAGTTCATTATAGTGTACATATAGAGTTCATTATAGTGTACATATAGAGTACAAATAGAGTTCATTATAGAGTACATATAGAGTTCATTATAGTGTACAAATAGAGTACAAATAGAGTTCATTATAGTGTACATATAGAGTTCATTATAGTGTACATATAGAGTTCATTATAGTGTACAAATAGAGTACAAATAGAGTTCATTATAGTGTACATATAGAGTTCATCATAGTGTACATATAGAGTTCATCATAATATACATAGAGTTCATTATAGTGTACATATAGAGTTCATTATAGAGTACATATAGAGTTCATTATAGTGTACTTATAGAGTTCAATATAGTGTACATATAGAGTTCATTATAGTGTGCATATAGAGTTCATCATAGTGTACATATAGAGTATCATAATGTACATATAGAGTTCATTATAGTGTACATATATAGTACATATAGAGTTCATTATAGAGTACAAATAGAGTTCATTATAGTGTACATATAGAGTTCATTATAGTGTACATATAGAGTTCATCATAGTGTACATATAGAGTTCATCATAGTGTACATATAGAGTTCATCATAATGTACATATAGAGTTCATTATAGTGTACATATAGAGTTCATTATAGAGTACATATAGAGTTCATTATAGTGTACATATAGAGTTCATTATAGTGTACATATAGAGTTCATTATAGTGTACATATACAGTACATATAGTGTACATATACAGTACATATAGAGTTCATTATACTGTACATATAGAGTTCATCATAGTGTACATATAGAGTTCATCATAGTGTACATATAGAGTTCATCATAGTGTACATATAGAGTTCATCATAATGTACATATAGAGTTCATTATAGAGTACAAATAGAGTTCATTATAGTGTACATATAGAGTTCATTATAGTGTACATGTAGAGTTCATTATAGTGTACATATAGAGTTCATTATAGTGTACATGTAGAGTTCATTATAGTGTACATATAGAGTTCATTATAGTGTACATATAGAGTTCATTTTAGTGTACAAATAGAGTTCATTATAGAGTTCATTATAGTGTACATATAGAGTTTATTATAGTGTACATATAGACTTTATCATAGGATACATACAGAATATACTATACATATGAAGTTTATTGAAGAGTACATATGAAATATATTATATTTTACATATACCAGTTCATTACAGAGTACTTATGAAGTTTTGTTAAAGAGTACATATGGAATATATTATATTCAGGGCTCTCACACCCCATTTTGGGACTGGGGCCCGGGGTCCTTTGAATTGGGAAAAATAATGGTATTTTCCTTAGAATTGGGAAAACTTTGGGTCTAAATTGGGAAAAAAAGATACTATTTTGCATTGGGAATGGGGCCGAATATGGGCCCCAAATCTGGCAGATCGAGAGCCTTGATATTGTACATATACCAGTTCATTACAGAGTACTTATGAAGTTTATTAAATAGTATATATGGAACATATTATATTGTACATATACCAGTTCATTACAGAGTACTTATGAAGTTTATTAAAGAGTACATATAATTATTGTTAAAGGCTTTACTATATAGAGTTCAATATACGGTACATGTGGCATTTATTATAGAGTACAAATAGACTTTATCATAGGACAGATATAGAATATACTCTATAGTACATAAAGAGTTCATTATAAAGTATATATGGAGTTCATTATATGGTATATAAGGAATATATTATATGGTAGATATATGAGTTCGTTATAGAGTACATACCCGGTATGAAATTTATTAGGGGGTACATATGAAGTTCATTATAGGGTACTTGTAGAGGTTATTAAAGGGTTACAGTATGGATTTTGGTGGATTTTGAGAACTGGCAAAAGGTTACTCTAAGATTTAGATTTTCAGATCATGGTTAAATAAACATAAAATGAAAACAGTGTTTTTACTAAATGGGACTCAAAACAAATCTTATGTGTTTAGTGGTCTCTTTTCATTAGTATCAAGTTAATTGTATATTAACAAAGTAAGTAAATTAGGTTTTGCATGATATTTTTTGGAAGGGTCCAGAGCAAATTTTAATGGGCAAAAGAAAGGGAATATATTTCTTCATGTTTTATTTAACATAGCAAAGTTAATGCTAACAAGCACAACAAAACACTCGAGCAGAGGGAGAAGGAGTATGCCGAGGCGAGACTCAGAATACTTGGATCAGCATCAGGTGGATTTGAGACTGAACAAACTATAGATAATAGGTAAGGATATGATTTTTTTTTATAAAATAAACAGTAATTTTTGTATAATTTTTGACCAGAACATTCTGATCTCATTGTTTTAGGTTAGGTTATGTCCTAGATGAAATTATTGAATCCCACACAAAATCAGCATGTCCCACACAAATCATTTTACATTTTATATTTATCATAAAGATTTACAGATGGCAATTCCTGCACAGTTTCAAGCAGTGGATTCCTGTTTGTTTAGATAAAATCTTTTCACTCCAAGGAGAAGGATAATTCATTTACTTCTGTTTGTTGAATTTACATCATACTTGCATAAATCCTTGGAGGATTAATCAGTTCCCTCACACACTCTTGTATAAATATCATTGACATGTGATGAAAGTTTATATAATAGAATATAATATATGATTAAGACCTAGTGACTACAGATTTCCTGTCAGATTAAAAAAAAGTCAAAATTTAGTTTCAGACCTTCACCAAGGCTAACACAGCAGAACAATAACAACAACGCAACAGAAATATTACGGCAGCCCCGCGGTCCAGATGGATCGAAAGGGTTTGACCAAATGAGGTAGTATACAATATCATTGAGGTTGACAACTGTAAAAGAAGCTCATTGTAATCTGGAGAATTGATTAAGGTACAGGAGTCCTGTAGGTGACACAGACGTTTATTAGTTGGTAATATTGACCACTTGATAGTGATTACAACAAAGAAAGCTACCAGGGTTACTTTCGTGAACAGTGTGAGATACCTAATTTAACTTCGTGAACATTGAGCTACTTTAACATGACAATTCAAACAGTGAGTGACCTCGCCCACCATGCTTACCAACATTAACAGTGTGACCTACCTGGATTATTGGAGCTGCCACCTGTTACCTTAAGTTCAATGGCCAACCTAGGTTATCAATGTGAACTTCTAAAATTGGCTAGATTATCAGAACTGCCACCCATTACCGATAAGTTCAATAATTTGCCTAGGTTACCAGTGTGAACTGAGTAACTTTGCTTGATTATCAGGGCTGCCTCAGTGTCTGACATGAATAGTGACTTCTTGCCTGTTTTATTGGTAAGTTACCTGGATAATTGACATATATAATAACTTACTTGTGCTACCTATATGTTGCATTGGGTAACTTACCTGAACAGAGCAACTTACCAGTGTTACAGATGCACTGTGATCAGAGTGTGCTATTTGAGAAGGAGCATTCTGGGTTAATACTTGAAACAGAGTGAGCTACTTTAACGACCATCATGGAAAGAGTGAGCTACATTGGCTCCCATCATGAACAGAGTGAGCTACATTGGCTCCCATCATGAACAGAGTGAGCTACATTGGTGACCATCATGAACAGAGTGAGCTACATTGGTGACCATCAAGAACAGAGTGAGCTACTTTGATGACCATCATGAACAGCGTGAGCTACTTTGATGACCATCATGAACAGAATGAGCTACATTTGCTACCATCATGAACAGAATAAGCTACATTGGTGACCATCATGAACAGAATGAGCTACATTTGCTACCATCATGAACAGAATAAGCTACATTGGTGACCATGATGAACAGAGTGAGCTTCATTTGCTACCATCATGAACAGACTGAGCTACATTGGCTACCATCATGAACAGAGTGAGCTACATTGGTGACCATCATGAACAGAGTGAGCTACATTGGTGACCATCATGAACAGAGTGAGCTACATTTGCTCCCATCATGAACAGAGTGAGCTACATTGGTGACCATCATGAACAGAGTGAGCTACATCGGTGACCATCATGAACAGAGTGAGCTACATTGGGTACCATCATGAACAGACTGAGCTACTGTGATGACCATGATGAACAGAGTGAGCTACATTGGCTACAATCCTTAGTAGAGTGAGCTACTTTGGCGACTATCATGAACAAGAAGCTACATGGGTGGCCAAATAGAATACTAGAGTGCTGCCTGTTATTCAAAGAAGATGCAGGGTATATGATTTCTAATGTTACAGTACAGTGAAGGACAGGTTTTCCCTCCAGATCAGGTTTACTTTGTGCACAACAGAAAGTGAACTTCCTGATAACAGTGCTTCTGTGTTCAAACATCTGTCCAAACTTCAAAAGTGCTTTCCCTATGAGCTACATAAGTTATCTGCAGTAGTTATCTCCCTTGGACATATACTCGTTCCTGTAAAATAATAGACTTTGTTAGAAGTAATATTTTAGTACAGACTAAGTTAATTTTGTAAGGTCATTACATAGAAATGTACTAGTTTTCGTTAGCTGTACTTTGTGGCAATGCAGTTTCTGGTGGCATAGCAGTTTCCTTTTTACATAAGATGAAAAATGTGTCTATTGATAGAATTCCAGCAATAATTTGTTTCCCCTCAGGATTGTCTCCCCTGACATAGTTCGTCGGCAGTGTGCCTTGAATTGTATTCAGGTCCTCACAGTTATAATTGATAAGATACATTGTGATATTTAATAGCCACTCTGTATCCTGTCCTCTAGCATGTTCTGTGTTTATCTTCATATCCATTTGTTTGGTACACAAATGAAAAAACCAAAATTTGTGGATCATTATTTAATGAAAGCAGAATTACCAAATTTAGGATCCAGTGGTTATCGGTTATCAAAGTGATGAATTAATATAGTGATTTCAGATTTTGTATGTTTTCAAAACTCCAGTTGAAATATGCAGCAGATAGTAAATAGTAATATATCATACTACTGTATCAGTATTGTAAATGCCTTTTTCAAATATTTGTGCCTCCGTCCAGCACAGTTTTTTTTTTCTTTATTTTTCAAAAAATTTTTACTAGGCCTACCAGTGACTGCCTAGACTTTGCTGGAGGGTTTGGTGACTAAGATCAAGTTGAAATGATAGAAGAATGTTTTATTTAAAGGTTTGGAATTATTTGCAGGTGGTCTTCATTTTTGAAACACTTGAAAGCAAAGAGCATCTGAATGTACTGTATTTGGCTGAAATGTAAAGGTTTAAAAAAAACCATTTTACTGATGGATATGTGTGTTTTACACGAAGACACTACCTATAAAAACAGGTTACCTATAAAAACCTGTTTTTATAGTGATATAGAAATTGAATTAATGTATGTAATTAATATTTAGTGAGAGGTAATTTTTGAAATTTCATTGCAAATTTGTTCACTTACTCTAACAAAAGTCTGTCAGTTACCGTATACAATTTTATAACAAGATATGATTTTGCATTGTTAAAGATTCAGATTTTTAGTAAAAGGTTTCAGCTGTGTGGAAGCGTTGGAAAAAATAGCTCAATAACACATCAAAATGTATGTACATACTCAAGCAAAATCACAGTATATTGTATGCTTCATAGATATGTCATGTAGTTAACCTCACTACTCTGCTTCTGTAATTAGCTTCTTTATCTAAAATGACATCTATATATGTGATATTGGAATCTTTGTGTTTCTTAACCATGCCAAAATGATTTGTGACCATGAATTCTCTTTTGCCTGAAAACCTCAACAACATAAACAATTATGTTCAGGTCTTTGAAAACAAATTGATGCTGTTGATTGTTGGTATGCCAAACTTGCTGTTATAATAATATGACAAATTTATTGTTTGTGATTTAAATATACAGAATATTGCATGTAGGTGGTGTTGGACTATAGATATAAATGACAAAATATAACTGTCAGTCATTTTTGGGATTCAAATATTTTGAGTCCTGGACTCATGCTTTTTCTGCGGAACTCATTCAAATTTTGAGAGCCCACTTTCAATCTTTATTACTGGACTCCTCAGAATTGATCGGTGCTCTGGACTCAGCAGAAAAATCCTACAAAAATGATTGCCTATACAATACCACTAATCTAATTTTCTTAGAATTTGCAATCATGCTAAGATTTACCCATTCCTTGTTATCAATTCATCTACAGGTATCAAAATTTACAAAGTTTAAAACTAATAAAATTAATAACAATTCATCTTAACAGGTCTTGTTAAGTTTGTAAATAAAATTCATGAAATAAATTGTGGACAATAAATTTTCACCTTAGATATGAAAAAAAAAGAAATATCTTGTAACATATGAGTAACCTTGTAGTATTGTATATGAGTAGACTTCATGCTGTGAAGACTACAGACTAGTGTTTTTATAATATGTATTAATTAAGTTAGAGATTGGTGATAAGGTATAAAGAACTGTGTTGTCACCACAAAATACAGATGAGTGTATGCTCCCAGTGTTTAGGTTACTTTCTGATTTACCTTCTGTCTCCATGGAGAATATGATTGACTCATTACATTGTACTCGTTCATTTTAAGTGTGAAGTGGATATGCAATAAGGTTTAAGTTATATACTATCTACTGTGTACCTGATAAATGTGAACTAGGGCCTGTATTCATGCTCAACCCATCTTTCTTTAAACTTACTTGAATATGATATATCAGCTTAAAAGAATGTTTTATCAATTATAAGTAGTATCTCACCTGAATTCTTTCCAAATTTTTTCAATTTACTGAATAAAAAAAAGATTTTATTTGGATATCAGATTAATTATAGAAGTATATGTATGTAAGCTTGAGCCCACAATTTGTATTTGAGCAAGAGATTGGTCCCATGAATACAAGCCCAGTAGGCGTGCCTGTTTTGTATGTGATACCTGTACCACCCCATCACCTCTTCAAATTGCACATGATTTGAATTCAATATGATTTAGCTTTTGCATGCTTTGAATATGTCATGACAACATAAAACACTCTCTTAAATATGATAGCTTGCCATTGTCATGCTGCTTTCTGCTCAATATTAATATTTTCAACTGCAGCCAGAAGCTAGAAAAAGTGACAGTGCTGGCTTTGGGCAACAGTCAGAACTCTTACATCTATAGCTACCAGTGTGAACATGGATACTCTTGTCTAATTAAGTGAGAAAGGGTGTGACACACGTAGCTCAGCAGTAAAGCGTATGGGCATTGAATGTGAAAGATTCCTGGGGAGCATGAAAGCATAGACCTGGTAAAATAACATGATTAGGTCCACTCTGGAATCTATACCTAATGCATATATTCAAAACCTAGTGTTGATTTCTGTGACAATGATAAAAGTTGTGAGTACTGAAGTTTGTTACAGTTATGCTTGTGTCAATTGAGATCTTAGGTGTTACCAATGTTCTTAAGATATTTATCTTGTTTTAATATTTTCAGAAAGAGTATTTCAGGGAATTGTAAAATAAATACAGTATGAAATGACTGGAATTTACTGGATTAATTGATAGGCACATTATGGTTGAACAATTTTTTTGAAAATTTAATGGACATGTTGTTTACACTCTCAGTTATGTCAGAATGCTATCTCAATGCTTACAGTCCATTCTGAATGACCTCGGTTACCTGTCAACATCAAATTACTGGAGCAAAGGTGTCTCATATTCCTACAACATTTATTTCACTGTTTTAAATTTTCTTCATTAATCATACCTACTTCCTTTTCCTAATCTCGTATTATTCTAGAACTATTGGCCATCTCTTGGCTTTGTAGCTATGTGATGACAGCTTGGTTTTTTTCATCACTGCGTTATGTACTGTGCAATATTGTTTCTTTTACAATAACAAGTTATTCAACACAGGTGCAGTAGAAAGTCTATTATAACATAAGTTAACAAAAAGAGAGTCTCGTTTTAATTAATTTTCTATTGTTTAGTGTTTGTCTCATCAAATGTTGACCTTAGTTTTCCGTTAGGAATGTACTGCATCTGTTAATGCAGAATTTGAGGAAAGAGGAAAAAGTTTTAATGTGATGCTCCATTGTAAGATTCAGGTGTAAGAAATAGCTATAGATGTAAAGAATCGATAATAAATTCCAAGCACAAACTTCTCTGAC